GAGTTTACCATTCGGGAATTATCAGCGTCTTCCGGATTAAAGGGGGTATACAAGCGGTATGCCTCCAATAATCGGTCATAAAAGACACTGGGCGCTTCATCACTTTTCTGAATCACCTCAACTGTCTTCGACATGTTAATAGCTTTCTTCCCTCCGGCTTTCATGCCAGCAATTATAGCGTCTCTATAGGCTTTAAGTTGAGCCATATCTGCACCATTTACATTCCAGTCAGGATCGGTGTTAGGGTAATGTGTTGCGGCCCATGCTGCCGGATTGGCTTGATTTAAAGCACGGGCTCTCTCCTCTAGCGCCTTAATGGCCGCTTGGTTAATCCTTGTCCTTTCCTCATTATTGAACAATGTCATTAATAACTGCTGGCAATCAGCCCATGTCGGGTTATGTGTCTGAACTATCGAGGTGAACAGATCGGTCATAGCTTGTGGTTTCTCAGTGTACGAGGAATTGTGGGTCTTCCAATTCAAGAGATCGGTAGTCGTGAACGGGACATATACGAAGACTGGGTCAGCATGTGCCATTTGACCTGCGGCATCGATATAGGCTGACCCAGGATTCAGACGAAGAGGCATCTGATAATGTTTTAATTGTTGGGTACCGGTCAGTTGTCGGGTTAGTATGGGGCTACGTGGAGGGGCGTCAGTTAAAGGTTCCGGTCGAGAGGTAATAGGGCATGAGGATGTGGGAACTTGATTTTGGGAAAAGTTAGTGAATAGTATACTCCGAGCCGAGCTAGAAGAAGCTTGACCGGAAGTTTGAAGTGGCGCCAAATCAGGATATTCAGATCTAATGGGGGTTGGTCCTGGTTCCGGAAGGGGAGTTTTAATACGAGGGGGGGTGGATTCTGTACTGGAGGAGGAAGCGGAAGTGGATGGGGGCAATAGGGGAAGGGGTGCAGAGCTTCCTGCATTCGCGTCACTTCCTCTTAAAGGAAAGTAAGGGGGCGGCAAAGGGATCTCGGACTCAGGGGGCGTGTCCAAAATGGGCCTAACACCAGTCCTAGTGGACAAACAAGTCCTGGCCACCATGAGGCGACATTGCTCCTCGTGGCATATCCGGATCCATTTTGGCGAGTCGTTTACGGCCTGCCCCCAACAATCAATGTATGGAAACTGTCCGTAAAGTTCAGGCCTACCTGACACAGCCACGTGTACACGCTGTACCAGGGTTGGATCCAAACTGCCACGCGGCGGCCATGCCGCAACCAAAATAGGCCACTCCCTAGTGCACAAAGTGACCAAACGTACAGGAGACATTTTAACCCCAAAATCACATGTTTTGAATCCCTTTTTAAAATTCTTTACCATACAACCTAAGGGATCCGAAATCGTTGACTCTGACGCGCCCATACTTATCAATGGAACGTCGTTGACAACGAATACTATGCACGCGTTCTTATTCAACAGTCACACCCGTTTCCTCTGGCAACAGCACCACGTGGTACAGTTACCAAGTGAAACGTACACAATAACACAATAATCACTCAGGGAATTCCCGTACACACACAGCTGTTACACCAGTCACTAAATAATCAATATTATGCCCTTTGGCGAAACTATACAGTCACCCACGCTATAATTCTCTATATATGAATTACCCGTCTATAACACACCCCAGTAACATCGTCTTTTACTAGTATCGGTTACAGTACGGTTAGCATAGGTCAAAGCACAATTTAAGGTCACAATACAATTATTAGTGGTTACGGTGTTAAACATGCAATAGACGACAATGATTAGTACTTATATACAGTGTCAGTAAATATACAGGGTTATGGTACCGTGCACTATGATACAGCAACACACCATTAACACTCTCGCTAGACGGCTGAGCTCGCGCTATCTAACAAGATATACACTTTACTAACAATCTTTAACACATTTACAATCCCAACTAAACTATTGGCCAGTACCTTGAATGGACTACCTAAAACTATATACACCCGTTTTGGTTAGCCACACTGCCCAAACACCACATATAGCGAACTAGAGGGCGAAATTTACAAAATTGCCCTTCTAGTCTATTTACTCTATCAAAGTCTAGTGGGTTCCAAATTTACACGCCTTCCCACTTAGCCAAGATAGGTTGAGAGCTAGCGAACCGAATTTACACAGGCGCCGCTTAGTCTCCCGGTCCCTCCGACCTAGCGAACGTAATATACACCCTAGAACGCTAGTCTAGACAAGACACCGGTGTCCGGCTAGGGCTATTTACACAGGACCCCGCCTGACTAACCAGATCAAACGGTCTTACTAAAGAGCGTTCGATCGAGCGGTGCGCCTTCGCTCCTTCCCTCCGACAGAGGGGGCAGATTCCATACACAGATTTAAACCCCTTTTGGGCCTACCGCACAATCGGTATACCCCTAGTGGGTCTGCCGTCTAAAACAGCAGTTGTCTTACCTCCTCGTTCCTGAACCTGAGTTCACACTCATCGACGGGGACACCCCAGCACTTCTTACGTAGAGGCCGATGATCTCCTGGACAACAGACCAGTGGCGCCGAGACGAAGGGAGGTCCACGCAGAAGTTCAGGGGTGCAGCCGTAGAGAACGTGGGCAAAGATAGACCGTCTCACGCCTCTGCCTCTCAGCTACCGTTGAACGATGAGCTTCCCGGCCAATGCACCAAATGATACCGGAGAAACTGACGGAAGCAAAGCACAGAGGGATGGACACAGGTTTCTTCAGGAAGGAAGAGATTCTTTATTGGATCACCGATCGGGACTCAGAGGGACTAATGTCACCAAAAAATACAGCAAGTTCTGAGCCCCGAACAATAGTGCAGGCTCCCTATATAGGCACATAACTCCTCCCATATTAAGCTCCACCCGCACATTCTCTTGACCAATCATTACAAATAAGAATTAACTTCCTGCTTGACCACATGGCTTGTCCAGCACAATGGAGGAGGGGAATACTACATCCTGTATTCTTGCACATGCTCCGTACACTACTGATCGTATCTTGCCTCGTGCAACCAACTGATCGATACGTCAGCATATGCACGTACACATACCACGTGGTAATCTCGGCCTACTAAATTTATTTTTACCGAGATTCCACCACATCTGACATAAGGATTATTCAGTAAAGTATTAATTTTTGGTCATTCAATGTAATTTTCAGATTTAAGGCTAAAATAGCCGAACTAGAAAAATTCTACCAGCAAGCAATGCTTCCAGTTTGGCTACTTTAGGCTTAATTTTGAAAATCCCTTCCAATTCCTGACAATTCTCACTTTACTGAATAGGCCTGTATGTTGGTCATATTGTAAGAAATTTCTTACAATATGGAATGAGAAGAAAGCATGTAATCAGTGAGTTAAATTATTTGCTACAGAGGGAGTAGATGGGATCTGGAGTGGGGAAGGTGAAAACATGGCTCTCTTCATCCTATTGTTCCTGTAAGTTTTTGTAATTGTCACATTTATAGTTCTGATAATATTGTAAAGCGGTACGAAATATGCTGGCGCTATATAAATACCAGTAATAATAATAATAATAATAATGTGGGCATAGAAGGAATGATGAAAAATACAGGGCTGGCCAAAATGAGTAGGTTTTGAGGAGTCATTCACTTTGTTATTAACAAACCAATTTCAATTATATTACATAAATGAATGCTTAACCCCTTCGTGACCAGTGACGGTTCAGGGCCGTCATCAGTATTTTACCGTTGCGGTCCGCTGACGGTCCTTAACCGTCACAACGGTATTATGTACTTACCCGATCGCAGCTGTTCCCTCGGCGGTGATCGGCGTTGCTCCCGCTGCGGCGAATTAGGCCCCCGGGGGTCATGTGATCGCTCAACAGAGCAGTCACATGGTCACAATTGGTGTCCTAGGGTCTGCCTGCAGGGGGAATGATTGTGCTGACAGGCAGTCTCCCTGCAAGCATAAAATAAAAAAATGTTAATAAACAAATCTAATTATATATGTGTATATATATATATATATATATATATATATATATAATGTCATACTAAGTGTATTTTTATATTAACAGCTAACAAATAAGTTATTTACCTGCCAAATTCTACACAGAATTTTGGCCCACCCTGTAGGTTGGTTTATGAATGAAAGTGATTGACTAAAGAGGATGGAATGGAGTTGAAAAAAAAAAGTGAAATTGAATAGCAAAGGGACAAATGTAAATTGGTGTGGACAGTATGTGAAAAGACAGGAAGGTAGAAATAAATGAAGTGGCTTGTGGTAAGAAAGCTGAGTGAGATTAGTCTAATACATTAATCTGCCTCTAGGAAAAATAAATAAGACTGGTAAAGGGGGTCAGTGGGAGAAAGGTCACTGTCCCATTGTACAGCGCTACAGAATCTGATGGCGCTATATAAATAATAAAATAAAAATGTGTTAAATCAAGCTGGATTTGGAAGCCAAGAAAAACATCTCTCGGTTATTAAATGGGGGGTAAAATAAACTAAAGAACGTGTGACCCAGACCTATTGATAATAATTATTTCTTGTTTGAACGGGTCGATGAGATAAAATATAACTGCATGTGATAGCAATAAGCTCATCCTTGCACTATTTTAAATACTGGTATTTAAAAAAAAACAACAAACAAAAAAAAAAACACCTTGAAATAGTTTGCAGAGTGTTGTACCATGAAGGCGTTGATTCCCAAAGCAGTCCTCATGGTCCACCATCAGTCCAGGATTTATGTATTTTCCTTTCTTTATTACAATTGAGATACTGACAAAACCTGGACAGCTGGTGGATCATGAGGACTGGTTTAGGAACCACAGTACTAATGTATCAATGTTTCCAGAGACTAAGGTCAATGATTGTCTATGAGCTCCCACATGGAGCCCTGAATGCTACTGAGGTATCCATTTTGCCGGAGACCAAAGTCAATGAGTGGTCTATAGAAAAAAAAAAAACTACGCCAAAATGGCGTCCTTGCTGTGAAGCCATCCCAGTGTCGCTTCTAGTGTAAGCAGTTGGACTTACGTCATCGGGCGAGCCCCGCCCTCGGCTTGCAGAGCTGCACGCGCGTTCAGCCACACAAAGGGGGAGTGTGTGTGTGTGTGAGCGCGGACTGTACCATTGTGCCCATCGCGCAGGAGGCGCCGCGGTGTGACGGGCCGGTTACAGAGGATCCCTGGCCGCGGCTGGTGGCGGAGAAATCACCGGGCTGCCCTCCGTGTGGCCGTGCTCCCGCCCTCGGTGCTCCCGGGGTCCCTGCAGTGAGCGGTGCCGGGCCGGCATTGAGCTGCCCCTGCCCCTCCCCCGCCGCCTCCCGCTGCAATATGTTCAAGAGGATGGCTGAATTCGGCCCGGATTCGGGAGGGAGAGTGAAGGTGAAGGAGAGGGGGAGCTGGGAGCCGGTCTGCGGGCTTGGGGGGCGGTGTGTCCGGCCGGACTTGGTCTCCCTGCTCTCTGGGCTGTGTGTGGGGCCCGTCCTGTCACTTTAACACCGATTAATCGCCATTTACTTACTTTATAGCCGCCCATACAGGGGCCATTACAGGAAACCCCATTCACTACACCGGGGATTGGGAGAATCCGAGCGAATAACGTGTCTAAAGGCAAAGTTCCAAAACAGAATGATTCTGGGAATTGGGGGAATCCGAGCGAATAACGTGTCTAAAGGCAAAGTTCCAAAACAGAATGATTCTGGGAATTGGGGGAATCCGAGCGAATAACGTGTCTAAAGGCAAAGTTCCAAAACAGAATGATTCTGGGAATTGGGGGAATCCGAGCGAATTCCGTGTCTAAAGGCAAAGTTCCAAAACAGAATGATTCTGGGAATTGGGGGAATCCGAGCGAATAACGTGTCTAAAGGCAAAGTTCCAAAACAGAATGATTCTGGGAATTGGGGGAATCCGAGCGAATAACGTGTCTAAAGGCAAAGTTCCAAAACAGAATGATTCTAGGAATTGGGGGAATCCGAGCGAATAACGTGTCTAAAGGCAAAGTTCCAAAACAGAATGATTCTAGGAATTGGGGGAATCCGAGCGAATAACGTGTCTAAAGGCAAAGTTCCAAAACAGAATGATTCTGGGAATTGGGGGAATCCGAGCGAATTCCGTGTCTAAAGGCAAAGTTCCAAAAAAGAATGATTCTGGGAATTGGGGGAATCCGAGCGAATAACGTGTCTAAAGGCAAAGTTCCAAAACAGAATGATTCTAGGAATTGGGGGAATCCGAGCGAAGCGCAAAGTTCCAAAACGAATGATTCTAAAGGCAAAGTTCCAAAACAGAATGATTCTAGGAATTGGGGGAATCCAAGCGAATTCCATGCCTAAAGGCAAAGTTCCAAAACAGAATGATTCTGGGAATTGGGGGAATCCGAGCGAATAACGTGTCTAAAGGCAAAGTTCGAAAACCGAATGATTGGGGGAATCTGAGCGAATTCCATGTCTAAAGGCAAAGTTCCAAAACCGAATGATTCTGGGAATTGGGTGAATCCTACCGAATAACATGTCTAAAGGCAAAGTTCCAAAACTGAATGATTCTGGGAATTGGGTGAATCCTACCGAATAACATGTCTAAAGGCAAAGTTCCAAAACAGAATGATTTAAAAAAAACAATCAAAAAATAATAATTATAGAAATTCCCCCAATTTGGATCATTTTGGACCGAAGTTTGCAGTGTATATATTATAAAGCCTGTGTGTTAGTATGTGGGGGTTTGTTGTATCAGGATTTTATAAAAAAATATAGTGTATTCAGGGTTATTCACTAAAGTGAGAATTCACAGAAATAATCAAAATAGTTAATTTGGGAAGAGTTCTCTCTGCTTCCATTTTGGCTACTTTTTTTTAAAATTCACTTTTGAATTCTCTCTTTTTAGTGAATAATCCCGGATATATTTTTAATGTTCGCCACGCTGATAGATTAATGTTACTAGGTTAACCAGAAAGGATATTCGCTAAAGGGAAAACTTGCCTGGAATTCAAAGGAAATTTCAGATTTAAAGCCGAAATAGACAAACCGAAAAACAAGATTATTTATAATTAGGCTATTTTGGGCTATATATTTATTTTTTTTATTCCGTTTTTATTCTCCGCACACATCATAGGTTTGTGTTGGTGGGCAACACGTTAAAAGTACAACCGCAAAGTATTTTAAATTCATGTGACGCAGTATTGAAAGTGATTAAAGATGACAGATTTGGGGATATTTATTCTTTATCAATTCTATTGAACCACTTTTTGCATCATATGGAATGTACGTGTTTCATGTACTGCCTGTCATCAGCTTGTAGAAATGGCATGCCTCCACTGTATTTAATATTCTCCTGTATGAGCAATGGGTTATCTCTATAGACTAAACAGCTGTTCCCAAACCTAATGTTTTTTTTTTTTTTTTTTTTTTAAATCTGTCCCTCTAAATTGTTCTGCTTTTGTTAAAGGAGTGGGACATTCCATTTTGGTGTAGGATCTTTAACGGCTAGTTTATGGCCTATTGTATCACTAGTCTTTAACCCCTTAAGGACACATGACATGTGTGACATGTCATGATTCCATTTTGTTCCAGAAGTTTGGTCCTTAAGGGGTTAAAGTTTCATGATTGAAATATTTAGTGGGGTGAGGTATGAGGTGCCAAAAATAATTTTTCCATGGGTTTGTGTGCATGTAATCTGAGTTCAAGGAAGCATAAGGCATTTGCGATCTGTGGAGACAGCATACCGTTACATATTTTTGTAAATCCAAATAAAATTTAGTTGGCCAATTGAATATGCCCTTCCCACTAAAGTGTCAATGCCTTAAAATTGAGAATAAAATAGAAAATAGTTACATGGTATAAATAGAGGCAAACTAACTATTTAAATAAGTATAGTAGTTTGTTTGGTAAGGGAATTTAAATAATTGGGCAACTAAAAATAAAATAAATTCTGTACAAAGCAAACTAATAACACTGGGTCACTATATGTAAAAATGGACAATTGTAGTGAAAATATTTGGGTTGTATGTGACATTTACAGTTATGCACTGGGGCCTGCAATATAGATCAGACTATGACCATCTCATGTCATTTAATTATACTCCCAGGAAAATAAATCATTCTATAAGCACAACTTCCTTTTTCCCCATTTTAAATAACATTTGGAAGATAAGTTAATCCCTGATCAATTTTATTTATTTTTTAAATTTATTTATTTATTATTATTTTTTTTTTTTTAGGGTGTTACGATTGTGAAACCCATAGTTTATGGAAATGTGGCACGTTATTTTGGGAAGAAAAGGGAAGAAGATGGACATACTCATCAGTGGACTGTTTATGTCAAACCGTATCGCAATGAGGTACTTGGTTACCAGCAATAGCGGACACCCACGTTGTTATTCTTGGTTACTTTTTAATAACAAAGTAATGTATATGTTTTAGATTCCAAATAATACTTCATGGAGATTTAAATTGCTCCTTACTGAGATTCTGATTTCTGATCATTGCTTTGTTTAAACATGTTCCTCACAGAAGGCACATGTAGTTGGATTAATTTAATATACAGAATATGTTGGTGCTTTAGAATTCGTATAGGGTTATGGTATACCTTTTAGATATGGATCATCTTACTGCTTTATGTCTGGGGGGAGGGAGAAATATAAGTAATTATCTAGCAAATATATGTAATGTACATATTGGTTAAAGCTTGCTTACTGGAGAATAATGGTTTCTGTTTTCAATCATAATTTAGGATATGTCTGCTTATGTGAAAAAAATCCAGTTTAAGTTGCACGAGAGCTATGGAAATCCTTTAAGAGGTAATGGTTTACTTTTTTGGGTACTATGTTATGCATGTCATGGATTTTCTAGTTGTTTTGTAGTGATATTTGCACACACTATATGGTCATTCATTTGGGATTTGGTCCATTTCCCAACTGGCTTTGAGTTCAAAACTGATTTTTTTTTTTATTTTCCTTTCTTTTATGTCTTTTAGTTGTTACCAAGCCACCATACGAAATTACAGAAACTGGATGGGGTGAATTTGAAATAATCATAAAAATATTTTTTATAGATCCGAATGAAAGACCGGTAAGTATCTGATCTTACATTTTCTTTCAACCTTTTATATTTGTTGGTTCCACTTGTGACGTTGTGCTGCAAAATGTCAATGTCCCCTTTTCTTCATTGAAGTGGTTTTTATATTCATGAAGAATGATATTGCAAAGTATGCAGTGACACAATTTTCAATGTGACCTGTGCACATGATTATGATTTTGCAAATATGTATTTGATAATTTTAAAACTCCTGATTTTTATTTCTCTGCTAAACTGAAATTATAACTGTAATTCTTTTGCGACAGACAGGGAATTTCACTATGGAATGCTGCCAGATGTTTTTGACATATTGGCATCTACGTCTGTGATCGTAGATTCAAAAAAGTGTTTCCCATTTGTAATCACACAGATTTATGTTTTATCCTCCCTTAGGTTACTTTGTACCATCTGTTGAAGCTATTTCAATCAGACACAAATGCCATGTTGGGAAAGAAGACTGTGGTTTCAGAGTTTTATGATGAAATGGTAAGAACCTTTCATTACACTGCTGCTGGGTCTGTCTGTCATGGCCAGGAATAATGTACATAGGACCTCACATAGTTGGCTGGCTTTGTATTTTTTTTTTTCTTTAACATAATCTTATTTATAAAATATTTTACCAGGAAGGATACATTGAGATTCCTCTCGTTTTCCAGTATGTCCTGGAGCCACAAAACATTGCATTGTTACAATAGGGTACAATATGTTTAACATTTTACTAGAAAAAAACAATTCAAAAAGAGAAACTATCTCTAGCTATTTAATATTTTGGGATCTGGCTAAGCTTTAATCTTTACACTTAAGATCCCAGTTGTTTTGACAACTAACAAACAAATACTCACCTTTGCCAATTTCACTAAAAATACATTTAAAATAAAAAAAAAAATAGGTAGTGAGCTATATTCTTTAGCTGAGTATTTCCTCTCAAGTCATGAAGAAGCTTGCAGGGACTCTGGAGGTTACAGGGCCAGACATTCTGCCACTAATGTGATGTGAAACCTCTCTACAGAGGTATGGCTACTTTTTCTATAGTGGATGAAACACAGACTGGTGTAGCTGTTCACACACTAGGCAGCAACGATGGGCCTTCCTCTACTTTCTGGTAGGGGGTTGCAGCCTAGTAATAAAAGAGGGAGTGGAGATGGAGGGCAGGGGCATGTGTCACACTGATTGTAAAAGATTCTTCGAAAAAAAAAAAAAAAATGTTTAAACCTTCTATCATATATACACACACATTATAATTTTTATTTATTTTAAATAGATATTCCAGGACCCTACAGCTATGATGCAGCAGCTTTTAACAACATCTCGCCAGTTAACACTTGGTGCATATAAGCATGAAACCGAATGTAAGTATCCCAGCGCAGTGTGAGTGGACCTCACAGCACTCTATATACTGGATATTACACATTTGAAGATCAGATTGTTTTAGATTGATGCGTCTTAATTGTATTTAAGCCGTATAACTGCATCTCAACTTTCAGTATTATAGCCTGATTATCATTTAGCAAGGTACATATGAGTTGAAATTTTTTTGTAAATTTTTTTATTTTTTTAAATCTCATCCTGCCATGCAATGAAACCTGTACAGTGACTGAGTACCCAGCTATACATTGCATCATTACAGATGCAACAGGGTAGGAAACCAGTTACTCCTATAGCAATAAATCAACCCCATAACTATTCCCGGAGGTTTTCATAATGATCAGTTTACTACTTCTGCTTCTTATTAAGTATGTGGTGGATAGCCTTATTTGTGCTAACCAGGCTAATCCTGGTCCTGTTCCTCTAGGATCAAAAGCTCGCTTATCTAGAGTATTTCCCTCGTCCGTCCGTGATACTATCAGTGGTGTATCCTGGTTTTGTGCTGCCCCCCCCTCTGCCCCGCATGCTAAATACACACACTCACACTTTTTTTATTTTTATTTTTTTTATTTAACCCCCTCCTCCCCCAGCCTCTTTACCTTTAGGAATGCTAGGGGGGTTTCTCTTTCTCCCTGGGATCTAGTGGGGCTGCTTGGCAGACGGCGCTGGCGAGGGAGCACTAATTAGTGAGCTCTGAGCTCCCTCGCGCGCCGCAGAATGATGCCGGTTTATGACGTCATATTCCGGCTCCCAGCATCACTCTGCGGCGAGCAGACAGCTCAGGGAAAAGTGCTCCCTCGCCAGCGCCGCCCATCTGACCGGTCAGTTAGCCACAAGGCTAACAAGATGTTTGCTTTTTTTGCCGCCCCCTGGAAAATGCCGCTCAAGGCAAATGCCTTGTTTGCCTCACGGCTAATACGTCCCTGGATACTATCCATGTAAAATGGCTGGGTGAGCTTTATTTAACCATATAATTTGGCATAACTAATTAGACATTAAGTTTAAATCTCAGCTGCCTTACTGCCGAAAGGCGTGGATCGATCAATCAGTAATGCTGCAGTGAACATAGCTTGGAAACATTTACAATAAGCATAGGTACAATTTCCTTACTCTTAATTTCTTTAGTACCACACTGCACTTTGTCTGGAAGCTCATCGTTATAACTAATTTATCTGTTGCAGTTTGTCTAAGGTTAGAAGGAATTTATTAAAGGGAAGTTGAACATTCAGTAAAGTAGGAACTGTGCAGAATTAAGAGGGATCTTGTATATTTTAAGACAAAACAGGTTTTTGAATGGGCTAAAAAAATTTGTGGCAAAATTATTTATTTTGGTTTTTCCTCCAAACACTTTATAATTATTGTTTTCTCAGCTGTTCCTGGTTTAATGACTACATTCTACTTGTTCTATTACTGATTGACTTTTCAATTCCTTCTAGTTTCAGAGCTAGAATCCAAAACGAAAGAGAAAGTGGAAAATGCCAAGAAAAAGACTAGTTTTGAAATCTCTGAGCTGAAGGAAAGGCTAAAATCAAGTCGAGAAACTATAAACAGTTTGAAAAATGAAATAAAAAAACTAGAAGACGATGATCAGACTAAAGATATATGATGAATGTTTTGTGGTAAACCAGCTGCCATGACACCTTTTTGAATTGTTTTACTACAAACCTGTAAATATTGTATGTATTGGTTTTGTTAATATTTGTTTGAAGCCAGCAATGTGTGTTTTTTCTTTAATAGGGACACCCTATATCGAAGCAAATAAAGTGCTTTTTATAGTTCTGTGGTACATTTGTCTCATTTCCTTACATGCGTTTTGAAAGTTTTCTACTAAAACGTGATTATAACAAGGTGAATGACCAAAACAAGCCCACCTAATTTAAGAAATAGAAAGGTGTCATTACTGGCTTCTGCTGCTAAATGCAGCAATGGTAAAATTCTATGCAATCTTAAAGGAAAATTACAACCAAAACAAGTCGTGGGTGGCGCATTCTGTGTGAACACTTAGTAAATACAAATAGTGAGTGACTGAGATAACCCATAACATAAATACCCTATATCAGTATCACTAAAAGAAATAAGTACTGATATAAGGTAGTACAGTTTATACAACATGAATAGTACACAAAATGAAACCTCGACTTTTGTGAATGGGGAGATACAGATGACACTTTAAGTCAATTAGTGAAAGGACAGGCACAGCGATTGAGTGCTGAATACTGGATGTTGGAACTAATCTCTAAAGGTAAGGTGGTGCCAAGGTCCCCCTGGCACCAAACAACTTTATTGGAATTTATTGGAATGAAGTTATGATGCCTGGATTGTTTCTTTAGCTTTTTTGGGTTGCTTAATAATTGAAGCACGTAGCAGCTTGGAATTTTTTTATTTTTCAAAATCAAATCTCGAAGTCTATTAAGAACGTCTAAGGTAAACACACTGTGCATTAAGAACTGACTGAAAATTTAACCTTTTCTTGCCTCGGAGACCGTGAGAGCAACAGCAAGTGTGGTGTGGCTAGGGCTGTAGAAACCAATGATGTAAGTCTTAAATGGCAAATAATTGAGCAGTGAGACTGCAGAGGCATGATTTGTACTTTGTAGGTCCTGGTAGCAGTAATAGCAGCACTCGGTGGGGGGAAGGAATCCAATGTTCCACTACCTAGACCAGGGGGTACTTGACTGGTTTGGGAATCACTGACCTAGACAATGTTCTAATCGGATCTACAACCATCAGTCACACACACAAAGGAAGTAATAAAGGTTCTGACAAAATTCAGAAGGCTAGTGAATCTGGAAAAGAGCAGCCTTCTGCCTTCAAAGAACCTGGTTTTCTTAGGAGGCCTCCGTAAACACGCTGCAATCTACAATATCCTTTTCTGTGGACTACTAAATTTGAATTTAATAGAAAATTCAGGAAGTTCTGGCCATCAACAGCATGAGTGCAAAAGAATATGAGCTTTTTGGGATCCCTTACGTAATTGATTGATTTAGTAAGATGGGCTCATTGGCATATAAGACCTGCTCAAGGAAACTTTGAGGCAATTCAAAAAGAGAGTTCAAGACTGGAATCAACAGATTGTGATCGTGTAGGAACTAAATATTTGTCTCAATTAATTGGTTTAAATGAAGCATTTAAGCAGGGGTTATCCTCTGGAAGAACCAAAGTTTAAATTATAACAGACAGCAGTACCAAAGGGTTTGGGAGCCCACTTTACGAATTTGATTGCTCAAGGAGTGTGGAATAAATTGAATCTGTTCCTTCACACAAATCTTCTAGAATTACCTGCAGTCTACAAGGCACTGATATTGTTTACAGAACATTTGCAAAACAAGTGGGTTCAGCGCTACGGAATTTGTTGGCGCTATATAAATAATAATAAGGACAAAACCAGTTGGGGGCAGCATACCTCAACCATCTGAGTGGAAAAAGGAGCAGGAGACTACTTTTTGAACTCCAACCAATAATAAGCTGTGCACAGTCATCTACAATGATTGAAAGCTTACTTACCAGGGAAGGAAAATTGCTTAGAGGGTTATTTGAGTCACTCTCGATCCAGGGTAATGGAACGTAACCCCTTAAGGACCAAACTTCTGGAATAAAAGGGAATCATGACATGTCACACGTCATGTGTCCTTAAGGGTTAAACAGAAAAGTGTTTCTGAAGATAACCTTGATGTTGGGTATGCCCCAGATCAATCTAATATATTTACCAATATGGATAACGCACTCTCCTGGATCCCAGGATGCAACTGGGCCTGAGGTTGGCCAACCCTGGCAATGTGATTTGCAAAAAAAAAAAGGGGGTGTTATCCCACAAACAGCAAACAAAAATATAGAAAATACAGCTGTGGGTCTACAAGAAAAGCACTGACATAGTGTAATACAGTACAGTACATATAAAATTGTGGTGCCAGAAATACACTCACAGGATAGAAGATGACTGTATTGCCTTAGGGTGCCTCCCCTTAGATTTCTGGGGCGGTATTCCATGTATCCTTCACTTTGGGTAGTATTCACCAGAAACAAAAAGTGCTGGATTCTGGAGGTGTTTGTTCCAAAATAAATATTGTAAAGTAAGACTTATGTACAAGTAATAAAAAATATATGGAAGGACAAAACGCATAGGACCACCCAACTTTAAATATTTATATATTTTTATTACTTGTGTAAATTTGACTTAATTTATACTTACTGCTCTGTCTGCTAATCATACTACTCCCATCTCCACCCTCCTTGACTTCAGCTGAATTTCCTCTTTTTTGTATACCATTTACCCTTCTTTGACTCTCACCCTAGTTTAAAGCATCCTCCAACCTTCTAGCCATCCTCTCCCCTAGCACAAAATACCCTTTTCCATTCAGGTGCAATCCATAGACCCTCCAGGCTTGCAGTGGTGAGTGACTATGAAGACCTAGTTACTAATGTAGAAATGTAACTTTTAAACCCTGAGGTATAAATGGACAAGAATTCAAAGAGAATTTAAAAATTCAGGTCAAAATAGCCAATTCATTTGCAATCATCCACATTTTAAGTTTTTGGCTAATTTGGTCTGTAACTACTTTGTATTCATGACAACTCTCACTGTTGTGATTAAACCTCAGTTTTCTGTTTCACTGTTTTCATTAAACACCCCAAACCACAAAACAACTGGGAGGGAGCTCTTCTAGACGTCTCTCTACCCAGGTACAAAGAGCAAGTGACTCTATAGTCTCAACCCATTGGATTGGCTGCGAGTTCTGGTGGTGGTGAAGGGCTCTCTCACTGGGAACACAGATAAGTAACTTCATTTGTAGGGCAACGAGAAAGAGGGGGATGTAAATCAAACATTTCTATTTTTTTTTTAGCTTTAAAATATATAAGCCCTGCTAGATATAGGCTGGTTAGAACACAGGGAATATATTTTGCCTATGAAAAACCAGCACAGAATTTTCCAAGCAAAGTAAAAGCTGATTTTACATTATCTGAAAATGAACTTAAGAAAATGGTCTCGTTTCATACAATCGTGTCAATTCTAAAACATTTCTGGTGGGGCCTCCAACACAACCTTGAATACAATATCAAGCATCCAAAAGCCACCTATTCACACATTTTTGGTGTTCCGCTTCCATCAGTCCAGGAAACTTACAACTAATGCTGTGCTCTGAGTGTAAGAGGGATCATCAAGGTTACATTTCATCCTAATGATCGATTAATATACTTCCTTCAGGGAAATATAAGAATTTGTATTGCCAGACCTATAGGTTTGGAAATAGTATTGTTTCCTCTGCGGTGATGTTTTTGAATTCCATGCTAAATATAATGCTTATCATTTTTAAATTTATGTCAATACGTTGATATTTGCACACAGTGCCATCTTAACAACATTATAGGACCCTGGGCAAAGGAGTGCACGTGGGCCCTGCCTACACAACCCATTACAGGAATAAAAATGTAAATTATCAAAAAAATTAAGCTTATATTTATTGGTACCTCCAATAAATGCAATACATTCATATAATACAAGCACATAGTCTGCTGAATACACACACACAGAATGCAGAATACAAACAGGACGCTGTATACATACAGAAACAACAAATACACTCAACCACCCGTGAACAAAGTGATCTGTGTGAAATATATCAAACACAAAAACTTAACTTATGGGTACACTGTTTCCCAAGGTTATTTCCCAGCTGATAACCATATGACAAAACTGTGTAATTGATCGGATATTTTGGGATTCTGCTAGTGTACCTACAATAGAGGATAAAACATAGTGCAAATATTGCTTTGTGCTAAAAAATAATCTGATGATTTATATGCACTCTCATATTCCAAATTGGTAAAGCGTATTATGGGTGCCTCCCCACGATGTAGATTTTTTTTTTTGTTAAATATCCCTCCTCAAGTGATAGCCAATGGGGTATCAGGGTCAGCAAGGTGGTCCAACAGACTCCAACCAAATGAATACTTCAAAGGCAATTTATTCACTTCATAAAATCAGGAGGTGACCCTGATACCCCATTGGCTATCACTTGAGGAGGACACCTCCTGATTTTATGAAGTGAATAAATTGCCTTTGAAGTATTCATTTGGTTGGAGTCTGTTGGACCACCTTGCTGACCCTGATACCCCATTGGCTATCACTCGAGGAGGGATATTTAACAAAAAACAAACAAAAAACATCTACATCGTGGGGAGGCACCCATAATACGCTTTACCAATTTGGAATATGTGAGTGCATATAAATCAGATTATTTTTTAGCACAAAGCAATATTTGCACTGTTTTATCCTCTATTGTAGGTACACTCGCAGAATCCCAAAATATCCTATCAATTGCACAGCTGTATACATACATACACAGACACCTGAATGCATACACAAACTGAATACACACATACAGAATGCAGTACACACACACACACATATATATATATATATATATATATATATATATATATATATATATATATATATATACCCTGCTAAATGAACACAGACTGCAGAATGGAGACAGACAGCAATGAGGGGTTGAGTGTATTAAGGGCTTCAGTGTGTGTGTGAGTGAGAGAGAGAGGTGCTCTGTGTGTGGGGGGGTGCGCATTGGGATAAGGGATTTTTAGTATTTTTTATTGAAAATTTTATTCATTTTTTTAAAGTCTCATGCTGCCCTCTCCCCCCCTCACCTTTGGTGAAGGAGGGGGGACACGGCCAGCCCTGGTGGTCCGATGGTAAGTAGTGATATGAGTAGGCCCTTAGAGGGAGGAATCAGGGAGGCAGTTTTTCCCGCGAGAATGCGGTGTTGGAGTGTTGCCGTGGCAACGCTCTGACACAGCATTCTGCTTGCGGGAGGAGTGAATACAGCCTGCATCCAGAGTAGCTGCAGGCCATCTTCACTACTAAAGCGAGCAGAATGTTGTATCGGAGCGTTGCCACGGCAACACTCCAACACCGCATGCTCGCGGGAAAAACTGCCTCCCTGGTTCCTCACTCTAACGAAGGGCTCTTTGATCTCCCCACCATCCCGAGAGGGCCCAAAGCATTTGAGCAGGGCCGGCAGGGGATTTCAAATGATCTTCCCTGTCGGCCATATCACATGGGCATTGCGCTGGGAGCCCCATGCTTGTGCCCATGCGGTAAGACAGCCCTGTTTACACATTATGCTCATGACCAATATACAAATTAGCACTTTATAAAATGGCCTATGTGCTCACAATTAGAACTTTATGTTAATGGTAAATATGTTTGCAGCTTGTGTTCTGTGCTTATGGTGGATGTGTTTTGTTGAATCGTAGTTTACGTTTTACTCTCACATGATTATTGTTGAGAATGATGTACTTTATTTGCGCGTTTGATGCACTTTATTTGCATATGATATATAGTGGGATTAGTTTGGATTGAAGACTACATAGTTGTATTGTATAATATTAGTGGTACTATTGTGTAATGTCTACTTCAGTGTATTTGTATGTACACTGGACAAAGATAATAAAATTGAATCCAATCTAAAATGTTAATTATGACTAAATAAGAACACTACAAGCACCATAACCACCACTTTTGAAAGCTTTGCCTTCTTACCTGTGGTCCACCAGGTGCTCTACCTGCCTCCACTACCAATGCTGGAGGGCTTTTAGACCTCCTGAGCACAGCCCTGCAGTGCATTGGCTGAGCGTGATTAGATGACACAGTCCGCCAACAAGCTAGCCGTGGCATAGCTCAGGTTAGTTGACGTTGAAGTTCTTGCTTAGGAGCTTTCAGCTCTCTGTTGTTGGTAGTAGAGGTGGGGTGATGCGCCTGGCAGACCCAGGTAAGGAATCAAAAGTTAAAAAAATATGGTGTTTTAAAAATTCCTTAAAGACAGAATATTCTAAAAAAATATATAAAGTAAAATCCCCAATGGACATCTTTTTGGGTAAACGGGGGAGAGGTATGAGAAATAACATCATAGTTGCAAGCTTTTTTCTTTCTAAAGATATATGTAGCGCAAATTTTGTTTAAATAAAAACAGTCACAAGTAGACAACCAGTCATTAAGAGAACATATCACACACTGTTCCCAATTATTTTCACTTGTGCAGTAATACACATTGACATACTGACCTATATAAGGCAAGAATTACCCTTTAAAAAGGTTTTAATTTTATCCCAACTTTGTATATTTTATCCAGCTCTAATAATGTCTGCTGTTTCACAGACTGAATTTCCACCCGAGTGATCTACTAGCCCCTTTATACCATTAAACACTATTATAGATTTGATTGGAGTGAGGAGTGCAATGGAGGCCAGCATAAATCATACCTCCTTGCCATCACCCCACAATGCTCTGGGGTTGCTCATTTGGGGGCCCTAAAAGCACCATGGGGGTTTAACCAAATTTGCAAAGTATGCACCGATTTGCCACTTTTATATCTGGGTAGTGATACACAGAGACAGACATCCCAACTTAGGAGATTTCCTGTGTATTTCTTCTTTAATATTTATTTGCAAATATTATATGAAATGAAAATGTTATGAACAATTGCTGAAAAATAATTCCAGGATAGTTGTGTCTGTACACACACTGTAATAGAAACAGAAATTTGCCTCAATACACAATGTTCAAAAAATAACCTTCCATAGTTTACAGAACATTTTATTATCAAACATCATCATTATTATTTTATGAATAACCCCCCTCCACAAAAATAGGGCAAAATCCGGTAAATGTTATATTTTGAGTTTAGTAGAAATTTGTTTTCCTGCATTTTCTTGTCCCCCCCCCACCCCTCTTCTCCATATCTGGACATGATACATCTGAATCAGCTGTTATCTTGAGGCACTTGGTCATGACTGGACTTCATATCCAAAAGGATCCAATTGTAGATCCAGTAGTTTAAGAGACGACTCTCTCAGCTTCTGCAGAAGACTCCTCACTTCTGTCTTTGTAAACACCTATAATGAAAAACGATGCATAGGAAATACATTGTAAATGCTCACCCAACAGCATAATAAACAGGCAAAATAATAAAATAGGACGGTAAAGCACTGCATTCAGAATTCAACAATATAATGGAATAGACTGCAAAATGTTTTTGAAATTCACATTTAATGGATAATTCTGACATGTAAAATTAACCTGTAATACCAGACGTTTGAGTGCCAGAGACTCTTAAATACGTCCAGCAGATTTAAACTATTTTTTTTTTTTTTTTTACATACAATTGGAATAAAATAATGTGTGTATGTGTGTACGAGAAGGCTTGGAAAACTCAATGAAGTGGTCTGGGTGCCATGTGCCCCATGTTTTAACCATTCCGATGTAAACATAGAAGTTTCAGAGAAACTGCTATGTGTACATTGCAGGGTTAATCCAACTTCTAGTGGCTGTCTTCCTGACAAAAATCGCATCCAGCGTGCAGGACGTCCATAGGAAAGCATTGAGAAATGCTTTGCTATGGACTGTTTGAACGCGCTCGCAGCTCTTTCCGTGCATGCGAATGCTGCCACACTCGGGAGCTGACGTCGGCGTGGGAGGAGAATTCACCAGCGCCGAGGGAGCCTGGCACTGGATAAAAGTAAGTAGCTGAAAGGGTTTTTAACTCCAAGGATGATCCAGTGTCAGGAAAACGAGTTTGTTTTCCTGACACTATAGTGATCCTTTAAATTATTTTTTGCATATACATTTTAATGCCTTATATTTGTATAGGATAAGCAACATTATTAAACAAATTAAATCAATTTGTTTGGCATGCATAGTAGCATGAAACCAACTTCAGGCCCAGCGAGATTATCAACACTGAAATTATTGGTGCCCGGCTTTTCATAGTTAAGACCAGCTGACGGCTATCAGAAAGATGTCTGACAGCTGGACTGCAATATTGTATAAAACTGCCGTCCGTAAGAAAGCTATAGGCGCACATGGATTGGAAGGGATGTTTTAGCTGAGGATTCCCAGTAAATGCAGGCTTCATGACCATGCATAATAAAAAGGAGAAACCAAGAGGTCTATCAGAGACCTTCTAAGTCATCGAAAACTGTAGTGGTGCCAGACTCATTTGGCATAATGGAAGTGACAGGAGAGGAAGTCTGAAATGTTGTCCACATTGAATCGGTTGATATTTTTTTTTTAAAGACAGCATCATTATGACGACACAAAGTATTTAGATTTTAGCAAAGGAATGAAAAGTCATCCAAACCTCATAAAGTTTGTGACGGTGAGAAGCCACCAAATCGGCCAGTTGGAGGCACTCCTTGTACTGCTCTGCTTTATGCATCACTGTGTGGAGAATAAAGCACAGCCCTGGAAGGCACAGGCGTCTGAGTGATGCCATCTGATGTGCCCGCTCTGGGTCATTTTCTGCATCCTATTAATAAATAAAAAGGTGGTAAGTTAATATACTATCAAAGAAACTGCAAATATAATATGACTATCGTGTGAAATAGGTAACTGCTGAACAGCATTAATTTTGTCGACTAAAACAATTAAGATGACTAAAATACGACAAACTAGAATGGCATTTTAGTCAAAACACTATGACTAAAACTAAATTGAAATTTGGAGCCAAAACGAACACTGCACAGAAAGGCTGTGGAAGGGGCAAAAGAGGCTTTAATTAAACCCATTCGATTTTAGTCATGTCTACTAAAATCCACTGAAGATTTAGTCAACTAAAACTAAAACAATTTAGAGGACTAAAATACAACTAAAACTGCTTTTTAGTAAAAAGACTATGACTAAACCTAAATTTTAATTTGAAACCAAAATTAACACTGCTGCTGAAGCAGGTACAGCGTTTGGCTTTGACAGTGCAACACCTACCTCCAAAGAAATAAGTGTAGGATCAATGTATGTGCCATTGCACTGTTCAATTACTATACCAATAAAGGACTAATGAGAGGAACACTCCAAGCACCGTAACACTACAGTCTGCTATATAGTGGTTATGGTACCAGGAGTGCAGTGGATCCATACCTGGCTAAGCAACCAAATAGTTAAAGAACTGTTGGACAACTTTCCTGGGTTCTTCTGGATGCCCACCTGCATCCATTAGCTCCACTGACCTAAGCCTTGCCATGCAGGGTCAGCTGAGCGCTCTCAGACAATGAGTGCCTCCCTGCAATATCAAACTTAACTCAATGTGGGAGCTTTGTGGGGTGGAAGTGAGCACCTGGCAGACCCAGGGAAGTTATCAAATCATTCTCAAACTGTTCCTTTAAAACCAACTATTAAGAAGCCAGGTAAAATGGCCTAGTCCTTAGAAAGGCTTACATTTAACCTGTACATCTTTGGATTAAAAGGCATATTTAGCCTGAAGGCTGTTTCTTTTTCCATGATGAGAGGTGTGCACACAGCTGGTCCACCCCTCCAAACATGCACATACCATTCCCCCTAAATGCCTGGATAAGAACTACACACTATGGGGCTTGGATAGTCATAGCATCTTTCTGGGAGCAAGGTGGCTCTGCTTTCAGAATTCTCTGTGTCAGACTTTCAGGGCAGCACACAAAAACTGCTTAAGAGACACATTTTATTCATGAGCTGCCAAGCTCCCACAATAAATGGTTAACATCATCGCCAAAGTTAGGGCTATCGCTCTATATAGTGTCACAGTGTCCTTCTCTCATGGCAGGGTGGACTAGAACACATTTTCCTATGCAGCAAATAAATCAGAGGTAAAAGAACAATACTCAATTTGGAAAGAAAATGAGCAATGAAGTGGACAGTGAAGGCTTCAAACATCTCACAATTGACAAGACAGTCCTTTTGATTACAGCTCTTTCAGATCTCAAAAGACGTATTACTCACCTCCCTAACATCAACCATCCAACCTCCGTCCACAAATAGCAAGACGTTGTAGATCTTCTCTTTTACATCTGTTGTTAAAGTGTCTAAATGACTCTTCCAAATACCATAGTCCATCTGGTAACAGAAAATGTGCAAATATGCATAAAGATTTAAACGGCCATTAAAAAAATCCCATTGACTTAGAGTTGGTCATCAATTTTCTTCTCGTCAAGTGAAAATATACTGGCTGTGTTCCTTTAATTCTGGCCCGACTCCCAGTGTAATTACTTACCTCATATTTCTTTTCTTTATGCTCGTGAGCTACTTTCTCAGTGAACGATACTTGACCAGCCAGAGCTGGTTTCTGAGGGGGTACATTCACATGGTTGAACCACAGATTGAAAGCATCATAGGCTTCCTAAAAAACAAACAGATGAAACACAGTTTAGAAACTCACCAAAAATACACAAGCAGCGGCTCGATCACAGCCTGGATAATGTGTCAAGGTATCTGGAGAGGATTAACAGATGACTGCTTTGATATTACCACCTCTTTCTTAGGTACCTGCAGGATTGGGGCAGCACTGGAGAATTTAGAAATAGATAAAACTGCCCATGATGTGTCTAACCTGTCTAGGCCTCATACACAATAGAGGTTATGTATAAAAAGTGTCTGTTCTGAAAGGCGGTGCAAACATGGAAAAGGGGAGAGTCACAAATGGAATGTGCCTCCTGGTGCCACTGGTTTCCATGGTGACTGCTCCACTACATTAGACCACTTTTCAAAACAGAACACTCTTTGTAGAAAACCTCATAAGTGCTACATTTATTGCAGACTTGCTTTTCAAATCCTTTTAGAAAAATCTCCAGTTCCCAGCTTCCCCAATCAGTTGTTGAAGTACTTGTAAGGCACGGCTCAAGCCATACAAATATTTGAGTGGCTGAATGGAGAAGCATTCTTTCCAAGTGATAGAAACATAGAATGTGATGGCAGATAAGAGCCATTCGGCCCATCTAGTCTGCCCAATTTTCTAAATACTTTCATTAGTCCCTAGTCTTATCTTATAGTTAGGATAGCCTTATGCCTATCCCACGCATGCTTAAACTCCTTTACTGTGTTAACCTCTACCACTTCAGCTGGAAGGCTATTCCATGCATCCACTACCCTCTCAGTAAAGTAATACTTCCTGATATTATTTTTAAACCTTTGTCCCTCTAATTTAAGACTATGTCCTCTTGTTGTGGTAGTTTTTCTTCTTTTAAATATAGTCTCCTCCTTTACTGTGTTGATTCCCTTTATATATTTAAATGTTTCTATCATATCCCCCCTGTCTCGTCTTTCCTCCAAGCTATACATGTTAAGATCCTTTAACCTTTCCTGGTAAGTTTTATCCCGCAATCCATGAACCAGTTTAGTAGCCCTTCTCTGAACCCTCTCTAAGGTATCAATATCCTTCTGAAGATACGGTCTCCAGTACTGTGTACAATACTCCAAGTGAGGTCTCACCAGTGTTCTGTACAATGGCATGAGCACTTCCCTCTTTCTACTGCTAATACCTCTCCCTATACAACCAAGCATTCTGCTAGCATTTCCTGCTGCTCTATTACATTGTCTGCCTACCTTCATCAGAAATAATCATCCCTAAATCCCTTTCCTCATATGTTGAGGTTAGGACTCTATCAAAGATTCTGTACTCTGCCCTTGGGTTTTTATGTCCAAGATGCATTATCTTCCACATTAAATGTCAGTTGCCACAACTCTGACCAATTTTCTAGTTTACCTAAATCATTTGCCATTAGGCTTATCCCTCCTGGAACATCAACCTTGTTACATATCTTAGTATCATCAGCAAAAACACATACCTTACCATCCAGACCTTTTTGTAAATCCTTATTTTTGGTCGTGCATTAAAATACAGTGCAACTTGCATTGTCACAACAGCATACAAGAGTATGTTGAACATAATGAAATAGGTATCACTAATACAAATATTAAAGAGAATGGGTCCAAGCACAGATCCCTGAGGTACCCCACTGGTGACAAGCCCATGCTTCAAATATACTCCATTGACTACAACCCTCTGTTGCCTGTCACTCAGCCACTGCCTAACCCATTCAACAATATTGGAATCCAAACTTAAAGATTGCAGTTTATTGATAAGCCTTCTATGTGCAACAGTGTCAAAAGCCTTACTGAAATCTAGGTAAGCAATGTCTACTGCACCACCCTGATCTATAATTTTAGTTACCCAATCAAAAAAATCAATAAGATTTGTTTGGCATGATCTCCCTGAAGTAAACCCATGTTGTCTCTGATCTTGAAATCCATGTGTTTTTAGATGTTCAACAATCCTATCCTTTAACATGGTTTCCATCACTTTCCCCACTACTGAAGTAAGGCTTACTGGCCTATAGTTGCCAGACTCCTCCCTATTACCTTTCTTGTAAATGGGCACAACATTCGCTAACTTCCAATCTTCTGGGACTACTCCTGTTAACAATGATTGGTTAAATAAATCTGTTAATGGTTTTGCTAGTACACCACTAAGCTATTTTAATAACTTTGGGTGTATTCCAGCAGGCCACATTGACTTATTTGTCTTAACTTTTGACAGTTGAAATAGAACCTCTTCCCCTGTAAACTCACGTGTAATAAATGACTGATTTGCCCTTTTTCCTAACTGAGGTCAATTTCCTTCATTTTCATCTGTAAATACTGAACAAAAATATTAATCGAGGCAGTCAGCTAGACTTTTATCCTCTTCTATATACCCTCCTTTTGTTTTTAATCTAACTAATCCTTGTTTTACTTTCCTTTTCTCATTTATGTATCTAAAAAATGCTCTGTCCCCTCTTTTTTACTGACTGTGCTATTTTCTCTTCTGTGTGTGATTTGGAAGCTCTTATAACTTTGCTTAGCCTCTTTCTGACTAATCTTATAGATCTGTATCTTCCTCACTGTGGTTTTTAATTACTAAATGCTAACAGTTTTTTTTACTATTTTGGCCACATCTGTGGAGTACCTCAGTGGTTTCTTAATTTTTTTGCTTTTACTGACAAGCCTAATGCAATTTTCTGTTGTCTTCAGCAGTGTCATGCCAAAAGCATGAGTTGGTGTTTGATGTGTGTTTATATATGTTAAGAGTAGTTTTTTTGTAAACCTTGGGATGACATTTATTGTGGTCTTTGATCTTGCACCAGGCCTAGACCATAAAACATCTAGATAGCCATCACCAGAGCTGGACACAAGGAATTTCATAGAGTGGGCAATAGACTGCCAGACCAACCCCCTCTGATCCCCCCAGGGGTCTGCCCACTGAGAAACAACTAGTTTAGATATATGAGGGTGTTGGACTATCCAGGGAAGTCAGTTATTCATTTTTCTTTTGTCAGTAACTTCTAGGAGACCTATACCATCTAAGACTCCCACAAGAATTCTATATGGGGTAAATATATGTAAGGAATTTCTTGTGTTTTCTCCTATTTTATTTTATGTACTGTTTTGCAATTTGTTATCTGTATGTCATTTATTTCTGTATTTTGTACTCAGCACTGTGAATCCTTTTTGTCAGATTAAATGTTTACTTAATCAGCTTGTGTCTCTGTTCTCTATGAGCTTCACTCTCCAGAGGAAAGCTCAGGTAAACACGTTACCAAAAAGGGTTAACTATATATGTTTTATCAGTAAAAGTAGAACTGTGATACTATAATTCTCCTGTGTGTGGGGTAACCTAAGACGCCCGGGTTTAAAAGTCTTGGTGGTGGCAGTCAAGTGTACTAAGGGGGTTAGTGTAGAAGGGATTGCAGGGGTTAATTGAGTGGTTGCTGGGACTAGCAACAGGTAACCAGGGGTCTGGTGTCATTAACTCTGTCACTTCCACACTCTCCCCACTGTCTCGGCTGGGCCTATAGCCCACGCACGTGACAAACTGGCGGCAGCTAGTGGGATATATTTAGAGATTTTTAGTGCTTGCTAGATTTTACCTGTAAAGGGGGTCTTAGCACTAAAAGAAATTGCATACTTGTTTTTGTGTAATTTCCAAAGACCAAGCTCAGTGCTGATTTAAAATACATACAAAGTGCAAAACAGTTCTCCCCTCCCATCTTTTGTTTTTCTTTCTCTATCCTATTTGTGAATATGGAGGCCTATCGCAAACAATCAAAAGAGGCCTTGGAATTGTTGTGCCAAGAAAAGAATTTACCAACTTTTGGCAAAAATAAGGCACAACTTATTGCTGACCTTGTGGAGGCTGACAGCCATATTTTCCAGCCAGAGACGGATACTGAAAGGGTTACCGAGCTCCCTACTACTGCAGGAGTGTTGCTTACTGAAATGCCTGGTGGTTGTACCCCTCAAAACATTAAGGACATTTGCTCAACTGATTTATTTCGGCAACTGATGGCTGCAAATCCTCAGGAGGCCCTGCATGTGATGATCCAACAGCAGGCTGCAGAAAGGGAATCTGCAGAAAGGGAGGCACAAAGGAGACATGAGCTGGAACTTGCTAAACTGCAATTTACCCTTCAGTCCTCACTGAACAGCAATGCATCAGAGTCCAGCACACGTAGGCTCCGTAAGGATGATTTTCCTTCCCTCGAAGAAGGGACAGATTTGGATGTATTTTTTAAAAGTTTTGAGAAAGTATGCAGGCAGCATCAACTACCCTCAGACCAGTGGGGCAGATATTTAACTCCACAATTGAAAGGGAAAGCCTTGGATGTGTTTGTGTCCCTTCCCCCAGAGACTGATAACAACTATGAGGCAATCAAATCTGCATTGCAAAAAACTTTTAACCTTACTCCTGAGTCTTACAGGAAAAAGTTTAGGAGTATGCAGCAATGCCCATCATCCAGCTGCATTCTATATGTTGCACAATTAGAAACCACGTTCCGGCAATGGGTAACAGGAGTACAAGCTACTACCTATGAAGCCCTTAATGACTTACTGGTCCTAGAGCAGTTCTTGCAGACCCGGAGCCCTAATGTACGAGAGTGGATTTTGGAAAGAAAGCCAAAAAATGCTAGGGCTGCTGCAGAACTGGCAGATGACTATGCCGACATCCATGCACCCACATCCAGGCGTGGACTTGTGTCAGCTGCTACTTCGACCTGGAGAGAAGCTACAGTTCAATCACCACCTGTAAGATCTGCAGTGAGAACTTCACCGCCGACTGCCAGCGTAGCCGGGGCTATGTCAAGTGAGTCAGATGCCCGCCGTTGTTTTCGATGCAACCAGATTGGTCATCTGAGCAGGACTTGCCCCACTAGGAATATGCCCTCAACAGTCCGTGGAGGGGCACCATCAGTATTGCTTGTGGGTGGGTCCGTGGGGAAACGAGAGGATAACCTGCAGAGTGTAATTGTGGGTGACCGAGTGATCATGGGACTGAGAGATTCTGGAGCTTCCTTCACCCTGGTGCGCCCTGAAGTGGTGAATACGGAGGACATAAATCCCGGAAGAACCATGTCCATCAAAGGAATTGGGGGTGTGCGTCCCGCTGTGCCCTTGGCACGTGTGTACCTTGATTGGGGTGTGGGCAAAGGTTTGCGGGAAGTGGGGATTTCAGAGGATATCCCTGTTAATGTTCTGTTGGGGAATGATTTGGGCAGGATGCTCTGTCACTATGCTCCAGCGGACACTGTTTGTGAGCCAGAAGGGCTGACTGCTCCACCTAAGGTATTGTGTGAAACTTTGGGAGACATTGTGAAGTGTGATTGCTGGGAGGGAGAGCAGGGTGTGGATAAATATCTACCTGTAACTGAACCAGTGATGTCTACCAAATGTGAGATAGGGGTGAGTAGTGATGTGCCTGTATTAAAATACTGTGAGGCTGGGATGTCAGAGAGTAAGGGGGAGGAGGAAGGTGAGAGCCAGGGATGTGTACCACTAGTCGCAGTGGTAACAAGTCAGCAGTGGGTCACGGCTGCAGAGTCTGAGGGGCTATGTGAGATTGCGAGAGGATGGCCTGCCTTGGAGAATAAATTATGTGAGTGTGTGCAAAATTCTGTATCTGATCAAGGGGGGTCAAATGTGTCCTGTGAAAATGTATGTGATGTGGTGGGTGAAAATGTGAAGGGACAGCAAGGCTATGAGGGAGGGCAGAGGGTGTGTGAGCTTTACTCTGCGCCAGACTTAGCCAGTTTCCAAAGTTCTGTATGTGTGATGACCGGAGTGAAAGTGAGGGGCACAGACAGACTCAGCCTGTGGGTCCAGGAAGGATGGCTGCAGGGAAACATACTGTTGGAGGAACCAGGAACCTTGTCAGTTTATCACAACTCACGCATACACCTAAGCAACTTTCTGATTGTGAACCAAAGGTTCAGAGTCTGATAGTGCAACAAGGCCAGCAGACAGACCGCAAAATGAAAGAGATGATGGATGTTGATACAGCACATCTATCCTGGGAGTGTTCTCTTTCTGCTTTTTTGTGGGCTTACCGGGGAGTGCTGCAGAAATCCATTGGTTTCTTCCCCTTACAACTACTACATGAGCTCAGTGGGTGTGGTTTAAGGGATGTTACCAGAGATCGATGGGGAATTGAAACAGGCAAATCAGGCATGTTTGAGGATGTAGCTGTGGTTTGGACTGATCACAACCTGCTGCAGGTGACAGGTAACACTGATAAACTGCTCCATTGGAGCCCTATCCTCCAACAGTATAATTTCACTGCCCAGCACAAAAAGGGCAGATGGCCTGTCTCGGCAACTAGAGGGTTAATGATAGACAGATAAATCAGCCTGTGGCTGAATTTTTCTGTCCACCATCTTAAGGGGGAGGTGTCATGCCAAAAGCATGAGTTGGTGTTTGATGTGTGTTTATATATGTTAAGAGTAGTTTTTTTGTAAACCTTGGGATGACATTTATTGTGGTCTTTGATCTTGCACCAGGCCTAGACCATAAAACATCTAGATAGCCATCACCAGAGCTGGACACAAGGAATTTCATAGAGTGGGCAATAGACTGCCAGACCAACCCCCTCTGATCCCCCCCCCAGGGGTCTGCCCACTGAGAAACAACTAGTTTAGATATATGAGGGTGTTGGACTATCCAGGGAAGTCAGTTATTCATTTTTCTTTTTGTCAGTAACTTCTAGGAGATCTATACCATCTAAGACTCCCACAAGAATTCTATATGGGGTAAATATATGTAAGGAATTTCTTGTGTTTTCTCCTATTTTATTTTATGTACTGTTTTGCAATTTGTTATCTGTATGTCATTTATTTCTGTATTTTGTACTCAGCACTGTGAATCCTTTTGTCAGATTAAATGTTTACTTAATCAGCTTGTGTCTCTGTTCTCTATGAGCTTCACTCTCCAGAGGAAAGCTCAGGTAAACACGTTACCAAAAGGGGTTAACTATATATGTTTTATCAGTAAAAGTAGAACTGTGATACTATAATTCTCCTGTGTGTGGGGTAACCTAAGACGCCCGGGTTTAAAAGTCTTGGTGGTGGCAGTAGTACTAAGGGGGATAGTGTAGAAGGGATTGCAGGGGTTAATTGAGTGGTTGCTGGGACTAGCAATAGGTAACCAGGGGTCTGGTGTCATTAACTCTGTCACTTCCACACTCTCCCCACTGTCTCGGCTGGGCCTATAGCCCACGCACGTGACAAGCAGTGCAACTTTTAAATACCACCATTTCTCTTGGACTCCATTTAAATTGCTCCAGTCTGATAATGAATCCTGTACACATATTTTAATTTTAGAAAAGTCTGTTTTTCTTAAGTCTAAAACTTTAGTTTTTTGTGTGGTGTGACTCAGTCACTGTTCTTATATTAAACGACACTGACTGATGATCACTGGACAGAAAGAAAATAAACTCAGAGAGGACAGTAATCAATAAAACGGCAAGGAATGAAAAGGTCAGTTTGTAGATGCAGCTTCACAGCAGAGCATAATCACTGCTATAGGTGTACTGGTTACGCTGCTGGGAGTGACCCAGAATGCATTGAAATGGTGTTTCTAAACCTGCTCTTAATTCTAATACAGCTACAGGGGGGAGCTTTATTCGTAGTATGTACATACTCACCAAATACGCCCTAATACACAGATGCTCCCGGATTGCATTTTCATCCTCAGCGGGAAGGGCACTGTCCATGGCTTGCTCCTCCCACTGATTATAGATTTCAGCAATAGAATCTGGAGGAATCTTCGCGAACACTTCTTTTGCTGCGTCACGTTTTTGTGATGCTACAGAAAAACAAGAAGTTACTATTGCCCAGCATAGAATTATAGAAAATCCAGTCCTAGCAATATCATCAGCTTCAGTGTGGTCCAGTATCTAATGAAGCTTTAAAGAACTCGGATATTAACATACAGTCAGATGGACAAGGGAAAAAAAATAATCCTATAATGAAGCCTAAGGGACTTTTAGGCAGGTTAGGTCAGAAAAATCATTGCACATTGCAAGCTTTCCCCATTTCAATACCAGATGTGTGCTCAATGCACACAATTCTTTGGCGTTCAAAGGATCAGGCAAAGGGAATGTAAATTAATGGCTTGGCTCATTCACTGAAATGGACAAACTATTCTGTACAAAAAATATATACAGTAAAATACATTGCAGATCACCTTTGTTTTATATAGAATTACATGGTGTTGCATTTAATATGTTAACACAATATGTTAAACATTTATTGCAAAAAAATAAATAAAATAAAAATGTCAATTGCAACATTAACAGCATATATCACATTCTTCCACACATAAAGTCAGTAAGAAAATAATAAGATGTTATATGTGCAACTTAAAGGCCCATTCTGAAACTAGGAAAAAGAGTTAAATAATTCAAAAAAGAGAAATGATACAAATTATTACACACATATACACACACACACATCCATAAAAATCTGTCATTAACATTAAAACATGTTTGGTTGCTTGCTACCTAGGAAAAGTCGCATTATGGCATTGCTCTGTTTTAATGCCTCTGATCTCTGCGCAGGATCAAACACCAACCAGTCGATCACATCAATTTTCTTGAGATCCTCCTGTGAAGCAGATTAATGAAATACATAACTAAACGGTAATAAGAATTATTGGCTGGTTGGCATTCATTTAAATAAAGAAGTGCTGTGTTCTGAGTATAAAATCTAACCTTCCCCGGTGACCAGGTTGGTAAAACTACATTAACAAGATGTCAAAAAAATCTCTGTTGTGCATACAGCTCGCTTTGAGGTGGAATAAATTCAAATTCAATCATCGCCATTATGGCATACGATCTGTAAACATATATCCAACCAGCTTTTATAAATATTCATGGAATTCAAATACATTCAATAGGTATCAAAGTATGTGATTAACACAGAGTTTGACAAGAGGAGGCATTTCCTCTGCCAAGTTCTGTCAGTTCCCAGCAGACATCACTAGGAACTGTTTTATGGAAAGAGCAATATGAAGGTCTTAGGAGGATCTAGCCCTGCCAAAGGGCTTTCCAAAATCCTCTGTTTTGTACTCTATTTATGTTGCACGAAAGTCCCGGAGCGGTGGGTTATACAATATTCATTAAAAATTGTTCACATTAGGTGTTAATACATTTTATTGACTTAACCAAAATACATGTACAGATTATCATAATGTCCCCACTAAACAATGATTTGTGGTGAACAGAAAAAGAAAACAAAAACATCTGGTTAAATTAGCCAACAAAATTACTTGAGCATAGAGTTTCTAAAATGTTCAGTTTGACAAAATTAACTGGTTTGTGAACACATTTAGTAAATAAATCACAACGTGTTTTCATTTCCCTTTTCAGTATGTCTTACCTCTGTCGTGTTGGGAGCAAGAGCAGCTACACGATCATGGTGAGAAAATTCACCAGTATCCCGCTTACGGACATTTTCAACAACAGTCTTTGTAATTGAAGCCACGTCTAAACCTTTACAAAAACAAAAACGTTGCGTTATATTTTAGCCATAACTGCAGAATAGATGCCAAGTATATTCTTCATAAATTCCAAAAAGTACGACAGAGTAAAGCAGTAAGTCATAATTTAATGCCAAAAGTAAAAAACTCCAAGCCGCCATGGTTGGTTTAGCAGGAGACTTTGTGAACAAATTGGCTGGGACATCTTACACACTTTCTGATTCTCATTAAAGCAGGCCTGTCATGCTTTTGGTTTTAGCTGAACAACATTCTTTACATTTAAAGGACCACTATTGTGCCAGGAAAACAAACTCGTTTTACTGGCACTTTAGTGCCCTGAGGGTGCCCCAACCCTCAGGGTCCCACTCCTGCCGGGCTCAAGTGGGAGGAAGGGGGTTAAACACTAACCTTTTTTTCAGCGCCGGGCTCCCTCGGCACTGGGGACTCTCCTCCTCCGGACGTCATCGGCTGAATGTGCATGTGCGGCAAGAGTCAGTCTCAGTCACTCCATAGGAATGCTTTTCTCAATGCTTTCCTATGGATGTCAGCGTCTTCTCACTGTGATTTTTACAGTGAGATGCGCGGAAGCGCCTCTAGCGGCTGTCAATGAGACAGCCACTAGAGGCTGGATTAACCCTAATGTAACATAGCAGTTTCTCTTAATCCTAGATGGACCTGGCACCCAGACCACTTCATTAAGCTGAAGTGGTCTGGGTGCCTATAGTGGTCAAAATTCATCCAGTTTTAAAATGTTAGCTATAAATAAATGTACTTTTTAGAATACCAGGCTACATTCTTAATGTCCCTATCTGAATATTAATTTGATACTCATTACATGAATCCTGACTCATGGTCAAACTCATGCAGCAATCAAGTTAACAGGTTTCGAATTAAAGTGTTACTCCAAATACACTATTTTTTTAACCTCAAAATGCCCTATTAGGCATTTGGCACTTATTCCACCCCTCCCCATGCTTTATTTTTTTAGACATTTTTAAAATTAATTATTTCACCACCTTCTCCACCATATTATCCTCTCTTGGTCTGTGGTCCAATTAAATGCTTCTCAAGGATAAGCATTGCTGGACCATTGCAGGCTATACCACGCATGGCCAGTGAGATTAGCTGAGTGACAGCTTATTTTGCCCACCTCCCATACGCAGAGCATGTAAAAGAGGGAGGGTTACACAGAGTGTCAGGGGTGGACAAGGGAATGGGAATCAATGGTGATCAAAGTAGAAGTGGTCATGGTGGAGCAACCCTTTCACAGAAAAGGGAGATGTGAATTGGTACAAACTTGAATCTCAGAAAGCCTTCAGTGCTGTGGGTCAAACTAAGCCATTTCAACAAAAACCTCCTCCAAAACAGGAGTACCTACTCAACTATTGCTAATGGAAAAGATCAGTTTCATTTATATTTGGTAACAGGGACAGAATGAGGTGTCAGGAGCCTAGTATCACCATAACCACTTCATCCACATGTAGTTGTTATGGTCCTTAAAAACACACCTTTAACATAGAGGCAGCTTTTTAATTACCTGCTTCCTTGGCAAGTTCAAGGCACTGGTGTCGCTGATCCGGTTCAGTTACATTCTCCAGGAATGCAGCATACTGTGATATAGCTAGGTCATGGCGTAGGTGGCTGACGTAAAAGGCGATTAGCTCAATATGCTTTTCGTTTATCAGTCTCTAAAGTTAGAGCACAATACAATGAATTGACATACTTCTTAAACTCACAATTCTGTAGATTACAAAATCTGTCGAATTGATGCCTCTAACATTTTGTCCCCCAAAACTGTTGTAATCCTTTATCTCCTTCTTAAGCTGTAGTGTGTTGTGGAACATGTCACTATATAAATGGTAATAATAATCATCACTAAAAACAGCTAAATCAGCATTCCAAAGTTAAATAATGAATACACAAAATGAACCAGTGTGTACCCAATTGCCTATAAACACAGTAAAAGCCATCCCATTGGATAGGGATTGAATGGCAATCTACTCAACTCAAAGATATTAAATTGTATTTAAATTACCTCCACTACAAGGTAAATATGTTACTTTGGATCAAAAAAGCAGCATCACATGTTACCTATCAATCTGATTTCAGGTAAAAGGATTCTGACGGAGTTTTAGCTTTGTAAGACTTAAAGAAATAAAAGCTCCAACGTGATAACTGTACAGAACAATGTCTTCTAGACTAAGCTCCCAGTGTACTTAATGCTAATCTATGTAGGCTGTAGGCAGAATGTAAAATAAACTCACCTGTATGTAGGTAACCAAAACCTCCTCACAAACGTCCTCCTAAATAAAGGAAATGACACAACAAATATCCATTCAGTGCAAAATCACAAAAACAAAACGATACAGCGCAATATAAGTGGTTCCAGAAAGTCACAATATGAATTACATTAGACCATGCATGGCATTTCAGTAATAACACGTAGCGAGATGTGAGAACTGGCTCGAGAAATGATTACTTGTACAAAAAGGACTTCTCTAGTCTTTGATGCTTCTGTACGGACATCTTCTCCAAACAGGAACTGGCAGATAAACTTCAGCCAATCTTGGTTGTCCTACAGATTCCTAAGAGAAAGCTATGATGGCTAAAGTGGACTTGTCACAGTTGTGTATGTTTGTAGAATGTGCAAAATACACAATAGTGACTAACCTGGTGAACAGTTTTGCCTGTGAATTAGAAAATATAATAGGCCTCTATAGAAGATCCTGTAAAATAGCCGACATCAAAAGAATCTACACAATAGATGCTTAAATAGTGCAACATTTACATATATGGGGAAAAAAGCAGCACAATGAATTAGGTCTGTACATTTCCTAATAAACATAAAATCATTTTTTTCCCCATGCAAAAACGATGCAAGAATATATTGAAATAAAAACTCAGCATATGTTGAGTTTGCTTTGGCCATCTATATCTGTGCACTTACAAGAATTTACTAAGAATTTTAGGTTTGACTAGTTTAAATTCAGTTCAGATGAAATATTGCACAGCATTTTAGTGCAAAAAGGGGGTTACTATTCTCTCTGGAAAAGTGATACAAAAAAAAAATAAAAAAAAAATGTTTAAACATATTTTTCGTGTTTGATGAAAGCTACCATTTTGAATGAAACCGCATATCTAGGAAGAACAAAAAAACCCACCTTTCTGTACTTCATTTCTCTCGTGTGAGTTTGTGAACAAATAGTCCGTGGTTAGAGCAAACAGTGACAGCTATTATCAATTTATATTGTCTGCTAGACATCTCTTTGCTACTGAACTGGTATTTGTAAAGAAATACATAAAACAGATACTTTGACAAGACTAGCGTCAATGGGACTTTATTCTGAATATTTTAGATAATAGTATCAAGATATATTTGGAAATATGAATAGAAGTTACCTTGGTTTGCAGTCCCAGAGTGCGAAAAAATAAGATGAGATGCGTCATGAAGCGCAAAAGATGACCGACCAGCAAAGCCTTTTCTTTTGAAAGCCATTCACTGAACTCATCCATTAGACCTGCAATTAGATTTAATGATTACATAACCCATTAAAGAACCAAGAACACAACTACTTTACGTCAGTTGTTATGCCTATGTCAGGAGACATGTAATGTTACCAACCTAAAACACAATGAACATACACGCAGAAACACTGCCCATTAAAAAAAAAAAAAAAAGTATTAATAGGCATGACAGAAACAGATCTCAAAGGATCACTAGGGATAGCAGTCTGAAAAATGTAGCACGTGTACAAACTGTGTGTAATATGCATTTCATTTCATATATTCTGGGCTATACAGGTGCATTGCAGGCAACACTCTGTTGTGTGCTTGAAATAGTTTAATGTCCTGCATTCTGTTATGATAATTATTTATAAAATCGACAACAGAGTCTGCAGCGATGTACAATGGGTAATGAAAGTCAAAGTCAGTTGAAAGGGAAAGGTATTTTAGGATAAGCTAGTGTGTCACGCCTGCCTTGTCCGCCTGTAGTCTGCGTGGGCCCCACTTGTAGGGGATGGCTTGATCCCGTAGTAGTTGTGTAACCTGACGGAAAGATTTCCTCCATTGTATAGTGTGTCTTGAATAGTCTCTGTAAAATGCTAGTTGTGCCCCTTCAAATGGAACACGGTGGGAGAGTCTCTTGTGGCCCCCATAAGTATTCCCCTGTCAGAGTCTCTCACAAGTTTTATCAGGACGTCGCTAGCTCCTTCTCGTGGTGTAGAGGTCGCCCTGGAGAGCCTGAAGCAGGAATCGATCATTACCTGTTTCGCTTGCTGTGGTGTCAGCAGCATGGCTATGAGCCGTCGGCAGAAATGTGGCAGTTCAGTGCCAGAGATTGTCTCCGGTATTCCCCGGACCCTCAGGTTCCGCATCTTGTGCCTGTCTTCCATGTCCGCCAGTTGTGCTTGCTGGTCGGCACACTGCTTGCGCAGGGCGTTCAATGCAGCATCTGTGGCATTTTGCGCCAGCGTTGTACCTTTTGCGCCCTCCTCCACTGCTGCCACCCTGTTTGTTAGCGCAGCAATATCCTCCCTCACCAGTGCCATATCCGCCTGAAACATGGTCTTGATTTCTTTAACCAGGGCTTTGATATCCGCTTTGGTAGCGGGTGCTGAGTCTCCCTGATCCTGGGGTCCCTGAGGTGCCTGGCGCCCTTGGCTCAGTATGGAGTGTTCAGTGTAGTGGGTGTATGATGGCATACCATTTGCAAAAGTAGACAACCCAAGGTATTGCAAAAGGGGTATGTCCAGTCTTTTTTAGTAGCCAGGTAATCACAAACACTGGCCAAAATTGGCGTTCAAATTCGTTTTTTGCATTTTTCACACACAAACAAATATTAACACTAAGTTTGTGACCAAGTGGCTACTAAAAAAGACTGGACATACCCCATTTGCAATACCTTGGGTTGTCTACTTTTGCAAATGGTATGCCATCATGGGGGTAATTCTCATTCCTGGGCTACCATACGATCTCAAAGACAACGTAACCAATCTGGCGAATTTTAATGTGAAAAAACTGAAACGCAAGCCTTATATTTGACTCTGTAACTTTTGAAAACACCATAAAACCTGCACATGGGGATACTGTTATACTCGAGAGACTTTGCTGAACACAAATATTAGTATTTTAAAATCATAAAACGTATCACAACAATGATATCGTCCGTGTAAGTGCCATTTGTGTGTGAAAAATGCAAAAGATTTCACTTTCACTGACGATATCTTTGTTTTGAAACACTAATATTTGTGTTCAGCGAATTCTTCTGTGTAAAACAGTACCCCCCATGTACAGGTTTTAGGGTGTCTTGGAATGCCCCAGGACTTTCGGTCTGGGTTGTCAGGCAGGTCCCGCAAATTGTAATTAATAAATTGACCTAATTATGAAAAATGATTAAATATATACATGTATATACTTTTTTTAAATATATATATATATATATATATATATATATATATACACATACATACATATACATATACACATGTATATACATATATTATTTTGTTCTACTTTTTTAAACGTATTTACATATTTATTTGATATTTATATATATATATATATATATATATATATATATATATATATATATATATATATATATATATATATATATATATATACACACACACACACACACACACACTTAGATCACATATCATAATATATATGATCTAAGTATATATTATTTAATTTTACACTGTTTTAAATTTTTATTTTTAAAGGCAGCAGGGGGAGTACCTGTCATTACAGGCACTCCCCCTGCTGGCATTGCTATGGACTATGCCGTCCATGTGATCGTGAGGTCCTCGGGATCACATGGCCCAGGTGGACCGAAGAGGAAGGAGTGAGACTCCCTGGGCTCTCAGGTAAGTCCCCATACCTTGATCACCGGCGTGGGATCGCCTGCAACCGGGTAAGTACATAGGATGGCGGGGACGTGCTATGCCGCCCCCCGGCATTTAGAGCCGGTTCCCTAAGGACGGCATAGCACGTCCCCCATCCTTAAGGGGTTAATGACTATGGTGCAAAATAAACTAAAATTTATATTTTGCAAATGGTTGAAGTATATAATTAAAAGTATGACTAAACCTAAAGGCCCTGAAGAGGTGAACAATCAGCCTCCCTCGCCTCCGCCTAAAAACAAACAAAATACTATGGTTACATACTTTTAAAACGGGTATATTAGATGTCTGGGGCAAAGAGTGTAGATTTTTAAAAATCATCTGTTTAATAATTCCCCCTATTCAGTCATATGTAAGACAGTATGATTAAATATAAGGAAGTCAGAAGAACATAGATCTTGATACTTGTGGGGGGGGGGGAACCCCTGAAATTCTGCTAGACTGACCAATGGAATCACCAAACAAGTGTACTAATATGGTGCATTCGCCCTATAACGCTGCAGATATTAGTCCCTATGAACTCTAAAGAGTTTTTTTTTTTTTTTTTTAAATAAATGGGTCATGTTTGATTGTATCATTTTGTGGCTTCCCCAACTCCTCCTATATGTTATAGTATAAAAGTGTTTTTTGCCACATAAAACTGGTGATTCTGTGGGATTTAACAAAATTGTGGTCCGGGCACGCAAGGATCAATTAAACAGCACATTTATTTAGGAAAAAGTGCAACGTTTTGATCTCAAAGAGATCTTTCTCAAACTTTTTCCAAATAAATGTGCAGTTTAATTGATCCTTGAGTGCCAGGACCACAATTTTGTGCAACTATTATGGTAGGGGGAGCCAACCCCAGGTCTAGTAGCACCATGATCCTAATAAGAGTACGGAATATCTCTGTTTATACAGCTGGGGGATTTGTAAAATTTTTATTAAAATTATTTTCCATACATTAAAGGGACACTATAGTCACCAGAACAACTACAGCTTATTGGATTTGTTTTGGCGAGTAGAATCATTACCTTCAGGCTTTTTGCTGTAAACACTGTCTTTTCAGAGAAAATGCAGTCTTTACATTACAGCCTAGTGATAACTTCACTGGCCACTCCTCAGATGGCTGTTAGAGATCCTTCCTGTGTCATGTCTGCCTAAAATGTATCCAAAAATTCAGTGTCTCCTCCCTCTGCATGCAGACACTGAATTTTCCTCATAGAGATTCATTGATTCAATTCATCTCTATGAGGAGATGCTGATTGGCCAGGGCTGTGTTTGAATTGTGCTGGCTCTGCCCCTGATCTGCCTCCTTGTCAGTCTCAGACAATCCTACGGGGAAGCACTGTGATTGGATCAGGCTACCACTTCTGATGATGTCAGCAGACTGCTTGTTTTTTTTCTGAGGCAGACAGCATGCAGATCTACAGCTTCAGGCTTGAATACAGTAAGATTTCTATATTTATGGAGGCATGAGAGCTCAGGGGGGCTAGATGGTGGTTTTAACACTACAGGGTCAGGGAAACAGGTTTGTGTTCCTGACCCTATAGTGATCCTTTAAAGACTGGAGAAAAAAAAAAAAAAAATTTTAAATTGTGTGAAAGAAAAGGAGGCATAGTACAGTAAATGCAAATGGCTACTCACCATCTAAATCTGCTAAGATAATGTACTTCTGAATTCTATGGTAGTGTTCCTTATTCTCCTCCAAAACTCTCTAAAAAAATGAATAGCACATTTTAAATACATTCAACAGCTGCAAGCTACGCTACAAAGATTACAACTCTTAAGTAAAAAAAATATTCACCTTTTTATCTGTGGCCTGGAGCTCCTCAAATACACCTTCTAGAGTCCAGCTGTCGGGAACAAAAGTCAACGTCAAAACACATTAGAGAAAAATGAAACAACGGATGTGGTGTTTTTGCATATTAGATAACAGTGTATTCTTACCTGGCTTCCCTGTACTCTCGAGGAAGTTCATCGGTTTCCGAGGGTGCCATGCCTGATGCTCGAATCTCCTGGTCCACTAAACTGTCCACCATTGCCCTGAAATATGCCCAGATTGTATCCTCCCACGTATCACAAACAGGAAGAAGCTAAAAATATAGGACAAAATAAAAATCCCGGCCAAAGTGATCTGATAACAATGGGGAAAATAACTTCATGGGGAGAATTATCAGTATTAGGAAAATTTTCTTTTTCAGGTGGTGAACAGAATATTTTGTGTCTCCCCAATTATGTACCACTATATAACAATTATGTGAGAATAGTCTACATCAATATTGCCTTGAATTAGAAATCCTCTGATTTAAAGAACTTGAGAAAGCCCCAAGAACCTAGCCAAAGACTATAAGGAGGAGTTGCTGGAGCCAGCACGTCGGCATCACGGAGGAGGTTTACACTTCTATTGGGAGTGTCCCCAGTAGGGATCGACCGATATTGATTTTTTAGAGCCGATACCGATAATCTGCGAACTTTCAGGCCGATAGCCGATATCTTGCCGATATTCTGTACATTTACTATTTTGAATAAATAAACTAATTCGAAAGGTAAATGCACAAAATATACATGCCACATGTAGTGGATGAAGTGTGTTTAGACAGGGGAACTGTGTGTGTTTGTGTGTGTGTGTGTGTGTAGGGTGTGTGTTTGTGTAGTGTGTGTATAATGAATGTAGTGTGTATATAATGCAGTGTGTGTAGTGTGTATATAATGCAGTGTGTTTACGTAGTGTGTGTGTATAATGCAGTGTGTTTTTGTGTGTGTATGTAATGCAGTGTGTGTGTTTGTGTAGTGTGTATGTATGTAATGCAGTGTGTGTTTGTGTAGTGTGTGTATGTGTAGTGTGTATGTAATGCAGTGTGTGTATGTGTAGTGTGTATGTAATGCAGTGTGTGTCTGTGTAGTGTGTATGTAATGCAGTGTGTGTGTATGTAATGCAGTATGTGTACTGTGTTTGTGTAGTGTGTATGTAATGCAGTGTGTGTGCAGTGTGTGCAGTGTGTGTCTGTAATGCAGTATGTGTGCAGTGTGTGTTTGTGGTGTGTGTGTAGTGTCTGTCTGTGTAGTGTGTGTATGTAATGCAGTGTGTGTGCCTGTGTAGTGTGTATGTAATGCAGTGTGTGTGTATGTAATGCAGTATGTGTGCAGTGTGTGTTTGTGTAGTGTGTGTGTGTGTGTGTGTGTGTGTGTAGTGATGTAATTTGTGTAATTTTTTATTTTAATATTTTTTTTATATTTAAATGTTTTTTTTGTTTAGTCCCCCCCAGTGTGTGTTTGTGTAGTGTGTGTTTGTGTAGTGTGTATGTAATGCAGTATGTGTGCAGTGTGTGTTTGTGTGTGTGTAGTGATGTAATTTGTGTAATTTTTTATTTTAATATTTTTTTTAATATTTAAATGTTTGGGTTTGTTTTGTTTAGTCCCCCCTCCCTGCTTCTTACCAGGGAGGGGGATATAGTATTCCCTGGTGGTCCAGTGGCTTGTTAAGTACAGTGGTGGCTCAGCAGCAGCAAGCACTGACTTACCTTGCATGCAGCTCCTACAGCTCCCTGTGTAAATCTCGCGGCTCTTAGTGCCGCGCGGAGCGTTGCCATGGTAACCCGTGGCAACGCTCTGCGGCCGCGGGTCTCGCGAGATTTACACAGGGAGCTGCATGCAAGGTAAGTCAGCGCTTGCGGCTGGCCCCCACAGGACCGCCGGGCTTCTAATGGGCCCGGCGGTCCTGTTCTATATTATCGGCAATATCGGTATCTGAATTGGCCGATACCGATATTGCCGAAAATACCAAATATCGGCCGATAATATCGGCCAGACCGATAATCGGTCGATCCCTAGTCCCCAGGCAGGCAAAATCATCAATGAAAAAATATAATAGTATATCACAGATGGGTTTGATTGCACAAGAGCTATAAAGGGGCTCTGAGCCGGTAGGTAAGAAATGTAATTTAGGAAAAAAACATTAATAATAGCGGCTAGTACCAGCAGAAAGGGAAAAGATACACCCACGATGTTTTGTGACTCAAAAGCACTTCATCAAGGAAGTGTTAGCGATACTGTAGTGGTGTCTTTCCCCCTTACTGCTGGTCCCAGTCGCTATTTTAACAAAGCAGCAATAAAGGTAGTGTTTTTAAATGTAATTTTGCATTGTTTGTGCAAATCAGTAGATCCAGGCGGTTGTTACAGACGTGTAACACCAACCTCTGTAAGGAGGAGCAGGGAAGCAAAGTGCCCGGTGAGTGGTGATAATTTCCCTTTAAGCATTTTGAACTGGCGCCAATCACCAATTTCTGTAGATATTTATAGAGATTACAACATTACTGGCAGGGAGTCGAGGTGCAGTGGTGTGAATTTCCTTTTTCTGGCTTTAAATAAAAAATTAAAAAAAGGGTATACAAATCTAAATTATAAGCCATACATTGGCAGATCTACTTTATGCGACTCCTCTGTTCTTTACAGTAACAGGAATTCATAGAACATGAAATCCATTCTGCTGGACTAATTATCAGGTTTTACATTAATCAATGTGTTATTAAGCTTAAACAAAAACAAGAGACAAGCATTAAAAACCTTACCTGTTTAAGATTTCCACTGAGAGTGGCATATATCGCTCGTTCATATCTATTAAACTGGTCCTGGAGGAAAAGGCACAGGTCAATATAGAAAGCAACTGTAAGCAGGACAAACTAAACCGCAAACAAGCTCTTAAAAAGACAGGAAAAGTAATTGTGTAAAGTGTGACTTACATCTTCTGCCATTCGCCAGCAGCATGCTTTCCAGACACATCTGTATGGGTTTCCTTCTACAGGCTGCAGCTGGGACTCTGCAAAGATACGCACATTCAAAGCCTCAATATAGTCACAGTGTTCTTACATAAAATCTCAAGTCATATTCTACTAAACCAGGCCTTACGGGAAAAGCACTCGTGAATATAAATGGAAGACAACAAATTCTTCATGAGTGTGTCAAATACTTTTGTTTCAGTAAACGGGAAGAGCTATGACTGGTCATGTCCTATGTGTGGCTTGCTATACATATCCCAAAACAAAAACATACAGGAATTATGGGATACTTACACCTTTCACACTGAAACTAATGAGACCAGTAGGAATGGCTGAAACATCAGGTCTCTCTAGATGTGAAGGAATAACCAGTGTATGTGATCTGCTTGCTTGGAATACCACTCATCTTTAGTCCTAGAATGTTTATCAATGTGGCCATTAGAAAGATGTCCTTCATGTTGCACCTGAACAGCCTAAACTGCATGGGTTAAGGTATAACTATTTATTCAAATGTGCTGCTTTAAGAACCACTTGACACTCAAACGACTTTATCTTGTGAAAATTAGTTATGGGGGAGGGGTATACCTTTCCAAAGGCACTATTTTAGAAATCAGCTTCCATTAGCTACCTTGAGAGTCCCTATCTTCCCATCACATGCCTCCCTTCTCAATGTGAAGCCTGATAGTTTCTTGCAGGGAAAAAAAGGGAGGGCTTGCAGAGGCTGAAGTTCAAAAAACTGCAGTTTTGGCAAGATTTGATTTTTTTTTTTTAAAGATAGATCTCCAATGAATACACACATGAAAAAATGAGGATATATCTACTAAACAGGGATTTCTATTTATATGCATTTGGGCAGTCAAGTGTTAATTTAAAAGGACACTCCATTTCTCAAAAACTTTCAACTGTTTAACAGATATACCCACGTTGAAAACACGCCTGCATTTCTCATTGAGGGTAGATCTAAAAATAGCTTGCAAAAGCTGCGGATCTCTTGTCCGCCTTTGAAAGCCCCCCCCTTCTTCTCCTGCGGAGACATTTTGAGGCTGTCCAATCACAGACTTCTCAATAAAAATTCTTTGCAACTGCTGCCTATTGAGTTTAGCTCCACTGAGCTAAACAACCAGGAAGTGGTTGCTTTACTGATAGCTGGGGGTTGAAAGAAGGAGCATTTTTTAAAAGTGCCGAATTCTACTGAAACCTGCACTTCTTGTATATATTATTAAAAAAACAAAAAAAAAAAAGATATATAAAAAAAAAACAAAAACAAACACACTCTTCAACTATAAAGAACTTCATCATGTTGCTCAAACCTGATTTGCATAAAATTACCTCCATTATTTATATTGGGATCACTGTACAATTTCCATCCTTCCAGTGTTGCTGCTCTCCAGGCTTGACCACATCGTTTACAAAGCCTCTGTGCCTGGTAAATGTATATACATGGCATTATTTGGGAGCAGAAACTCATCCAACAGCTATTCCTATGGCAGAGACTGGCAGATTAGGGTGATTATGGACCAGTTGAAGTGTTCTGGACACAATGGCCAAACGCGTGTCTAAATGTACATGAACCAGCTAAAATGTACATGTACATTCACTTTTTACACATCAAACCAATTTACCTCTTCAGTCATTCCGGCTCTGATAAGCGTAAACAGATACTTTAAAAGCCGGACATCATCTTCTCGATCAAGATCATCTAAAGGCAGTTTTTGCCTAATAGGGGCATCAGGATCCTACAAGAAAGAAAGATAAGTATGGCTATTGAGACCTCATAACTGAAATGCATGTTTGTGAACACTTTTGGGAGAACTTTCCATAAGAAGTCACTAGATTTACAAGAGAATTGTATCCTTCACTTTTTCCCCAGGGACTTCCACTCATCCTCAATTACAGTCACAATAAGCAAACTAAAAAGCATGCAAAAACATGGCAACCAATCACCTTTTGTTCTAGGCTAATGGCTCTACCAAACTCATTTCCTCAGATATTAAAGCCGTTTTGGGATAAAGGTAGGGGTTAGTTTGTAAGGATTCAGAAGAACGCCCATTGCCATTGCAGTGGTAGTAAAAATATCTTTATCCAAAGGGATTGAGTGTAGTTTCCTTGGTTTTGTTTTTACAAACAAAATAATACATATCAATTCACAGTAGAAGATATAGGCTTACAAATCCTTGCATTCAGATTAATTAGATCTTAATATCAAATTTCTGATCCAACATACCAACTCATAAACCAGCGGACGACCAATTCCAATCGATGAAGAACTCCTCTGTTTTAATGTGCTCAGCGTATTCTCCCTTTTAATAAACAGGTAAGTAAATGAGTAATCTTGTGTGAAGACAATTGAAACAATTTTACTAATTAGCAATAGTACAGATTCTTCAAGAGTAGAACAATGAATATTAACAGCCTCTTGCAATCAACCAACCTAACCCATGTGCAATTAATTACACTTAAAGGGACACGCCAATGCCAGGAAAACAATTCGTTTTCCTGGCACTGCAGGTCCCCTCTCCCTCCCACTCCCCATCCCAGGTTGCCGAAGGGCTGGTTCAGAGTCCGCCCACGCTCCTCCCCTGCCGACGTCATTGAAAGATGCTTTCAATGCTTTCCTATGGGGATTTCAGCGACGCTGGAGGTCCTCACATAGTGTGAGGACGTCCAGCGACGCTAAAGCACAGAAAATCTAGTAGACAGCCACTAGAGGAGTTAACCCTGCAATGTAAATATTGCAGTTTATGAAAACTGCAATATTTACAGTTGCAGGGTTAAGGGTAGTGGGAGTTGGCACCTAGACCACTCCAGTGGGCAGAAGTGGTCTGGGTGTCTGGAGTGTCCCTTTAAGGCCAGGGTATCACAGCGTCAAAGTACATTTTCGTGACATGACAAAACAACCGCATCTCTTCTAAACATACTGAAGTAGTAAATATATCAAATCAGCAACTCAAGGGCAACACTTATTTCAGACAAACCGGGTTATTCATGAAAAAGAGAATTCTAAAGAATTTCAAGACAATTTTAAATTTAAAGTCAAAACAGCTAAACTGGATGTTTGGTTGACTTGGTGAAATTTTCCAGTTTCCCAATATTGGCTAACTTAACATTTTTTTTTTTAACAATTTAGCAGATACAACCCCAGAGGGGAAAAAAATACATGCATTTTTTTCTGCATGTTTTCATTGGGGGTGTATGGGGTGAAATATCAGATTGCAAAAGCTGCAGACCTGCAGCCCCTCACTTATCAGCCCAGACTTCCAGTCATCAATGCTGATTTCTATGGCAAATGACACTTTTATAATGTGTCACAAGATAATAGCTTCCAGAAGTGCTTTGTGTGTGCATGCAGTGTTCCTTTAAATTTGAGATGAATTTTGGATTTATGAAAATTCTCACTTTAAGAAAATTTCTGTAAATGTTAAAAACAGGTTGTAATTTATTGCGAAAATAACATATATATCGATCTATAAAAATCTATCAGGGCTCAAAATTTCCACAAAGCACCACCAAATGAAAATGTAGCCCTGGTGATCTTGACAGGCTAAAGGAACACTACAGTGCTAGAAAAACAAACATGCATTCCTAACACTATAGTGCTGGATTGGAGAAAAAAAGGCAGCTTACTTTTGATCCATCGCCACGGCTGGCCAGCCACTATGGCGGAGATCATCAATCTTGATGATCTCAGCCAATCCCATAAGAAAGCATTGGGAGACTATTTTACATTTGTGGCAAAATGCCTCGCTTTTCCAATCAGCAGCTTATCATAGAGATGCATTGAATTGCACAGTGCAGCACTGATATAGAAAACCCGTCTGAGTAACAGCATCTAGAGGTGTTAAGAGGCAGCAATGTAAACACTGTCTTTCCTTGAAAACGCAGCATTTGCATTGAAAAGCCTGCAAGGACAGGCTATAGACACCAAGCTTAAGCTGTAGTGGTTCTGGTGACTATAGTGCCCCTTTAAGGCCTGGCTACTAGCATAGGACTTTAACCCCTTAAGGACACATGACATGTGTGACATGTCATGATTCCCTTTTATTCCAGAAATTTGGTCCTTAAGGGGTTAAAGGAGTTGTTTTAAAAAGGATGTGCATAAGCAAACACACAAACGCAATATAAATCTGTCTTTATTTCATATTGTTCAGGCACGAGACAATCCAGATAGCCTGCCATTGCATATTATGTATCCTGAAACAATTTATTATTGATAAAAAAAGTTTTTGCAATTAAACTCACCAGTAGACAGATTTGGCGTAAAACTCAATTTTCTCAGAGAAATCTCCAACATCATCTTTGGCTATACTTTCTAACCAATCGACCACCAGCTACATGTAAAAAAACAAACAAAAAAAATCATCTTATTTTCAATGGATCTTTTTAAACATGGCTTTTTTTATTTTATTTATTAAAACCAAAGCATGGGTTGAGATCCAAAGGACCAGTGACCAGATCTCATACAAAGACAGCACAGTTTTGACCTTAAGAGAAGAAAAAAATAAGCCTATATCACCACCAGAGCAATGGGTAACATAAGCTATACAGGAAGATCTGTAAGATTTCAGATGTATGAACCTAAGGGCATAAGATCCACTCTTTCCCCACCCAAGCTGGCCAGTGTCATAATCATCAAGTGTCCCATAGCACTGTGTGCCCACGAAAGCCGTGCCGCCAGTCAGAGCTCTGTCTGGGCAATATGAAAGTCACCACATGTCTCTCCCATCACTGGATATTACACAGCAGAGGACGAACAGCCCTTTTGGGCTGAGGCCTTCACATCTAAACCCAAAAGGGCTCTCAGTGGTGTGCACAATTCTCTATGGGCCCCTGTATAGCTAAGATGCATAGACTCCATAAATGACAGTGGGAGACTGTGGCGAAACCAACCTCGCCACTGTGAACTGGAGAAGCCTGGTTGCTCGCCTGCTCCCTTTGGACTATGGCCCTGCAGGTTAAACCGTTTATTTCCCCTGCAGAAAGGCTTATTTGTGTGATCGGAGTGCCATTCATCTAATAATGTGCGCTCAGATCCCAGCTATCTGGGGATATGTGAAATGTCTGTGTGTTATGTGTAAATGTGACTTTATGTATTTTAAAGTGTTTTGTGTCTTTTTGCAACCATGTGCTTAATGGAGTCTTGTGTCTGTCGTGGGAGATAATTGAATTACTCTCCAGGATAGAAGACTCTGAAACTGGTTTGGGCCAGAAAGCCATGCTTCATTTAGTCACAAAGGACTTTCCCTTAACTTTTGAACCCCTGGTCTGATTCGTGCCATTTTTTAATATGTTGTTCCTCTGAATGGATTGATTATGAAAATGTATGTTTGTGACATGTATATTTTAGAAGTTATAAATATTGTGTAAAAACTGTATTCCTCTGCCGGTGATAATGAGATTACCCATTGTGTTCAGTAATCATATCACCTGCAGAGGGGAGGATTTTGTGTGGGAGTGTCTGGGTGTATTGTACTGATTGATTGGTTGTTTTGTAACGCCCTGTGGGCTGTACTATGTTTGTGGATTGGGAATAAAAGAGACTGTATGTGACAGTACAGGGAGATTCTGCTTGACCCTCAAACCGATGTGTCGTCTCGTTTTTGGGGGGAATTGGATTGTATGCTGACTGCCAGGAGTGTAAGCTGATTGTATGCTTTTCCTGTTCGGCTGATTCCAGTGTTCGTGTGTTTCCAGTTCGGGAGTTGGTGAATTCGTACAGTTTGCAGTTCGGGAGTTTGGTGCTTGCAGTAGCTGCTGGTCTATGGGAAAGGGGATTATCGCCTAAACTGTTTTTATCCTCTTGTGAGATAAACGGTCCGTTACAGAGACCGCTCAGGATGTGCCACAGTGGGCCAGCAGCCTCCCAAGGCATAGGTATGATGGCAAATTTGGCTTCTGAACATGTTAATGTTTCTGTGCTAATCATCCGACAAGGTGGTGAAGAAGCAGGGAAACATAAAAAGTAAGTCCCATGCAGGGTGCTGCCATCATAACAGGTGCACCACTGGAAAAAAAAAAAACAGAACATGCGGCCGAGATAACCTCCAACGGCAGGGGGGAGAAGGGCCACGGATCTACCCCCATAAATCTTCTGGTAAGTATAAATCACATTTGTTGCTCTGAACTTGTTGTCTTGGCACCTCACCCAAATCGTGCAGCAGGCCTTCAAGCCCTATTAAGCCAGTACTATATGCAGTAGGCCAGAGTCTTTGGTAGTGCCACACACAGGCGGCTTTCTGCTACCCACCGGCATCAATCGCTAGCTGGGGTATTGCCATATTCAGAAACATGTAGTAATCCGGGCCAGCAGAGATCAGTAAGCAATATTCAGCAGTTTTTAGAAACAAGAGACCAGAGCTGCAAAACATGGCTGCCTGCTCTCTTCAAAGTTTTTAACAATGTATCCATTATTTCTATCCAAGAACACGCTGGCATCATCGAAGTTTATTAGGGAGAGTAAGGAATGGTTAGCCACATTTTGAGCTTTTTATTTTAATGCTTTTGAAAGTTTCACATTTTTCTTTCTGGTAAACAGTGGGTAAATTTTTTAGTCAGATAATACGAATTAAAGTAATCTATAAACTAACAGGAATGCTTTGTTTTCCCTGATAAATTACAAAAGATTCTTTAGAACTCACCTGAGTCTGACGGACAAGGGAATCTCTCTGAAAAAGTTTTTCTACAACCATCTTTTCACTTGCATTTGGTGCCTAAAAAAATAACAAAAAATAAAGAATTTCAGCTAAATAAGCACATAAAACATGAAAATAATTTTTCCTGTACTCATCAAAAGTGTATCTTTCATTGAAAAATAAGACTGCGTTTGTGATATAAGTGTCTGTGGGAAATAAGAATTACATGCCATAATTACACAGATCCAACATACAAATATCGTACTTGTTTACACATCACAGTTAAAGGGTTACACCAGCCCTTTTGAAGGGGCGGACAGGACTTTCTCTGTGTAATATGCCCAGTAAGGCGCAATGGAGAAGGTGTCCATTTTGCCGGCACAGAGTGCCCTGTGCTTTGGCCCAGCAAGGAAAGGGAGATTTTTCTTTGTTTTTAAAAGTGTGTAACAGAGGGATCACACAATGGGAAGAAATCTCTCTCTATGTGCAGTGTTTCAAACAGGAACAATGCACATACGCACTCCTGCCACCATGACCACTTCATCACTGCAGAGTTTAGACAAGTTGAAGAACCAGTTAAAACCAACTAAAACAGGGACATACAGTGAAATGCAAAATCCCATTCAATGACAAGCATCAAATTTTACCCTGATTTATTCTATTGCCCAAACTGTCAAACGTATAAACCTTTTCCCCTAAGTTACAACTTACAGCAATATCAAACATGCTTTCCTCTTCCAGCGAAGACTGTATTCGATCTCTGAAAAAGGTAGGTAACAAATACAAAGAGAGCATTAAATGGGAAAAATTACCATTATATACCATTATGCATTAAAAACAAAACCTGAACAAAAAAAACTAAAAATTTCATTAAAATGTAAATAAATTACAGAACCTCCTCCATCAAACAAATGAAAACAACCCAAAACAAATAACATTCCTATATTTTTAACCTCGACACAATGATTTTTTTATTTTTTTAACTCCCCAACACAATGGTATTCATTGGATATGGTTTTCCAGCAATTAATCTTTTCCTATACCCCCCACACCCTCTGTTTACTATCAAATGTGTGCATGTGTTATGTAACCTAGTGCTACAACTGGATTACAGTTGTAATGATGCAAATGTAACATCAAGCGCCATCAATTTGATTTAAAGGAACATGGTACTTTAATAACTTTTTTTTTGTCCTAACTCTGCCGTGTCCGTGTGGTTATTTCGTTTTCAGGGCTCCCCTTCCCTTCACTCCACTGGCAGCAGTCTCATCAGCCTCTTTTGAAGTCATTAAGTGTGATTACTCTGGTGCAATCCAATGCTTCTCACAGAGAAACTTTGTGGAGTTAAGGCACATGAGGTGCAACAATCACAGCAATGCGCCATCCAATGCCTCTTGCGCACAGCACTATCCATTACGCTGTTTAGACATGCAGGTGCTCTTTCCACACGAGCACTGCCCGCAAGTCCATCAAAGATGAAGTTGCTAAAGTGTCTACAGTTTTTCTTTAATTTATTAAAAAATTATAGTCTATCAAGAATTTGCATGTAAAATGTCACTTCTTTCAAAAATATGCCTAAATATTTTCCCTTCAGACTAGAGGCAGTGCTTTACAACTGGGATTTCATCACCTGGAGGGAAAAAACAGGCAGGCAATCTCCCAAACTTTTCAAGAACCTCCCCCAATTAACCTTTGGCCTTATAAATTGCTTCCTACCCAAGACATCCCCAGTTCTTTGCCTACCTCCGGCAGAGGAGGGTGTCAGGTTCAGGTTTTCTCCCTAGAAGTATGGTGAGAGGGCTGAGGCTCTGGAGGCTCTACTTCTTTTAAATAAATTTTTCAGAGATCGGCCAGGGATAACACACCAGACGGCTGTATCTCCCCGGGTTGTATTACTTCTGTCAATACAGAGCCAGGTGCCGGGCAGACGATGGTGTGCATTTGGGCACTAGCTGGGAAGTCCTGGCGGTGGAACACTCGTACAGGTTACGTTTATTTCCGCTGTGAAATCGCGAAATGCAGGACATGCGTAATGCGATTTAAAATTCAGGTGCCAATATCTTTATCATTTTTCTCTCCGGGATCAAGATGTTGGTTTCCAGGACTAAATGTTGCAGCAACTAAATGTTGCCAGGTGCACTCAGAATCTGTTGCAAGTGTGTTCTCATCAACCTCCAACACACTCGGAGGATATTTAAGGTAAGCCTTTTTGCTTTTATCTTAAATGACTCTAGCCTGAATAAGTTAATTATCTGTGCTGCAAGATGGATAAGCTAAAAAAGCGCAAATGTTTCTAAGTTCGAGAGTTTTTAGCTTCTCATCACTTAAAGATATTCCTAAAATCTTAAAACATAGTGCTTTGAAAGTGTAAGCACTTAGTAGATCGAGACCATAATAGATTATTCTTTGAGTAAAGCCTATAAAGGGTATTAGATAAGAATATACTTTTACATAATTCTATTTGGTAAATTTAAGTTTCCTTTCTGGCTCAAAATAGCTGCTACACAGTGATTAGTTAATATGGGTCTCAATATCACTAATTGCTGCAACAGGGTCAGTAATTAAAGTGAAGTGTTCCGGTGGAATATATTCACAGGAGCAAGACCTGTATGACTATTGGAGGATTATCCTCAGGAGGCTGATATTTAATATCTGGTTTTGGTTAAGTTAATATACTGTTGTAGCAGATGGATTCTTTAAATGCCAGGATCCTAGCCACAGTGTTTATTTTCTTAAAACATGCAGTAGGCTTTGGCAATTGCTGTAGACAAAGCTCTGTTGCAATTAGCATTCTCACCACCTCAACTAGTGTCACCTGATATCAGTTTCTAAAAAGGCAGTCTGGTTTTCAGCTGGGGTAGAACTTTTCCTGTGCTTCACTCCATGGTTGCACATTTTATGTTTTGTCTTAAATTCCAAGTCCTATGTTGTCAGTTACAAAGACAGGTTTGAGCTGACTGTTGGAATGGCAATTTTAAAGAAAATGCTTCCTAATATTGGTCCCTGCAGAGTTTGCATCAAACAGGTTTTGAAATGCAGTTGCAGCTGTTCTGTCTGCTCTAGCCTCTGTTCCCAAATACGGCTAAGGAAATCCTATAGGAGGTAAGGCTAATGGTTGGTATTGCAATTTTAAAGAATTACTTCTAATACTGGTTCCTGCAGAGTCTGCATCAAACAGGTTTTGAAATGCAGTTTGCATTTGCTTCCCAATTACGGTTAAGGAAGGCCTGGATCATGGGTATTGTCTTATGCAGACTGTATATCTATATAATCAGTCTCGCTTCGGCCAATAAAAATGGTAACCTGTATGAACTAGTCTCTATGGAAAATTTCTTCCTCATGTTACTGGGCTTGAAGCACATTCTAGGACAGCTGCAGGCCTATTGATCAAGATGTAGTTCCACCAAGTTCAGTTTGTACCCTGCACTGCCATAGATACGGTATGACAGGGATGGTTTACTGCCGTTTTCTTTTAAGAAAGAGCTTATGGCAATTGCCACTTAAGATTCTCTCACTATGCAAAATGTTGCAATCCATAAATTTGTTGAATCTCTACAATACTGCTTCCTCAGGGGCACCTAATTAATTTTTGTACACCAGCCCCTAAAGCAGGGGTTCTCAATGTTAGTCCTCAGGACCCCCTACCAGTCCAGGGTTTAGGGATTACCTGGGTGTCTCTAAGATGTTTAGAATAAGAGGGAAAAAAAAACACCTTAGAGTCTAAGGTGTTTTTTTCCCCCTTTTTCTAAACACCTGAGACACACCCAGGTAATCCCCAAATCCTGGACTGGTAGGGGGTCCTGAGGACTGGGTTGAGAACCCCTGCCCTAAAGGTTAGGGTGTTTTTCTACAGCATACAGGTGGATGCTAATCAATCTTCTGATAAAGAATTCCCTTTTCAAGAAGTGTGCAGTTCTGGTGTTTGTCAAGGAACAGTTCAGGTGTAAATATTTTGACAAGGGTTTTTGACTCTCAGAGAATGGTAATTCCCAGAAGAAAAAAATTGTGGTTCTCTCTGTCCTTATCACCTGAAATCTCTCTTCTACTTCAGTAGACAAGGTACTAGGGAAATAATATTGGTTCCCGTGTTGTAAGAACCTGCTAGGTCTCTTCAGCTTCTTTAGGCATAACACTGTTTACAGGTCCTTCAGTGGCCAGATACAGTTGCTGATAAGATTTTGCAGTAAAATCCGATACTTCGGTCATTTCTTTCTGAACCAGGCAGGAATGAAGGATGCCAGACGGTTCTTACTTTTTGTTCTAGTTCTCACATCGATCGTTCAGAATTTTACGACTGATGCTTCAGGTCTCAGCTAGGTTCTCATAGGGTTGAAGGGAAATTAGCTGAGATATTTTGAAAAAAATATATCCAACTACATAGGACCGAAGGCTATCTGGCTAGCTCTCTTTGCCTTTCAGATAAAGAGCAGGTGTTATCTTGTCCAGATCTGGTCATTAGGCGAAAACATGCTATGCTTTCTTATTCTTTAATTATCTTAAACATCTAGGCATCTACCTAAAAATAAAATACTATATATTTTGGAATTAATTTCCCAGTTGCTAAAGGCAACATCAGCGTGACCTTATCAGTTTCTTGGCAGCAAATGCTGACAGAGAGGAAGACATCAATTACAGACACGGGAGCTTCAGAACAGATACGATCTGCAGGGGAGAGTCAGAGACTTTACATCTTCCACTAACACTGTTTTTGAAAATCTTAAATTTGACTTCCACTGGAAGAGACATTTTTTACTTTGCGGTGGTTTTAAAATAAATTGTCTGGGTCTCCCTAGAGTAATTCTACTAAAACACTTTGACAGTAAGGGAGAGGAGAGAAGGTTAGAAGGGTACTATGAGGCCCGGGACAACTGGCATTTGCTTTCTTCAAAATTACTCAATATTTCCACAACTAAAACGAAAGCTAGTAGGTGATTTGATTCACCTGCAAGTTTTATTAATTTAATTTCAATCAAGAAGAGAAATAAAAATGTAATTTCAATCAATGTGCATGCACCCTGAACTGACGGTGTTCCCTTTGCTTTGAGAACTTACCTGAAAAGTATAGATTCAGATAACATGTTCTTTTAAGGGCACTAACCTATAAAGAGATGCAATAAGCCTCCACGTAACCATTTCTTGCCGTAGAAGCCACAGGATACTGGCCGTTTTGGAAAACTTCTGCTGTCCTGGAGTGACATGCTTGACAATCCTTTTAAGCAAGCCCATCTGGAAAGAAAAAGCGCACTCTTAAAACAGGCAACACAAGGTACCAATCCAAGGTAAGAATTAAAATTAGTCCCTTTTGAAAAATAATTTAATTAATGGAAAAATCTTTATTAAAATACATATGATTGAAATGGGGGCATTTGATGTAAAAGTTACGTTTTACATGAAGACTTCTAAACATCTCTCAGTATACCTGAATTCAATCCCTTTAATGATATAGGTAACTTTTGGCCAGAATAATATGCTGTATTTTTGCAGGAGTCTGTGTCACACTGTTCCACAAAATGTCATCTGTACCAGTGTACACAGAGTTCGTTATCTGACAGCACTGCTGGCTGGAAGTCAGGCTGAACACTGTGGTATTTAATTTTTTCTCTATTTTCCACCCACCTGCTGCACCTACACAGTGCCCACATCCTCCTCCATCAAAGGGTGCCCTATTGTGTTTTCTCTACAGACCCTTGCTCTACATGACTAAAAGAAAAAAACCAGAGCGAAACCATCAAAGCTGCTGCCTTTGAGTGTGACACTTCAGCTTCTGGCTGCGTGCATGGACTATGTGATTCAGTGTTGTATTCCAGTTTGTTTTGACTAGATGGTTATAGTAATTGCCAATATGTGTGGCCAGGCACCCAAAAGCTATACTCATCTATATAACATTCTCTGAGCGACTAGGATACTCTACCTGTTCACTGCATGTATCTTCATACTTTTTAACAAGGTCAAACACTTCACTGGAAGGATGGTTCAAGAAGGCGTGCAGAAATTCACGAAACATACTCATTGTTGCTGAAAATATACAGGAATAGAGGCAAGAAATAAAAAAATAAAATCAGAAAACATTCAGAAAAAAAATTAACAGTTCAATTTATTTGAATGTGTACTAATTAAGGGAAAAAAATATTATTTAACAATTTTATCTATGCAATGGGATTTTTAAAAAGGGAGGTAAAATATGTACAGTTACAAATCCATTATTTTCTTCCAAGAGTAGCTGCTTTTACTCTGATTAGATCAGGTCAATCCAATACACTGAGGATCTATTGTCCATTCATGGCAATCGTCACATCAAGAGATTGTGCCAAAACTGCTGCCTTAAAGGAACACTTTAGTGTTATGAATACAAAGATCTATTCCCAACCTGTTCCTCAGACCGCATGACCCTCGCCAGTGAAGTAAAAGGTTAAATAACCCTTTATTCACTTATCTGAATCCAGTGCTGGTTTCTCTGCGCTGGGTCGCGGCACGCCTCCTCCATTGGTGGGGGAACCCAATGCGTATGTGCAACATTGCCTCAATGCTTTTCTATGGGGTTTTCCCTGATTGTCCTTAATGCAGATCGTGAGGACATCCAGCGTCGTTTGACTGAGTCATACTCAGTGAAGCAACAGGAAGCACCACAATCGGCTTTCTGGTAGACAGCCACTAAAGGCAGTCTTGGTACTTCAATGTAAACATTGCAGTTTCTCTAAAACTGGAATGTTTTTCACTGCAGGACTAAGGAGGACAGGGACACTGTATCCAGACAACATCCATGAGCTAAAGTGGTCTGTTTAGCATGTACCTTTAACGGGGAGGTATAGCATGCAGATTTAATCACTTTATTGTGGCCTAAAATAAATTCTTTAGTAAAGAAATCTGTTTGCATTTCAGGTAACTCACACTTTAGTGAAAACCACGGTTAGCCATTTAGGCTATACAATGGAACCAGACAGGGGTTCCCTCTTTCCCCCCCTCCTCTTCGTGACGTCAATGGAGCCCTTGCTACAGGCGATTCATCGACACCCGAATATCAGAGGAGTATGCAGACGACGTCCTCCTGACCATTACGAACCCGATTGAGTCGATGTCAGCAGGATGTAATAAAAGAATACTGGGAACTTTGTCCGGATACAAAGCAAATATCCAGAAATCCAGCGCTATGCCAGTCGGCTTAACGGTGGCCGATGCAACCCTGATAAGGGAAACATATCAAATTGGGATGGTAACGGACTCCTTAAAATATTTAGGCGTCCATCTAACAGCAGACCCGGAACGCTTATACTCTGGCAATTACGACCCCATGCGAAGGGCTCTGATAGGAGATTTAGAAAAGTGGACGGACAAACCTATCTCTTGGATAGGGCGAATCAACTCTGTAAAAATGAACATCCTCCCCCGCATTCTATTTTTATTTCAGGCATTACCTATCCGCGTTACAAAAACACAATTGGTACTGCTACAAAGAGCTATAGGGGATTTTGTCTGGCAGAATAAGAGACACAGAATAGCCAGACAAGTAGTGTATAGACGTAAGGACAAAGGGGGTTTAGGACTACCAAACCTATACTACTACTTTGCGGCCCAACTGACTCAGGTGGCCATGTGGCACTCCCCACCGGGGGAACGGAGGTGGGTGGAAATCGAATCCATGATGGTGGGACTAGACGTCCCCCAGTTCACGATGTGGGTCCCAAGGGAATATAGACCTATGATATGCCCGGCCATTCTCAATTCGCTCCGATTATGGGATGCAAATATCGCAATATATTGCATCGTCCCCCTCCCCTCTGGCTCCAATACTCAGAAACAGAGTTCCAACCCGGAATGGCCCCTAGATACTTCAGAAACATAGAAAGAACAGGGCTACAACGTATCCACCAACTATATCGAAACGGGGAAGTCATACAATTCGAAGAACTCCAACAAAGTAACCATTTAACCCCCGCAGATTTTTTCAGATATGTCCAGATACGAGACTTCATGTATGGATGGAGCCACCCCCAAAGGCATGATCACGATTCTATATGCCCATCTTAGCACTGAAAATAAAGAATGGGGTAGATTGACACTGATCAATGGGAGACGGACCTAGGGGAGGAACTGGAAGGAATTGAGTGGCAGGAGATGTGGGAAGCAAACAAAAACACTTCCATATGTGTCACGTTACAGGAGCAGGCATGGAAAACCATGCTAAGATGGTATACTACTCCCGTGAAATTACATAAAATGCGAGACACAGACGATTGCTGGAGGGGCTGCGGATTAAGAGGCATGTACATCCATATGTGGTGGGAATGCCCGAAGATATACAGCATTTGGAAGTCAGTAAAGGACTTGTTGAAACAGACGTTCAACAAACTATTGGTAATGGACCCATAGATATACCTGTTAAACAGATCAATTGAGGGATGGACAAAAAAAAGAGCAGAAACTGGTACACAAGATAACTAAGCGCGTGCAGAGCAATGGCATGGCTTTCACCTGGGGGTCCGGAATTTCGAGGGGTGATATCCAGGATAAGAGAATGCAGAATCATGGACGGCCTGACGGCAAGGATAAAGGGGACGACAGTAACTTTCCAGAGAATTTGGGAACCATGGGACAATAGTATATGGGCTCAAGTGGAGACTGACAGGGATCGGAAAGTGATAAAGTTGGGAACTAGCAACAAAGAACCTTCATGGCGAACTAGATTCTGAAGGCCCCGCTCCTTCCCCCCTCTTTCTTCTCTATTTCTTTGACATTTCTCCTTTTCTCTTCTCTTGCTCCTTCTCATTTCAAATCTCCTCGTATCCCTTTTTTAAAAAAATATTTTTCCCCCGTTGGTTTATAGGGGTTTTGTTTGTTTTTTCTTTCCTTTTTTTTCTCACCCAGGCATGACTACACAGTCGGAGAAACGAGGACGCCTAAAGACGAATCTGGCCTGTGAAAAGCTAGGGCTCCTTCTTTAACTAAATTGCCTGGATTAAAAATAAAATCCTCGGTAGGAGGCAAGGCACAATGGGAGTAAAAAGAGGCTTGTACTGTAAGCTCAAATTACATATTGTATTTCCAAGAATGTTTTCTCAAATATTGGCTTCTGCGCAAGCCCAAAAGTTGAACTGTACTTGCTGTACCCATCGAATGAAAAATAAAGATTTTTTTTTTTTTTTAAATAGAATTGTTCCAAGAACTGTGTTTACTTCTGCATTTCACTTAAAAATAGGGTTTATAGAATTACACTAAAAAAAACGAAAAATTAGGAATTTAGAGCAATCAAGTAGCCCTTATAGCGTAGTATTTAAAAATTTTAATACACCCAGACCCTTGGTAATGTCTCACTCTGGTTGGAAATTGGAAAAGCAGCCATGCACGCCAGCAGTAACTCCTTGACTTGAGGAAGTAGGTGCAGGCCTATAAAATACACAGGAACAGAATAATTACCATGCTAGTGTTTCCGAGCACATACAGACAGCGTTCTTTGGGAACTCAGTGTGTTGTATACTGCTAGTGTGCACGGCTACATTTCCAACCTAAGGCAGACATTACAGAGGATCCCGAGGATTTATCGATCCACCAGCAGGTTCACTTTGCACAAAGTCCTTTATCCCTAGTGCTGGTGTGAGGCACAATACTTCCTAGTACCCTTCCTTTGTGGTTTGAAGGATGCACAAGTAGGAAGTGCCACACAAAACCCTCGGGACATTAATAAATGGACAGAAATTGTTTTTAATTATAAAATTCTCTAGGCGAACAGAATTTTTATTAATCATTGGATATATTCTGTTCTAAAAGCAACAAATGGTTTTTCTAGTGTGGTGTTATTTATTTCCTGTCTCAGGTGGTTATTTAGTGGACAATCCAATTTCTTTAGGATGGCACTACTGTGATATAATAAAATCGATACAATACCTGCTTCTCCTGGGTCATCTTCCTGTACCATGACTGCACCGATTGTAACATCTTCACCATAACCGGGAGAATTCATGGAGTTTAACATTGTTGTTCTCTGAGGGGAATATGTGCCTGTCCATCCGCTTTCATCCAGGCTAGACATCTAAAACCAAAAACAAATTCCAGTCAATTTAAGCAGGGCAAGGAAGTTAGCACTATGACCAAATGTTGTTGGCTTGTTTCTGAGAGCTGAACATACCATAGATACATTTCCCAAGCGCCCAGGAGTCTGGACAAGATGGGAAGAGATACCTCCAGTACCAAGAATGGCTGATACATCTTGTAGCCTTGAAGCACTAAATGACTGAGGTGTCACTGAGAAGACAAGGGAGAAACATTATGAAATTTTATTGCTGAAGATAAGAAGAGCTTGTGCAAATCTTGAGTTTAAATAAATTAAAAAAACATACCAACTACTTATAAAAACCAAAACAATAAGCAGAAATCCTAATGCCCAACTTCCCTGAAAGGCCATGAACAAAATTAACCTACAAAACATATGTGAATTTACTTGATAAAATATATTACTCCGGTACGGACTACTAGGAAGAATTACCCTTGTACTGTGACACTAACCCCTTAAGGACACAACTTCCGGAATAAAAGGGAATCATGATGGAATATTTCCGTCATGTGTCCTTAAGGGGACAATGGACATATGAATATGGCAAATAGTGATCACTAGTTGCCTTTCAAAACAGTAACAAAAAGATGTGCATTGAATTTAACATTTCAATTCCTATGCTACAAGCCAGACCTAAAAGGTTACTCACTACGTCAAGCTTTGAAGGTCCATGGCAAATTCATGGGGGGGTAAATTTCTACTCGCGGGGATACATTTTTAGCTCACCAATGGCTACTAGCGAGTAAAAAACATTTGAACCTTGATTAAATAATTCAATATTATATTTTTAATAAACCAGAAAAAAATAAAGACTATTGATTGTATCATGCTTCCTTTTTTGATAAATCTTTTTAGATCTCTAGCTTGATGTTTTGCTTTTATACTGGTTAACTGCACTTAATTATACTTTATTTACGAACACCTTTTAAAAGCATCACTTGTAATATCATCACCTTACAAGGATCAATTATAATATAACTTGGTCTTCTATTCCAATCGCCTTTTACGCTATACCATACAAGATTTAATTGCTTCTTGAGCATACCAATTAACAAGCAGGATTAAAGGCCTAATCTACTGTACTCACTGTTCGCCTATTGTGTATATCTGAGTTTAACAAATACTTTGCTATATCATATATCTGTAAATGATAAATCCAAGCATAGAGTGATTCTTTTTTAAAGTTGTGGTCAGTCTATTCACATTGTGCCCATGTCTGAAAGAGACACTCTAGGTGGGAGCTAACCTATTATTTATTTAAATACATTAAATATTACCGGCATTTATACAATGCCAACATATTCCATGGCGCTCTATTTTTATAAGGGGGAATAAGAAAAAACAAAACTATTACAAGTGCTAACATGAAATAAAAGGTTATGAGGACCCTGCTCAAACATGCTTACAATCTAGAGGTGATCAGCCATGCACTGAAAAAAATATATGGGGGGTAATATTCACACTTTAAATTATTACAATTGCTGCAGATCACCAGTGTCTACAATTAACACCCACCAACAGTACTACAAGTACCATAGTTCTAATACACTGCAGCAATGGACTAGGACATTATAGCATTAGGAATATGTATTCCTAATGCTATAATGTCCTAGTCCAGGGATTCCTAATGCTATAATGTCCTAGTCCAGGGGTATGTAACCTTCCTCACTCCAGATGTTGTGGACTACATCACCCACAATGCTCTTACGGCCATAATGCTGGCAAAGAATCATGGGAGGTGAAGTCCAAAACATCTGCAGTGCCAAAGGTTCCCTGGACTAGTCAGTGAGGTAATCGGGTGAGCACTGTCAGGGCTAAAAAAGGAATTCTGCCAACACTTTCTCTCCCTTACAGCACTGGTCTCCATACAATTCTTATAAAATTATTTAGTAACTGATACTTTATCAGTTCAAAGAAACTGGCCTATATTAGTGGGCCAGACATTCTTTCATTTTAATTCTACCTTACAAGCCCAACTCATCCAATGTTTCTACACCACAGAGACTGAGGACACTTCTTAACACTTAACTTTTTCCTGCCCCTTTTTCTTGTACTATGGCCTGTATTGGTTGCACATTATCTGCACTGTTCTATGAAATTTAGTGTTTTGATAACATTTCTGCATTACAAAATTTTTAACAGGATTAACAGTTTGCAGTTTTCAAGCTATAAGCTAAACTTCCACTTATCATGAAGTACGGTTGCATAGGAAAATCTACATATTCAACCTGAAGCTATCCTATTCATAATGACCAGTTATTTGGCTTGTTAATAGTGTTGCAGCCATATAAGTTGTTTCTTTTGGGGTGGGGAAGATACTTACAGTTTTGCCGTAGAAGAGACCCAGGTGTCCAAGTCACTGTTTGAGTTCTTGATGTACTAGCACCAGTCCAGTTGTCATCCGCTGGGGCCAGATGTTAAGGAAAGCAGTAAGCTAGTTGCAATGTTTAAAATATAATATTTGCTGGTAAAAAACTAAGCAATTTTGCAAAGGCAAGTTTACCTTAAAAAAATATATAAAAATAAATAAATTGCATGAGAAAACTTTATATGCACGAATATTAGACAGGTAAAAACACTGCCAAGAATGGCACATTATTTCATGTTCTATCAACTTGCTAAGTTGTTACATATATTTTCATTAGAAGGAAACTCACCTTTTCTCCAGTGTCATCCTGGTGTCGATCCAGCAGCTACTCCTCTTCTGAAATCATCTTAAAAGGATGACCCTGGGCCAATTTAATGTGGCAATCACCACACTCTGCAAAGTCTATGCTGCTAATAGAAAAGCACTGAACCCGGAAGCCTTCACACCGTAAACTGATGTACAACACGAAAACTTTAATATTTGAAAGACTATGAAGAAGTGCTTCTAGTGGCTGCATACCTTTCTGACTCTCTAAAGGAACACTCCAAACATTGGACAACCTGGCTCCGTTTCCAATGCCAAAAGTGTGTGTATGTGGCATACATAATATAATATTTAATATGTGTCAGAATGTAATTCTTGTAGTTATGGCAAAAATCTGCACAAACGTATGAAAGCAGTAATATCAGAACAATGTAAAGGATACAAGTAATCCCGGTAGACTTATGTCGACGGGCAGTTCTGGAAATCTCAGCATCCCGAAGCACCGGAGAAGAAAAATCCACATGTGACCTCCTGGAAAGGAGAGTACTGTAAAGGGTTTTCCATGGTTACAGTAAAGTATGGATCAAATACATTTACATATTTGCACTGTTATATACTTATAATAAATCATGTCTGCATTTTATTGGGCATGTTACAACTTTATCAAGTTTGGCTGGATTAAATAGTGTAAAGATTCTTACAATTTTGAATTGCTTAGATTTCCTCTTAAAACCACTATAGAATACCATGCCCAGCAGGTTATAAGAAACAAAAACCCAAACCCTAAAAGGTAATGTGTTTCAGACTAACATTTACTAGCCACGCATTAATTTCACTTAAAGGAACACTATAGGGCCAGGAACACAAACATGTATACCTGACTCTATAGTTTTAAAACCACCATGTAGCCCCCTGGCCCTCTAAACATAGTAAAAATATTACCTTTACTGCTGCTGCTGGCTCTGCGCCTTTGCTGACATTATCAGAAGTAATGTTCAGAGCCAATCACAATTCTTTCCCATAGGATTGGCTGTGACTGTCAAGAAGGCAGATTAGGGGCAGTGCCAGCACAAGCCAAACACAGCCCTGGTCAATCAGCATCTCCTCATAGAGATGCATTGAATCAATGCATTTCTATAAGGAACATCCAGTGTCTCCAGGCAGAGGGCGGGAGACACTGTGCAGCACTACCCCAGGATTTGCCAGTGGAGGTATCCCTAGGCTGTAATGTAAACATTACTGTAATGCATGTTCTCTAAAAAGACAGTGTTTACTGCAAAAGACTGAAGGTAATGATTATACTCACCAGAACAAATACAATAAGCTGTAGTTGTTCAGGTGACTAGTGTCCCTTTAATCAAGACACCTTAGAAAGGGATTTATACCCAATTACATCACACTACAGGACAAAAAGGACCAGTGATGATGAATGTAAACAAAACTGATAAATTTTACATGCGCCAGTAGTTTATGCTCACATACTCACAATCTACTGACAAGTCATGGAAGAACAATTCAGGCCTTTTAAGTGAAACATTTTTTATTTTAAATCAAATAAGAGAAACCAGGTCTGATCCATCAAAGGAACACAAATTAGGTTAACTACTGCTTCCACAGTAAACACATGTAAAATAATACTCCTGCACATAACAATGATAAATAGCTTCAATGAGATTTAACACAGAGGGTAACATGTCCGGCATCTTGGGCTAAATGGGACAGATAAACTAAGGGATATGGGCACAGTCAGATGAGGATCAGAGTGATATTGGGGAGAATACTCCTTAATTACAATGTTTTAATAGTTGGACATGGGCACAGTCAGATGGGGATCATAGTGATATCGGGGAGGATACTCCTTAATTACAATGTTTTAATAGTGGGACATGGACACAGTCAGATGGGGATCATAGTAATACTGGGGAGGATACTCCTTAATTACAATGTTTTAATAGTGGGACATGGACACAGTCAGGTGGGGATCATAGTAATACTGGGGAGGATACTCCTTAATTACAATGTTTTAATAGCGGGGCATGGGCACAGTCAGATGGGGATCATAGTGATATTGGGGAGGATACTCCTTAATTACAATGTTTTAATAGTGGGGCATGGGCACAGTCAGATGGGGATCATAGTGATATTGGGGAGGATACTCCTTAATTACAATGTTTTAATAGTGTGACATGGGCACAGTCAGATGGGGATCATAGTGATATTGGGGAGGATACTCCTTAATTACAATGTTTTAATAGTGTGACATGGGCACAGTCAGATGGGGATCATAGTGATATCGGGGAGGATACTCCTTAATTACAATGTTTTAATAGTGGGGCATGGGCACAGTCAGATGGGGATCATAGTGATATCGGGGAGGATACTCCTTAATTACAATGTTTTAATAGTGTGACATGGGCACAGTCAGATGGGGATCATAGTGATATTGGGGAGGATACTCCTTAATTACAATGTTTTAATAGTGGGACATGGGCACAGTCAGATGGGGATTATAGTGATATTGGGGAGGATACTCCTTAATTACAATGTTTTAATAGTGGGACATGCTGGTCATTCATGGATTGTGTGGTTCCCAATGGGTTATACAGAGGAGGGTTCTCCCTCCATAGCACGTGAAGCATGCATGGAGCACACTACATTCATGGTAGAGCACCAGGCCCACACATGTCACATGGCTCACAGTGGCAGCGACCACCACCCTCCCTCCTTACCTGTCCATGGTCACAGCCAACCTGCTCTATTCCCACACTTCCCGCCCAGCGACAGGCGACATTCAACAACCGGGACCCGGGAATACAATCAAACCATCCACTTCCGGTTATCTAAATCCACCCTCTGACCCGGAGACGGCCCCGCCGCCATGTTTGATGAGGGCATGGTAAAAAATAAATAAAATAAAAAAATAAAAAAATATGTCACTGGTTTGCTTTATGTTTTACCTTCTCACCATTTCAGCTGCACTTTAGTTTATTTTATTTGTTTCTGTACAGTTGCAATGCCTAAAAAAAGTGTGCCTTACAGTTGAACACTTAAAGATAGATGCAGGCTGTATAAGTGTTTATTACAGGAAGCCTATTGCAATGCCTAAAAAAAGTGTGCCTTACAGTTGAACACTTAAAGATAGATGCAGGCTGTATAAGTGTTTATTACAGGAAGCCTATTGCAATGCCTAAAAAAAGTGTGCCTTACAGTTGAACACTTAAAGATAGATGCAGGCTGTATAAGTGTTTATTACAGGAAGCCTATTGCTCTTTCTATTATTATAACTATTACAGGCTTTCTTTTTATTTCAGCTTGTGTCTCTCTCCTGGCAATGGCCCTTAAACCTGCTTAGTATTCAGGCAGAGCATTGATAATACAGGCTTGGCCAGGCCTTGTAATTATGGTGCAGTGGGTAAGCTATGACTTCATATTCTTTGTGTTTCCTCCTTTTATATATTTTATTAACCTCACTCAGGGAACTTGGAACATTCTTGATTCTGCTCTACAGGGCAGAGAACCTATCACAGTGGTGGGAATGGAATGGAATGGAGCTTCTAAACGGTTTATGAACGTTTTAATCCCAAATTCTGCTCTGAAGCACCGTTTCTCTCTGTCCTCGTCCACATTCGCTTGCAGAAATTCTTCTAAAGGAAGTCTTGGACTACCTTGGGCAGGGGTGCCGCTGAATTCTCAAGTTTTTATGACTATGGAGCCTATTGCCTTACAGCGTCAGCTGACTGCTCAAAGCCAATCATGGCACCCCTGCCTAGCTGTAGTCCGATATTTCGTTTTGAAAATTTTCTGAAAACGGATGTGGACAAGGACAGTGAGAAACGGCGCTGCCGAGCAGACTGAAGTACGGTGCTTAACAAACTGTGTTGCGTCACATTAGTGTGTAGGCTGGAGTGTACGGGTGTGTCGCGCAAGCGCAACCATTTTATGCAGGTGCCAGTTACTATCAGTATCAGGGCTGGCTTTAGAGGTATGCGAGCTGTGCAGCCGCTGTTACTCCAGCTGCCACGGTGCTGACGGGATTGAATTTTTTACCTTTTAATATACCCATGTTTAGGCGATAGTCCCTTTCTTTGTTTTATTCTTTACTAACTGGCTGCTCTAACAATTCAAGGACGTTGTTCGTACTTTCTGTGTTTTTTCCAGCAAACTAATTTTTTTGACTACACAGCAAATACCGTAACTGAGAATTCAGGAGTTTGTAACAGAGATAAAATAATGCCATTTAGGGAATGTCCTGCAAAACGTAGTGCTTTGAAAATGTGTTAACTCTTGATTGGTACAAAGTTACATCACGCCCCTGAACATGAATAAACTTTTTTATGTTGCTACGCACTAACATTTTTGGCAGTCTCTATGAACCTACCACCCGTGTGTTTGTCATTCATTGGGACTCCTTAGTGCTGCAGGAGGGTTCAGGTTAAATCAGAGAGTCCATGGAATTCTGGTCTATCGTACACAACGATCTTGGTCTCCACTACTGAAATAATTTTCTAACATGCTCCCTGTGTGGCCACACAGCTCACACACCCCTAAGACCATATTAATTGGCACCTGCATAAATCGGTTGCACTCACACAACACACCTGTACACTCAAGTCGACACACAAGTCACAGTTTGGAAAGCCCTGCTCTAAAGGTAGGGAAGTGCCAGAAACCAGACACCATAACAATTTAATTTTCATGATGTTGTAATGTGCCCAGAGTATTCCTTCAAGTATCTATTAAATAGCTGAAATAACATTAAGATCTTTTTTTCTTCATTTTCATCTTTCAGCAGTTTAGTAGATAACTCCCTAATTTGGTATCCTTGTGTGGGATTGCTATACACAAGGACACCACATTAGGGAGATACTTAAATACACACAGAACCTGTTTAAAAACTAACATGTAAGCTTTAAAGGACCACTCTAGGCACCCAGACCACTTCAGCTTAATGAAGTGGTCTGGGTGCCAGGTCCAGCTAGGGTTAACCCATTTTTTCATAGCAGTTTCAGAGAAACTGCTATGTTTATGAATGGGTTAAGCCTTCCCCTATTTCCTCTAGTGGCTGTCTCATTGACAGCCGCTAGAGGCGCTTGCGTGCTTCTCACTGTGAAAATCACAGTGAGAAGCACGCATAGCGTCTACAGGAAAGCATTATGAATGCTTTCCTATGTGACCGCTGAATGCGCCGAGCTCGCGTCGTCCGCGGCGCATTCAGTCGACGGGAGGAGGATCGGAGGGGAGGAGAGCTCCACGCACAGCGCTGAAAAAGGTAAGTTTTTACCCCTTTCCCCCTTCCAGAGCCGGGCGGGAGGGGGACCCTGAGGGTGGGGGCACCCTCAGGGCACTATAGTGCCAGGAAAACGAGTATGTTTTCCTGGCACTATAGTGGTCCTTTAATTATTATCATAGCACATTTTTCAGGAGGTAGGCTGCAGCAGGCCGACTGGAATGATTTTCATATTGGTGTGCTGGGACCCAAACACCACACTACCACAGAATTGACAGGTGAAAAATTGCAGTTTTTGCTGCTTGCATTACCATGGTAACATGTGGTAACTGATAGTTCAGAACTACAACTAGCGAGCAGTACCAGAGGCTGCTTTATGGACAGCAGAGTGCCATAGCAGCACTTAACACGCAGTTGATCCACTTCCTGCTGCCTCTGTAGAGATATTAAATGCCACAGGCAATAAAGGGATCCTATAGTGCCAGGAGAACAAACCCGTTTTCCTAGCACTAGAGGCTCCTGCAGTACCCCCCGCAGTGCTTAAGTGATGTCCCTCGGCGCTGGGTCAGGCTCCGCCCACGCTCCTCCCTGCTGACGGGGGAGATCTAATGCACATGCGCAACAATGGCCGTGTTTGCATTGGGTTTCTCAGAAACTGCAATAATTATCACTGTAGGGTTAAGGGACATGGGACAATGCACCCAGACCACCTCAGTGAGCTGAAGTGGTGTGGGTGCCTATAGTGTCCCTTTAAGCACTGTGGCATATACGTATGGTGGCAATAAAAGGTTAATCTGCCCTTGTATAGTAATAAAAAGTTAAAGGGACACTCCAGGCACCCACACCGCTTCTGCCCATTGGAGTGGTCTGGGTGCCAACTCCCTCCACCCTTTTTATAAACTGCAATAATTACCTTGCAGAGTTAAGTCCTCCTATAGTGGCTGTCTATCAGACAGCCACTAGAGGGAGTTCCATGTTCTTAGAACACGAAAAGTGATTTAAACAACGCTGGACGACCTCACTCTCTTCATGAAGACCTCCAGCGTCGCCGGAATCCCCATAGGAAAGCATTGAATAATGCTTTCCTATGGGGAGGTCTAATGTGTGTGCACGGCCATTGCCGCGCATGCGCATTAGGTCTCCCCCGTTGGCTGGGGAGGAGAGTAGGCGGAGCCTAACCCAGCACCGAGGGACATCGGCGCTGGACTCCGGTAAGTCACTGAATGGGGTTTTAAGGGAGAGGGGCACTGTAGGGTCCCTTTAAGTAAAATTCATGACCCCTTGTTAGGTTGTTGGGCAGAGTTAGACAGGGAGCTGGGCAGAAGTGGTGACACGTCTGTTGCTGGAGTACACAAGCTGGCTGGGGATTGGCTGCAGGTTGCGAGTGAGAAAAGTGCGGGAAGCTCTTAAGAATGCTAATTCAGGAAAGGCGGGACAGACCCCGCTCCTACCTTTTATGAATTTATTTCTTCATAAGTATTGTCGTGGTGTAATAAAGCATTGGGGGGAAAATCATCCTAAGGGGCAAGTTCTGAAGATGGATATTGCAGTAATTGGTTTTAAATAAAAGGCAGTCAGGTCAGCTGACTGTTTTTAAAGTGACACTATAGGCACCCAGACCACTTACGCTCATTGATGTGGTCGGGATGCAGTGTCCCAGTCCCACTTAGTCCTGCAATGTAAGTCATTGCAGTTTTTGGGAAACAGCAATAATTACATTGCAGGGCAGCCACTAGAGCAGTGATGGCAAACCTGTGGAACGCCTTGCCCTCTCTGTGGGCATACAGCCATAGGTCACCAGGGGAGGGGGCTGCAGAGCAGGCACCTGCTTGCCCGAAGCGGCAGGCGTCTACTCTGCTTCCGTGTACGGAGGCAGGGGGAGGGATCAAGGAAGCAGCTCTCCTGTCCTTCTGCGAGCAATCTGTGTGGAGCGTTGCCTCACGTTACCATGGCAATGCTCCACATAGCATCACGCGGGAGCACAGGACCCATACTTACCACCACCGGACCACCAGGGCTGGCTATGTCCCCCCTCCTTCACCAAAGGTAAGAGGAAGAGAGGGGGGGACACAGATTTAATATATCACACACAGTACCCCAAGCACCCCCCCCCCCCTATATATATATATATATATATATATATATATATATATATATATATATATACACACACTGCACCCCTCAATGCAGTGTGTGTGTGTGTGTGTATGTATTCAGCAATCTGTGTGTTTTCAGCAGTGTGTATGTATGCAGCAGTCTGTGAGTACTCAGCTGTGTGTGTATATTCAGCAGACTATGTATTCAGTAGTGTGTGTGTATGTATTGCATTTGTTGGAGACACTAATAAATATGAGCTTAATTTTATCTATATATATCATTTAAAATTTGTATAATTGAACTCTGTGTTCTTTTAAAACAAAAGTTAATTAGTTCGGACAACTGTACGAGTTGTTTTTTCTAAACGTAAACCTCAGTATTCAGGTTTAATTGCCATGTTGGCACTTTGAGGAAAAATAGTTGGCATGTATTGCGGTTTGGGCACTCAGGCTCAAAAAGGTTCGCCATCACTGCACTAGAGGCACTTCACTGGACGTCCTCGATATTGCCATTTTGTTCTCCTCTGCTCACACGATTGCTGCCCTTTCTGTGGGAGTCTTTAGACTGATGGATTGTGGGTAAATTAGCTTTACAACTGAAATTAAACTGGAGCGCTGTCTATTGCCAAAGATCACGCTTCCCATAAGAATTAGTCCATACTTTTTCTTATGTAGAACAAAAAAAAAAAAAAAATTTTACAAACCTATAGACCAGGGGAAATAGAGGGACAAAAATAATGACGCTTTAAAACCTAAACCTGTAAAGTGATAGTGCTGCTTTAATGGCTGTGAAGGGGTGATGACCCTGAGGAGCCAACATGCTTATTTTGTTAGGATCCCTAGGCAGCTAAATCATGCTTACCAACAACATCGACTGTATAGCATTGACTTAAAGAAGTGGCAAACGGAACCTTCGAACATTATAACTAAATTCATTTATTTATAATGCTGGCGTGTTCTATACCGAAGTTGGATTTCCAGGAATTACAAGTCCCAACCTCCTCTAAAAAGCTTCTTCACACTTTTCAGTTTTTTTGAATTCGCAAAGTCTCCTAACGGTGACAACGCAGCTAGTGGGCTGGTGGCCACAGGTAAAGGTGAGATTTCTTAACTGAACCTGTCCCAAGTGGGTGCAACCATCTTTCTCGTGCTCCTCATCTTCAACTCTTAGCGCTTCAGCTCCACTAGCAGACAGCACTGCTGTACTCTCGCGCATGTGCAAGAGTACAGCATTGAAGTCTATGGAGGGTCCCGCAGGATCCTCCATAGGCACAGCCAATTCCCTGCAGCCATCACTGGTGAGGACTGTCGGTATCGACTCAAACGCCGCCTTGAATCTAAGAAAGTCAGGCTGATAAAAAAAAAAAAAAAAAAAATCGAGAGAGAAAGTAGTCCCTATCTCTTGAATGGGTTGGCATTTCAGTGAAATTCCAACACAGTCAAAATTAAAGTACCACTATAGTGCCAGGAAAACCAACTCGTTTTCCTGGCACTATAGTATTAATAGGTCCCCCCCCACCCTCTGGGTCCCACTCCCGCCGGGCTGAAAGGGGAGGAAGGGGTTAAATTCTTACCTTTCTCTAGCGCCGGGCTACCTCGGCGCTGGGCACTTTCCTCCCTCTTCCGCCGAATGCGTATGTGCGGCAAGAGCCGCGCGCGCAGTCAGTCCATAGGAAAGCATTCTCAATGCTTTCCTATGGACGCTGGCGTCTTCTCACTGTGAAAATCAGTGAGAAGCACGGAAGCGCCTCTAGCGGCTGTCAATGAGACAGTCACTAGAGGCTGGATTAACCCTAATGTAAACAGTTTCTCTGAAACTGCTATGTTTACAGCTGCAGGGTTAACCCTAGATGGACCTGGCACCCAGACCACTTCATTAAGCTGAAATGGTCTGGGTGCCTATAGTGGTCCTTTAATATTTCATAAAGATTCTATCTTTAAGAAATGCTCATTTTCAGGGGGTGAGACTGCTGCTTTAAAGAGAAACGTCTGTGACCAATACAACTTTAATACGATTTAGTCTTATTCATCAAATCAGGTAAAACCCAGGTGGTGTAAATTAAAGGCATTTTATTCAAGCGACCTGGCTGAAACAATTTTTTTGTACAAGTCTAATTATGCTACATAATTTGTATACTCAAATCGTTACTTTTTGTAAAAAGACTTCATTCAGTGTATATACAAAGCTCAGCACCCAACAGTACTAAGTGACCTGCTTTTCATTCACAACCTGGGTGCAGTCATTAAAACTATTAATAGATAGTGGTACTTCCATACTATATGTGTCACTGGGTGTCCTCTCCTGTTAAAGCAAGTTGTTTTGTAGTGCAGCTCATTCAGTACGGTTGTGTACATACATTTGATGAGGAAGCCTTTCTGTAACAAGGGGCCTGGTTAAGGAGGGAGGCTTATTTGTGCAAATAATGATTTGACCATGCAGAAAAATATAGCATAATAATTGGGCCAATGCATCCCTTTATTAAGCAGCAGTTTAATCTTATTGAATCAATTAACTTGTGTTAAATTATGAACTCTATATTTATAAACATCTCCTGGGCAGAGTTTTATGGGCTATCCTCAGCAGTCAGCACACTAACAGATTGAAAATATAACGGTGCTTCAAACTATTGGCAAAGGTTACTGTTGAATGCTGCAATGCCTTCATAGCAGACTTTGCTTTTTATTTAAATATTTATGTGGAATGGTCACTTCTTTGAAAAGTACGCCATCATATAACACTTAAAAATCACCCATGACTGGCATTAACCTTTTTTGTGTTTAAAAAAAAATATATATATAATTATTTATTATTTATATAGCGCCAGCAAATTCCGTATCTCTGTAAAATGTATATTAAAGACTTAGCTTAACTTCCAGCCACAGCATCCACTATGTTCAATGACAGAAAAGGGCAACTTTTATTATGATAACTGACAGAGAGCCAAGATGGCGGCACACAGTTAAAAAATAAATGTTTGGACTCTAACATTTAATTTTATTTTCTAGTCCCCACAAATCGTTGTTTGCTAGACGTAGTTTATAACTATACTTAATATTAAATATACTCAGAAATGGCAGGTCCCCTTTAATGGCTTATTTGTATAAAACATAAAAAATTGTATTCAAATCCATCCTGGACAGCCTTTTAAATTTTATTATTTGCTTAATAGGGGAATACTTTTCTTTTTATTTTGGGTATTGGCAGGATCTTTGCTTATTTCAGACACTATAGATTTTAAGCATATTGAAGTTGGGTCAAAGGAAGAAACCGCTTGTATAAAGACCTGAAGGAATTGCACCAAAGTCTTGGTCTGAACATCAGGAGACAAATCAGAGTACAAGGAAGAACAATATTTTATTTTTTTTGCGTCTGTGTATAAGCAGAGTTTGGGCTTTTTAATGCACACAAAAGAAAAACAAAAAATTAATCTGTCAATAATGGAAAACCAAAGAAGCACAAGGATTTCCCAAATGAGGTTCTGCGGGAGTTAGCTGACACACTGCCTCTGTGGCATACTGAATAAAAGTGACATTAAGGCTCATAATATAAAATTAGGGCTTTATGTCATCGCATCCTTCAGGGTTTATTCTCCCCCACCCTCTCCCCCACATCCCCTTTCCATCTCCCCCGGACAAAATAAGCGGGAAAAGACAAGATAATTGACCTTTAATGCACAATGTGAAAACAATGAGCTGCAACTCAACAATTTGTTATACCAGTCATGTTTTCAAATCTAACCGTATGATTACCAAAGTGCCCTATTACTCATAATGCTACATGTATCCAAGAACCGTTGTTGAAGTTCACACTGATAAATTGTACGAATTTGATTGGGTAAAACTAGATGTGGTGCACACGGGCCCTGGCCATACGTCTTTTGCTAGACGGTTTTGAAGACTGAGTCGCTGAAGTGCTTGGCATTATGCAGAGTGCATGCTGCTCCCTGAAGAGTTGCCTAAACAAGCACTTAACACATTAAATGAAGCACTGAAGTGGTAGATTTATGATAATGCAAGCCTTGCATGGCGTTGCAAATTTACTGAACCAATCCTAAGTTATACAAAATTGCACCACTTTATTAAGGCTTTAGAGTTTACATTTGGCCACCTTAAAGCAGTTGTAGCATTAAGTTGGTCAACTGGATTACTGTGTGTTTCTCTGTTGGATATATAAACACAATCTTTACACCCAAACAGTAATGCATACAAAGCAACAAGGCATTGATAAATAAATCCTCAAAAAAAAGATAACTACTGCAACTTAGTCCTGGTGACGGGAAAAAAAAAAAAAGAGAAAATACACAAATGATTTAAAATTACATGTCCCACATTCACATCCACTGGACTCTTCCACCATTTAACATCTCAACCAAACAATACACATGTGAAACTATCACTAGCAAAGAGAGAAAAATAAAATAAAGGACTAAACCTGTATATTTGGTATTGCAAATATACATATGCACGAGCAAGCAAGCTAGGGTAGGAACAACAAGTTTCACAGTGAGAATCTACAGCAGCAGAAGCCTGAAAATGATTTACAAAGTATTGATAAATCATTAAAAAAACCTTTTGAAATACACACTTCCTGTAGACCCCCACTGTATAAACATCTATAAACATGAATCCCTATGTAAACAGAGCTGGGAAACATGGAAACGCGTGGGTTTTAGTTGGGTTAACACAGGAACATCATTCTGAATAGCTACCCAAGGCAAAGTGTTTGACAGAGACTTAATACAAGAAACCAAATTTATTATCTGGGCCCCGTACGTGCCAGAAAAGGGGTGTAATGCTATTCTCCACAGGATTCCCTAAAAAATTACAAAGGAAAAGAAACAAGTTATGTTTATGAGAAGCACTTAGTACAATACAATGAGTGTTGCTCTTGTATTTCTTTAAAGAAAGGAAAAAAAATAGTTACAAGAAGCTACAAATATCAAAGATGCAAGGTCATCAAGGAGTAGTCTATAAAGAAGCTCTTTGGACTTCCTTGTTTAGTAAGCTAAAATAGTGGTGCTTTTTCATTGTACACTCCGATAGAAAGGAGGGGCTTGTGAAAGAATACAGCACACGCTTTCAGACGTGTATTTACGTTGTCGGGTGAACAATGTCTCTTTAGCAGTAATACTGGATGTTGGCTCTGTTGTTCCCAGTTGCATACGTGACGAGCATCTCAAAGCAGGCATCTTTCTCGTGACTTTGGGAAGGGATCTGATGGTGCACAATCTGAGCTTGCAACTTTCATCCATGTCAAAGGGTACACCACAGGAAAGTCCATTGGAGTTGTTGATAGGGTAATTTGAGTTGGAATGCTGGCACTGTTGTCAGACAACAGTTCTTCAGACCTGTAAAAATTACCAAGAAACTCATGAAAAATGTAATGACAGAAGTACATAAGCTTGTCAGTGTTTGAGATCAGTGTTACTAAAACACTGATATCTAGGCATAGATTAACCAGACAAGAATACTGTGTGTTATATAAGTAACGGGAAACATCACATTCTGGACACTGAATATCTGGGAACCTTGCCATAAACTTATATTGACGTGAAGTCATTTTTTTTCTCTTTGCCTAAGTAAGGATAATTATTTTTAATATATTTACATATAAATTTTTCACAGAGAAGGATTAACCATAAGGTGACCCTAAGTGGCCGCCCCAGGTCAAGGGATTTTACATCGACTCTGCAACCAAGAATTTGCTTCGCCCCATGAACCATATTTGTGAGAAGAAGATAGGGGGCCCAAACTGATAACCTGCCTAGGGACTTGTGGGATCTTAAGCGTTCTCTGATTTCTCATAATAAAGGTGATCATGAAATGAACTGCATGAATAATGAATACTTATATTAGAAGATGCAAAATCAGTAACAAATAAAACCTGTGACCAAACTAAATATTGGCTACCTTACAGAAAATGCACTCCCATTTTATTAATTTTTCAAGGCACTTTTTCCCTATCAGAAAAGTTGCAGCATTTTCCTGCTAGTATAAGTTTGGCAGAGTTGACTATATAGAAAACTGGATTTATTAGAATAATCTAAAAATGTACAATCAAAATAATGAGAGAATGGGAACCGTCACTTGCAGAAGTGAAGGAACGGTTGACAAATCTCAGGATCCAAATGCTCTCACATACATCAAAGAAAAGTATTGCACAGTGACCTATCAGATAAGTGTCTATTTACAGTAGGAGTTTACCACTAAAAAGAATAGCTTACCTGGCTCAGAGCTACAGCACATCTCTGTATTAAAGCAGTCGGCATGTTGACTTTTTACGCGCCTTGCCCGGTACAGGAGTTTTTCTGTTAATTTGTCGCACAAGGTCATAAAAAATCTGTATACCGAAACAAAAATTTAAAAAGGAGTTCAGAACAAGCAATCCTAAAACGAATTCACAAAAAGTGGCATATGGTATATTTATTTCATTTTATGAAGCATTTATAGTGCATGAATTATTGTGCGATGTTCTATCACAATCTCAATGCAGAGATCATGCAGATGAGTTTACAGTTACATTACATAACCAGTAAATTCTTACCTCATTGACATTTATCTTTGACTTTGCAGACGACTCCAAGAATGCACAGTTATTCCACTGTCTTGCAAGGTTTTGCCCCTGTTCCTTTCCCACCACTCGTTCATCCTCCAGGTCACACTTGTTACCCACCAATATCATTGGCACCTGAAATGTAAACCAAAAAAAGTTAAATGTTTATATTTTCAAATTAACAAAAAATACAAAATACACTATACTCTAAACAGAAAGTTATATGGAAATACACTTATTACTTTCCACATGCTTTGGCTCCTTCCCATTTTCTTATCTTTAATAGAGAGTGGTGGCCTCAACATTAGACAGAGATGAGCTTTGTGTTGCACAAGGTAAGCGTCAAACTATAGTAGGACAAGGAGTGAGAAATCCCACATAAAACTAATGCATGCTTTGGGAAGCTCTACAGTACTAGACCAGTTCCATGCAGCTGTTCTTCCTACCAACTAGAGAGGCCCTGCTCCTGGAACCTCAAGGAAGAAAAAAGCCCTACTCTTTCAACCATATGTGCTTTATCAAAATTGGGAATAATTGGTACAGACCTCATGAACCACCGATATGATGGTTTTATGCAGAGTCTCCAACCTCCAACTACTCAATTTCCAAAACTATATGCTCATGTAGTCCTGTCCCAGATAATTTCTCTCCTTTTGGTAGTATTTGTCAGCCCCAGATTCTAGCCCTGGTCAAAGTGAAACTACAAACTTTAATACTTTTCCGTTTCCTTAAGGGAACTAGACTTTATTAGGCACTATGCCAAAAGCATAGTGTCCCATCGGGTCACTGTGATAAATGTTCAACCCCTTTCATTGTCTAGGAACCTGTACAGTTTCCACTTAATTTTGTAATCACACCAGTAGATACACAATGTTGCCAATTTGTTTGCCATACTTGGTTTAAAGCGACACAAAATGTATCCAGACCACTTCATATCAATTAAATGGTCTGGGTGCCACGTAACTCGTTTTCAGTCTGCAATGTAAAACATTGTAATTTAGCAGGAATGGCGACTTTTACACTGCAAGGTTTAAATGTCTCTAGTGGCTGTTTAACTGACGTCCACTAGAGGCGCTTCCACAGCTATAGGCAAGTGAAACGGACTGGCGCAGCATTTTGCTGCTCATGTGCACTAGCCTCTCAATGCTTTCTTATGAGATTGATAATCTCAGCCAAGAACGCAGAGCCGGGGGGCGGAGCCTGAACGCTGAACAGATCAGACGTGTTTCATCTGAGCTCCAGGATCTGGGCCAGAGAATCGGAGCCAACTCGGTGCCACGAGCAGCTATCGACCAAAAACAGCAACCAAAAGATATGGACACACACAGTGATACCACACATGCCACGGTACGGCACCGAAGTAACCCGACCAAGGCCTGGGGCCTATGCGAGCTTGAGCCGGGGAGGAACGGCAGCTTCCCCGGGTCTCCGAACGGCGTCCTGCGACCCCCCCCCCCCTTTGGACCGGTGGGGGTTATCCTGGTCCCCACGGGCGACCACCAAGGAAGTCTGCCGAGCCCAAATACAAACCGGGCCGCAAAGCACAACCCAGACGGAGCTCTCCAAAATGGCGGACAGCCCGCATCCACGTGGACAAACAAAGAAAGACCCATCAAGTACTACAGGGCCCGCCAGAAAGCAGAGTCGGTTGGCAGACCACACAAGCCCCCCATGAAGGGCCAGCACCCTACCCTAAGCGGCAACAAACATCGGCAAATGCTCGCAGGCCACAAAACCGAGGGTGGGAAACTAGGTAAACCTCCCCGGGCGCCCGTAGCGCACGAACCACGCAACCTTACCTCACGAGCCCTCTCAGATTGCAGCCGCCCTGAAGCACCAGCCACAACCATAAACATCAACCTAAGAAACTGCGGACCTGACAACACAGGGGGATACCCCACATCAAGATCTACAACAGCCCCTTCACGGGGAGGACCGCAGCCATCAAAGGAAGCACTTCCACCACGAGCCGCAGAAGCAGGCCCCCAGGAGTGCTCAAGAATCCGAGAAACGCGCAACTGGACTCTGCTACCGGGTCCCTTGCGGCCCTACAAACCCACTACCAAGACTAAGCACCGGCTAACGATGGACGCTGTTCCTGGACTATAAAATGGACACTAAAACGCTGCTCTAGCCCTGCACGCACTGACACTGTCGGTACCCACAGACACACACACACGCTAGGACTCGCACAGCAAAAAACCAGCACACACAGCAGGCAGAGAAACACATACACGCAACACCGGACACCACTCAAGGCAGACACACACTACCCCAGACAACTACAATGCACACAAGCCGTGACAAACTCATCGATATTACTCAAACAGACCCCAGACCCGTCCAGGGGAGCGAAGGCAAACCAACCCCACAAACCCCACACACTCCAGGGTGGCGCCCGAGGTAAACCAAGCCAGAGTTAAACTGTCCAAATGACACACTAGAGATCACACACTCAGTGGATTATCACCTGTATATCTTTAACTATATGTCGTGCAAAATATGTGAAACAAAACGTAATCCTAAACTATGCCTATCTTTATGCTTCAACTGATTAAATTGAAAATGCTAGCGGGAAATATGGCGGGAGCACTATATGCTTAACTACCTTTCCACTATCACTATAAAAATTGTGCAGACCTTATATGTGCCATATGTGACATGTAATGTTGAAAATGAGCACGTGAATGCTATTGTGGCACCACGGCTTAATTGTGAAATCTTGCACACAAAAAATAAAGAATTAAAAAAAAAAAAACGCAGAGCCAGCCGCAGAGAGCAAAAAAAAATAAAAAAAGTAAAGTAAGTAAATCACCCTCTTAACCCTTTCGGTGGGGGAGGGGTGCCATCTCCTAAACTGTGACTAGGAGATACTATAGCATTAGCAATACACATTTGTATTACCAAAACTATAGTGTTCATTAATGTCCTCGAAAAAATAGCATAACTACCATAACTGTCAAGCTAAATTGGCCTTTTGAAAACAAAAACTGAACCTCTAAATAAAGGAGAGCTTATTATATTTCTTTGATACAAGGTAAGTAAAAACGTTTTTGTTTTTTTTCTTATACTCCATACAGGTGGGGGAGGCACTATAGTGTAAGTAATACACATTTGTATTCACAACTCTATAATAAAGGACATAACCCTAACTTAATTGAAACTCCAAATAAAGGAGAAAAGAGGCAACCACGATAAGACATTTTATTAAAACAGACTTTATTAGAAAAAAATCCAATTCACAGTCAAAAAGTGTACATACAAATATCAAAGCGTATCTATCAGGGCATATTTTTTGTGTGATTTTTTTTTCTACTTCTTGTGATTTTTGACACTTAGATTTTTATTCTCAGGCAGGCTATTATCTTTAGACAGCACTGGGTAATGTAGGATCTCAAGAGAAGTCACTTCTGGAGCTCTGAAGGAATTGCTATGCTTCTGATCGGGAGCTAGTGTGGACCTTAGGGAGACTTAAAGATCAAGCATAGGGACACAGTGTGTCTGGAGTTTATGCTAGCTCATAGCAAGGGCTTTTTGCAGCAAGTATTCTCTGAGCCCCAGAGGAGTTTTGCAGCCTTTGTATTTTCTTATCTGATGGACCTCAGGGAGGCATTGCCCTACCTTATATTCATTCTATTTTTTGTTTTTTTATTCACAGTTATGTGCTTTTGCATAGATGCTTTGCAATTCCAAATTGTAATTGTAATTCTGGGAAGATCATTTCAGTCATTTTTTAACCCAGATTCATTACTTACCATAGTTCGATTAAGCCAGTTATTTTGTGCAATTTGTAGACCATTTGTATATTTATAAACGTTTTGTTTATGTTATTAAGGTTATATATACCACTGGTTACAGATGATTTAAAGAGTTGTGAATTTTTAACTATTTGAATAAAGAGTTTTAACTGAGACATTGCTATATGCACCACATAAACCACAATAGCACACGCCAATCTTTCTTTGTGTGTTAATTTTTAGACCATATCGGCAAAGTGGATTTGGGTTAGAAATAGTGGGTGATGACTACAAGGTGATCTGGATTACTACCTTAGCCACCTAAGGAAGAAGCTTCGATATACAGCTTTGTGATTCTTACAGTTTACCAGTCATAACGTTGTAGTGTATCCTTACAGAGTATTATACAAGATAACTTGTTAATGTTAGTGGACAAGGGATGACCAAAAGGTAGATCCCCAGATGTTTTAAAACTACAGTTTCAATATGCGTTGTCATAATAAAGACATTCTAAAAGGTATGTAAAACAACATGGGAGTTGTAGTTCTACAACACTTGGGAATCTACATTTGGCCACCCCTGCTCTTGACATGACATTGCTTTCATCTCTCCATTAGATTGTCTAAAAGAGGGTTGTTATCCCTGTTGCCTAGCTGACAAATTAGAAATGGCACTTTATCACTTTTACACCATTTGACTGTGAATTGGATTTTTTTTAATAAAGTCTGTTTTAATAACGAGTCTTAAAGTGGTTGCTTCTTTTCTTTTTTATTTGGAGATACACATTTTCAATGAAGTTCGGGTTATGCCCTTTATTCAAGGGTTCTCTTAAATTAACACTATAGTGTTGTGAAAACAAATGTGTATTGCGCACACTATAGCGCCTCCCCTACCTGTAAGGAGAAAAAGAAAAGTGTTTTTTTTTGTTTTACTTACCTTGCCTAAAACAAATATGACTATCTCCAGACCTATAATGTACTTAAACAACCTGAAGTTTTTCATATGTCTAGAGTGTTCCTTTAAGTGTTGGGCAGCAGCATACTGAAAGGGACACTATAGTCACCAAAACAACTACAGCTTACTGAATTTGTTGTGGTGAGTAGAATCATTACCTTCAGACTTTTTGCTGTAAGCACTGTCTTTTCAGAGAAAATGTATTTACATTACAGCCCAGTGATAACTTCACTGGCCACTCCTTAGATAGCTGTTAGAGATCCTTCCTGGGTCATTGCTGCCTAAAATGCATCCAAACATTCAGTATCTCCTCCCTCTGCATGCAGACACTGAATTTTCCTCATAGAGATGCACTGATTCAATTCATCTCTATGAGCAGATGCTGATTGGCCAGGGCTGTATTTGAATTGTGCTGGCTCTGCCCCTGACCTGCCTCCTTGTCAGTCTCAGCCAATCCTATGGGGAAGCATTGTGATTGGATCAGGCCACCACTTCAGCTGATGTCAGCAGACAGTGGGCTAGTCAAAGGAAAACCAGGACAAAGCCAGCAGCTTCAGGCTTGCATACAAGTAAGATTTTACTATATTTAGGGAGGCAAGAGGGGCCTCCCAGAGAATTGACCAGTGAGACGCCAAGGGCATGATCTATACACCATAAAACTGCTTCCTTAAGGAAAACTAGGTCAGATTTACATACAGGGAGTCCTGACACTAAAAAACATAATTTAGTTTCCCATCCCCCGTATTTTACTCCTCTAACAGGGGAGTAGCCTGAATTTGCTGTGTTTTGCATCCCGGGTTTTCACTTTTTGTCTCTACCAGTATGTCCTCTATCACTTTTGGGTCCTGCCCAATTTTTATGTCATATTTGCCATCTCCAATTAAGAAGTGGAAAATAAAGCACTCGTTTCAATTCATTCTATGTTGGGATTTGCATTACATTTTACGCATGTCTTGTTCAGCATTACTGATCCCTGAAACATTGCAGGTTTATGGACAAAGGCATTCTTATCTATTGCACTTAATAAATACGATAAAGAAAAAAATTTAGGTTGAAATCCGTATTACAAATAAAACACGTTGACGGATTTCAGACAATATATCAATGTGCTATGCAGTAACAAAGGCAAGCTTATCAAACAAGTCAGCTCTATATCAAATAGGTCACAAGCAAAACACCAATCTAAATTACCTGGAGACGGATTGAAACAGACTACATGACAACACTGATTTGCTAGTTCAGGAATCACAAGATAAAGCCTGTGATGAAAATGGCGAAGGGAAGAATTCATTACTCAGATGCAACCTAGAATTATTTCCTGCATTCACTTACGGAAAATCAGAAAAGAGCAAATGTGTGTGAAAAAAAAAAAAAAAGGACAAGAATTAACACTAAAAATAAACTCTCTTATTAAAGTGTTAAAATGCTTACATCATCAGTGTCTTTGACTCGAAGTATCTGTTCCCGGAGGTCTTGCAAGTCATTAAAGGTAGACTGTGCTGTTATTGAGTACACTAATGCAAAGCCTTGTCCGTTTTTCATATAGAGGTCCCGCATTGCTGTAAATTGCTCCTGTAACAAAATACACATTTCATTACATCTTATGCACCGATTGCCATAATAAATAAAATAATAATTTAAAACTCTAAAAACAAAGTTACTCACTCTTGTCTCTGTGCACTGCTTAGTGGGTATGTATGCAAGTGCAGAATGACCATTCACACAGCACAAAGAGACTCTTACCCCATAAATACCTGCACAGCTAAAATTTGTTGTTTAGTAAATAACCCTGTACGGCAGTGTGGTAGCACTGGGCAAAAAACAACACTAAGGTACTAGTTACTTTTAATATGTTATCAGGATATGCATGCATTCCAACTAACATTTATTTTCTGGTCTAGAATTTAGACATTTTCTCACAATTTATAAGTCCCTTCTAATGAGCCAGGTCAGACGAAGCACGCGCGTCAGGGGTGCCTAGCGTGCTGTTTCTATAATTTAGTAACCAGCACTTGAATTTGCGACCGAGCTATTTGATCTATTAGTTTATTTATTTTCTTTCATTAATCTTTATTTAATTTTTTTCTACTACCATATCGGCATTTGCTTAGTGGGAATGGTGGCAGGTGCCCTGAAACGCGTGCTAGCTGTAGGATTCGTAGTATAGCAAGTTGATTGTGCAGCTATCAGCATCCTGACAAGTCACACACATATATAAACACATACGTATATATACATATATTAATTCATATATATTTATGTAATATTTTTACATAATTAGGTATCTTAATTAATTACAATTAGCGGGACCTGCCTGACAACCCATGCCGAAAGTAAAGGGAATTTAATTTGCTAGCACTATTTTTAACCCTATAACCTTCCAAGACACCATAAAACCTGTACATGGGGGGTACTGTTCTACTCGGGAGACTTCGCTGAACACAAATATTAGTGTTTCAAAACAGTAAAATATATTACAACGATGATATCGCAAGTAAAAGTGACGTTTTTTGCATTTTTCACGCACAAACAGCACTTACACAGACGATATTATTGCTGCGATACTTTTTACTGTTTTGAAACACAAATATTTTTGTTCAGCGAAGTCTCCCAAATACAACAGTACCCCTCATATACAGGTTTTATGAGGTTTTCAAAAGTTACAGCGTCAAATATAAGGCTTGTGTTTCATTTTTTTCACATTAAAATTCGCCAGATTGGTTACGTTGCCTTTGAGACCCTATGGTAGCCCAAGAATGAAAATTACCCCTATGATGGCATACCATTTGCAAAAGAACTCAACCCAAGGTATTGCAAACGGGGTATGTCCAGTCTTTTTTAGTAGCCACTTAGTCACAAACACTGGCCAAAATTGGCGTTTTTTGCATTTTTCACACACAAACAAATACTGACACTAACTTTGGCCAGTGTTTGTAACCAAATGGATACTAAAAAAGACTGGACATACCCCATTTGCAATACCTTGGGTTGTCTACTATTGCAAATGGTATGCCATTATGGGTGTAAATTTCATTCCTGGGCTACTATACAGTCTCAAAGGTAACATAACCTATCTGGCGAATTTCAATTTCAAATATAATGTGCTATATTTGACCCTGTTACCTCCCAAAACGCCATAAAACCTGTACATAGGGGGTACTGTTTTACACGTGAGACTTTGCTGAATACAAATATGTGTATTTTATTGCAGTAAAAGCAAACAGTATTATGACATTGACAGTTAAAATGTCATGTAGAACTAAAAAAAATAAAAAAAAAATTATCTTCTCCCATTTTTTTCATATTAAATTATGTTTCACAGCTAAATATTTGATATTAAATGAAAGCCCTGTTTCCCCTGAATAAAATGATATATAATAAGGGTGGGTGCATTTACTATGAAAGAGGTGTATTACGGTTGGACAGACATGTAGCGCAAATGCCAGGTTTTGTTTACATTTTGTTTTGTTCACAACGTGTACATTTGGCTCCGTCCTTAAGGGGTTAAAATTAAAATTTATTTATTTTTTGATTTTATGGATCTAGTACTCTAGTAGCAACTAGTTTAGTATCTCTGAGATTTGACAGTCAGTCATAATTTCTGATTTCTATTTCAGACTGTGTAGGTACACTATTTTTCTTTTTTGATCTTTTCTCACAATTTATTAGAATCTCACACAAGTAAAATAAGCCTTCTGGAGAACTCTGAATGCAGTCACATGAAAATATAGTTTTAATATACGACTGAACTATACGTGAATATTGTCATTTTGTGACCTGCCGACAAGCATACCCACCAAGCATTAGGGACTAAACGTTTAACCACTGCCAATATGAAAGGTAGATAATATTTGTGTTATAGTGAATATTTACTCAATCCATCACGTACTGTAGATATTTGAATTTGCTTTATAAGAATGGGTATTCTATTAATTCGAAGGCCATTAGCAAGCAGGGATGTATTAAATAACAAAACAGAAAACAAACATGTTTACAATGTGAACATAAGGTGAATTAGGATGATTACACAGAATACGTTGTGTAACACGTTCTGTACATACCGTCCCAGCTGTGTCTAAGATTTCGAGCATGCATTGCTGACCATCAACTTCAACTTGCTGAAAGAAAAAACAGTCATATAGGGACATTAGGCTGCGAGACCATCTCTGTTATAAGTGGGATCTAAAACACTTAGGAACACTGCAAAACAAAGTACAAAACAAATTAAAAATTCTACAAAATTTATTTCCAAGTTAGTGGATTTGTAAAACTTCTCCCTTCCTTTTATAATCACTTTTAGGCTCAGTAATTTTTAATGTGACCAAATGTCCATGTACACTGTGGGTGATGGGAATAGCTGTATCTTACAGGTATATTGAACAAGCAGTATAAACGGGAGGCTTTTGCATCCACACATTGCTCCCTATGAGATAAATGGGAAGAGGTGCTGTGCAGGTTTAGTAGTCTGCATACATCTGTGGTACAGCATGCACATTTGGTTTCCCAATTCATTTAAAATGAACAATAAGATTGTTTGGAAAAGAGAAATACATTTAAAGGGACACTAGGCACAAGAACAACTACAGCTTAAATGGACACTTTGGGCATTACTACTTTAACTATTATACTAATTTATACTATAAATTTCATATAATCAGATTGGCTAGAATTCGTTGACTCCCCTGATGCTGTTCCTTCATTCAGTGTTAAACCATTTTCAGGAAGTTCAACACTAAATAAGGGCTTATGTCCATTCACAGCACCAATGCATGGCTAAAACAGAGATTACACTCTTCCTTCTAACCATACCAATTCATACCAGCAATGAGTACGCAATAGGCTAAAAGTGGTCAGCTGACACTCTCAGCCAATCATAAACACCCATTGCAAATGCTACCTTATTTAACCAAAGAGCACAGACTGTATGGCTTTGATGGGTTCTTATTTAGCATTAAAAACTGTTTAAAGTTGAATGGAGGTGATGGCACCCTGGGCACTCCGGACACTATTACCACTTGAATAGGGTATAGTTATAATACTTTAAATTTAATTTTAACCCTTTAAGGACCAAACTTCTGGAATAAAAGGGAATCATGACATGTCACACATGTCATGTGTCCTTAAGGGGTTAAAGGAACTGTCAGGGTGCCATAGCAACTTCATCGAAATTATGGGGACAGGAGGTCCCCATACTTCCTTACCTGTAGGGGTTAACCTGTTCACAAACCGTTTAACCCCACAGTTGTCTCCTCAGCCCTGTACCTTACTGTCCCCATCGACATTCATTCTCGGAAATTCAACAAGGGGCGCAGCTAATTAGTTTAGAGTGTTTAACTGACGCTCTACATTCATAAAAAAGGTGCATACTTTTATTTATGAATGGGTAGCTACAGATTAGCTTAGCGTCAGTTAACATTGCTAAGTCAAATCAGTTGTGCTCATTTCCGAAGGCACTCCCTGCTTCCAGCAGTATCAGCAATTCTGAGAAAAGGAAATGTTTAAATTGCTTCACAAAGTCACCTTTACGATCACGAATTACTGTGTATTAATTGCACTAAATTTATAGTAAATTAATGCAATAAGGTAAGCTGTAAGAGGGTCTCTTTAAACGTAAACCAAGCAAAAAAAATAAAGATGCTGCAAATTTTTATTCCCAACTCTAAAGTGTTCCTTTCATGTAACTAAAATTATTAGCTTTATAAATCAGTTATGAGTGGTGCTTTAGGCATTACCATTTAAAAACATGTTAATATAACTTTTATTAGTGTAAAAATGTACATAGGAACAGGTCTCCTTTGCTTCTAGTGAGCACCACCATTCAGAAGCCAACAAAACCCTTCAGTGTGAATCACAGTATTATATTGCCACCTGCCGTGTCCGGCGTCGGCATCGTTCGGTTCCTGACAGACAGCATTAGTGGGAACTAAACAGTGCCGAGAGGCAGACAGATTAATTTGTGTCACTAGTCTGGAATTTCTTTCCTTTTAAAATAATTACCTAATTTATTCCATGCATTGCCATTTAATAAAGAAATGCAGCCTCCAACTTTACGATGAATTAGACCAGGGGTCCCCAATTCATTTATTAATTTTTTCCCATGGAACCCTTTGACATAGTCTATTAACATCGTGGGTAGCACTCCCCCTGGAATAAAATAAATAAAATTGCGCCTTTTTTTTGTATGTGCCGGTGTGTCAAGGTGTGTGTATCTGACACACAGATACACACACTGGCACATAGTGGCACACAGATACACACACCTTGAAACTAAGTGTGTATCTGTGTTTGTATGTGTGTGTATTAAGGTGTTGTATCTGTGTTTGTATGTGCCAGTGTGTGTGAATTTGACACACAAATACACACACCTTGACACATAGTGGCACACAGACACACACTGACACAGATACACACACCTTGACACACAGTGTGTATCTGTGTGTCAAGGTGTGTGCGTATCTATGTGTCAAAGTGTGTGCGTATCTATGTGTCAAAGTGTGTGCGTATCTATGTGTCAAAGTGTGTGCGTATCTATGTGTCAAAGTGTGTGCGTATCTATGTGTCAAAGTGTGTGCGTATCTATGTGTCAAAGTGTGTGCGTATCTATGTGTCAAAGTGTGTGCCTATCTGTGTCAAGTGTGTGCCTATCTGTGTCAAAGTGTGTGCCTATCTGTGTCAAAGTGTGTGCCTATCTGTGTCAAAGTGTGTGCCTATCTGTGTCAAAGTGTGTGCGTATCTGTGTCAAAGTGTGTGCATCTGTGTCAATGTGTGTGCATCTGTGTCAATGTGTGTGCATCTGTGTCAATGTGTGTGCATCTGTGTCAATGTGTGTGCATCTGTGTCAATGTGTGTGCATCTGTGTCAATGTGTGTGCATCTGTGTTTGTATCTGTGTTTGTATGTGCCAGTGTGTGTATGTCTGTTTCAGTGTGTATCTCTCTGTGTATCTGACACACAGATACACACAGATACACACTGATCTTGACACACAGATACACACTGACAGACATCTTGAATGCCAAATGCACACACTCAGATACACACTGACACATACACACACTGACACATACACACACTGACACATACACAAACTGGCATATACACACAGTGACACAAATACACACACTGACACACATACTATTTGACAGACACACATACATACAAACACACTCACTCTAAACACTCTCACTGACAAGCACACATATACTCTTTGACAGAAACACAAACACATACAAACTCCCTAAGAGACGCACATACAATTTATTTTTTTATTTTTACTCCACCTAGCCCCCCCCTCCCCTACCTGAGAGTGCTGGCATGGAGTCTATGTCCCATTGGACCAGTGGGGCTGCTGGGCTGAGCACGCTGTCTCTGGGGTCCAGTGGGCTGCTGAGCGGCTGATGTGCAGTGATCTCCCTGCTCAGCTCCCTCGTATCTCCCTGCTCAGTTCCCTCGTGCGCCTCTTAGTGATGCCGGAGTGACGTCATATTCAGGCCCCAGCATTACTGGGGCTGGGAGATCACTGCCCCCTCGCCGCTCGTTGCCATTTTATTTTTAAAAATTTTGGCGGAACCCAATTGTGTGGTTCCGCGGAACACCAATTGGGAAACGCTGAATTAGACCCATAAACAACAAGGCAGTAACATGATTTTACCTTATTTTTTAGATGGACAAGTGCTTTATGGCTCCTATTTTTCAGACATTAAGGGACAATTAAATTAGCAATTGATTCAATGTCATCCTCTAACATCTCTGTTAATATGTTGGTTATTAATGCTAGTTTCTGCATGACATGGAGCTTGGAAGAGCCTAGCTAATGTCCACAAACCGAGCATCATGCTCACGTAAAGACATAATAAAATGTCACTTGCGCTCAAGCCTGATGTGTAAGCATTGTCCTGTTTGCCAGAGCTCCAGGCTACAGAAGGCCACAGCTGAATTCTGCAGAAAGTGCTGACAGCTGGATTTTAGGACAGTCTATGTATTTGCTCCGTGGAGCTGAAATGAAAAGATCAAATTGTGCATGGGGAGATTTAACAAACTAGCAAATTTACTGTGCTGCAAAGTGTTTCGGCATGAGTGTTTTACCACGACACAGGAAACCAGCAATGCTAAGTAATTGCACATTTTAATCAATGTGCGGTCCTGAAACATATTACGAACAGGTCACAAATGACTCATTGTAATTTTGTATTCTTTTTGTCAAAATGAATCATTTGGAAGAGATCAATGTGATATAAGTGACTTTTTTTGTTACTTTTAGGTTTCTCAGAAATAGCCATCCTGAAACATTGTTGTGTATTTTTTAAATGTAATTTTAACTCTGCCGCACCCTTTCACGCCATGCTAAGAAGCTGTAGATCTATAAATCCTAACATGCATTAACTTGGGATATAAACCGGGTTATTAAATCCACCATGTACTCCTGGACACACCACATAATGCATTATATATATATATATATATATATATATATATATATATATATATATATATATATTTTGTTTTTTTTGTTTTTTTTTTTAAATTTTTTTAATTCGAAAGCTGAAAAAAGGAAATCCGATCAAAGTGGGATTCTGTAGCAGACGAATGCTAAACAGTAGAGGGCAGCTCTATTCAACTCTCAGCAACATGTATGGGTACGGGAAAGCCCATATACCCAATGACAACTGCAGGTAATAACCAGCTTTCATTTTAGTGGATATACATTAGCAGCATTTATATAGTGCCAACACATTCTGCAGTGCTTTAGAGTTATAATAAAGGGACAGTTGAAAGAAGGCAGTGTTTTTTTTACTTGTATGTAAGTGAACAAACAGTGAAAAATCTAGGCTAATTCTTCTTGCTTTCTCAGTTTGTTTTTCTTGTCACATAAATATCCGATACCTAGACAGTATTGTGTTCTAAACTACACTAAATCAGTTTCGGTAAACAATAAACACAAACCTTTCTGTAGGAATCTTCTATTGTTGGGTCATATTTTTCAACAAATATTCCTTGGACAAACTGGACAGTCTGTGGGGGAAAAACAAAACAATGTTCAAGTTAATGAAGAATAAAGTAAAACCATTCAAATGTAGGCAAACAAGGACTCAATATTTTGTTTAGCAGCAGGTTAAATTCTTGAGTTAGATATCCTAAATTCCTTTTGGGCTCTAATAACACTATGGACGTAGCTCTTCTACTGTCCCAAACAAAATGAAGGTAGCAACATTTGTTAGTCCCCATAAACACCTTCCATGCATTTAAACAGGCAGCTGTAATGCAGTAAGCACTAATTTGGTCCCATTTCTGGGTGAGAAATACAGAAAGTAATTAGATCAGGGATATATTAACGAGATCAGGGATATATACATCAGACCTCAAAAATTTCCACTTGCCTCTAGCGAGCAGAAATTCACCCCTGGTGATTATACTATGGCCTTCAGTGTGTGTGTGTTTATATATATATATATATTTATTTTTTTCCCCAATACACAATGTATATAAGGCTTTTATAAAAGGGTAGTCAGGTCTACTATGAAGTGTCCACTTAAAAGTACAAGTTGAAGTACATTAAAAAAAAAAAAAAAAAAAATGAAATGATGCAAGTATTAGGTGATAGTTATATGCCTGAAATCCTAGTTCATCCAATCATTACGCTGATGATATTGAGCTAAGATCTATAGGAATTATGTTTTCAGCAGGTTGAAGGTATCCCACAATGTCTAATGTGCTAAATCCCATTGACCATAGCATGGAGCATTGCGGACAACATTTGATATCATCTTCCCCCTCCACACTTGCAAAAAAAAAAAATGTTTTAATGGAATATCTCATATTTCGTAGAGTGGGGCCTCTAAATTAAAATTATTTTATAGTCTCATGGTATTATTTTACGAAAGTACAAATAATAATACCTTTCTAATGCCTTTCATTTTTGGAAAGATAATTTTTATTTTAACAGCAGATGTATTATAGAATTATTATAACATTTAATGTTAAATATGAACAAAACAGTTTGGACAGGCCTTGTTTCTGTCAGTAAAATGAAATTTTATTATATCTTTTATCATGATACCCACCTAGGAAATGTGTACAAATGATGATATGCTTGTTAAATTGGGCCTTAGGATATTTCCACCCATATACACTGATGCTGATAATCCTAAAAGGACATTACTGTGTATATGCACTTATATAGTAATTCAAACTAATTGGAGGACATGGTTGATAAATTGTAAATTGAGACTTTAATGGATTCCATAAAATCATGCAAGATACATATTCTTTTCAAAGACCACATTTCCAATTCATTGAGTGCACACCAGGAAGCTCTGCAAGCCAGTACAAACAGATAAAGTACACACAGGATGTCATGTTCCCTTATACTGTACCATGCTTATCTAAACGTTACAGAAAAGGCTTGTTCAGCATCTGTCCTTTTCCATTAGCAGGGCAAAGGCTAAAAAGCTGATAGACATCACATATTTACCTGGTCAGATGAAAGGATGAAAATACAGCTAATGCCTAATCTATGAGCTTCCAGAAGGTAAGGTGCCCATCTGTTGCAGTACAATAATAACCAACTCTTACGATACTTTAAGGCAGTATTGAATACTGACAAACTGCCAAAATGGTTTGAAAGACAGGCTTCAATTGCAACAATAATTATCTCAATTTAAATTCTTTGCGAAGGTATAATGTCACAATTGCTTCACACAATTTAGATGGGAAGGTCCTGAAGAAGTCTCTCACAGGGACCTGTATCCATTATCAAGACTGCTTTAAATAATACATATGCAAAGTGTATTTATTTTTTTCATTCAAGTAATGAAAAAAAAAATTGTAAGCAAAAAATCAGTAGTTTGAACACGGTTGTCTAGTTATATCTGGCTATAGTTTACTCTTTACCAACATAACAATCGTCATCTCACATTAAAATATCATATGTACTTATGTCTTATGGTAATCTTTTCATCTATGTCACTGTGTATCTTACATATACCTAACACATGTGAGTTGAGTACAAATGACCCAGTTGTTCGATTATAATACAAAAAATGTTATTTTGATTATCCCAAATGTTCCGTATGATGCAAAGCTTGTGGTATGCTGTTGGGGCACCCTAAGCCTGTTTGTATATATCTGCACTGCAAAAATATAAAGAAAAAAAAATAATCAGTAATTTGATTAGGCAAACTTAGAATGAAAATAAGGTACACTGCATGGTGGGTCTTCCATTATATTTTATGAAAATGGTACATTTGATTAAAGCAGTAGTCTAAGTGTAGCAGAGATTGGTGAATTACCTAAAATTTTAACATAAAATAAATATCACTGTCTACTTCTGAATTGAATTATACTGTGTATGGTTATACAACAACAAAAACATTAAAATAAATTAGCTGGTATCGAGCTAAAAAAATATCCATCACAAGGTATAGTTTTTAAGTCTGCTTTATAGTACACAATCTTCCTTAATAACAGTAACGGCAGTACACAAAAAGGATGCTTATTGTCTAGCATTCTCAAATCCTTGATTAGAATTCCTTTTTGCTGTGTAGTTGCTATATTTGGAGTTTTACTGCTTTGCCTCATTCAGTACTATTTGCTCTGGAGTCGCACAAAATTTTACTATACTAGAATATATGTATTATGTCGTGAAGTGCACAGAAATGTACGAGTGCCCTTTTTACGGTTATTTTGCAAGATCCTATACTAATGAAGGCAGACTTCAAAACTACACCATGTGATAGATATTCCTACATTCATGAAACATTTAGCTTTGCAAAGTTTCCAATAGGCCACCGCCTACTATGGAGACTTGTCTCTTGTCTATAAATAAAACAAAAAAACAAAAGCTGTGGGAAAATATAAAAAAAAAAGTACAGAAATTCCCAAGAGATTGCAGGCTTGACATGGAGAACCACACAAATGAGGTTTGTAAGATGACTTATGCGCAGTGCACATAATGATCACACGCGTCAGTGAGGGAAAACAACGCCCCCACTTGTGGAACACTATAATTTAGATGGATTTTTTTTCCTGTTCCTTCTTCAAATCTGTCCTTTTTATGTGTCTGGACTCAGACACTAACCGTTAACACCTTTGTATCAGTTGAATAGTAAATACAGAAAGCACTTTCTCTATGCACATTCATTCCATTCTATTTTAGCCCTTGTGTGTATGTATAAACCTTAGGACAGCACCCGTTCAGACAGAGATTGGTAGGAGTTACATTCCTTTGCGGCAAATGCCATCATTAACTCGATATACTGGGAAGACATAGTTGTGCGATTTGTCTCCTCAGTTACTTTCTTGCAATATGATTACAGGAAAGGTTAAGAATTGAAATCAAGAGAGTGAAAAATAGAAGTAACAGACATTTAACTCCTGTTATTCTCAGGCACATCAGGAAATGTCTTTGAGCCTTCTGATTTAAGGACCCCTCTACGGTTGTGGTAACAGGCAGAGGATCAATGGGATACATATTGAGTAGATCCACACACTGATAGTCGGAAACCATACTGGCTGCTTGACACCTAGTCAGACTAATGAGGGAGAGCCAGGGGGATTTAAAAAAAAAAAAAATTTAGAATAGTAAAATAAAGTGACCAAAAAGCCACGGTAAAGTATCTTTTGGTGCAAACAGGAAAAGCACCAGAGAAACAGCCTAAAAAAAGAAAATGACATAATGACATCACAAGTACAGTTAAATTCGGTTGTTTAAAAAAAAATCTGATGAAATTATAGTGGGAGTCCCAGCATTTCTGTGCTATGCCCCTCACCCCCACTAGTTTTTCTGTTCCTCCCAGTGCGCTCTGGAAAAGGCATGAGCTGCATGGAAGAGATGACTAGAGACATAGTGGGAAAAGTAGGGACACAATATTCTTGGCATCAGGATCTATTTTTGGGTCGCCATAATAACCTAGCACCTTGGATTTGTTTACTGCTGGGCTAATAATAAATATCAAAGAATATCACTGGGGGGAAAAATAAATAAAAAAGGAACATGATTTTTCTCCAATAGTCAAAAACAAAAACACAAAGTGGCAAAAAATATATTAAACAATGTATCTGAGAGCTATTGTTCTGAAATTGGCATCTTGAGAGGTGTGCAGAATCTATTAAAAGGATTTTAAAAGTGACCAGACTAAATGTCTCTGCTGCTTACACCTCTCCAGGAAGCCACAGACCTTAGTGATTATTATTTCATTTCCTACAGGTCCAAACTTCCATTGTACTCACTACCTAGATATAGAAATTAGATCCCTGTTGCAATCTTCTTTTTCAGTTCTTCCTGTAATGGTCTGATTTACACCAAACTCTGCTTAGGAACCAGTGCGTGCATTCACAAACACCACATAGTACACACAATGCCAGAACATAGGTGTGATGTCACTGGTTGATTGAGTTTAGAATGGATATACAAGCTAAATTAAAGAAGAGAACTGTATACTGCTGGATTTTTTAACAAGAAAAGTGGATTATCTCAGGACTGGATAGACAGGAGACTGCTTTGGGTGTACATTGAAGTTGTCAATTTGTAGTCAGCCAATTCCATATGGAGGCCGCATTGGGAAGTTCACCTCGAAGCCAGGTATGCGGTTTATATACCACTTTTGCTGCAGTAAATACCAAATGTACTGCAGTATGCTACATGACACACTGCTGCAATTATTGTTAAACTGTATTTGTCTCCTTTTGGGGTCTTTGCATATTTTACAAATAACCCGAATGGTGACATCGTTGCTTATTTGCAGTGACCCATGGGTGCAGGGGAAGGTAGGTTTTAATTACCTGACAAAGTGCAGTAATAAAAAAAAGGAATTATATTTCGCTACATTCACAAGCAGCAACAACTTAATACCAGGCAAAGGCTGAGCAAATGTGAACACTCAGTATTATTAAACTCACACCAAATGGAAGCATTACATAGAAGTATTAATGAAGTCTCCACGTAATTCTGGGCAAGTACTTATAGCAGGGCTCAACAAATCCCAGACGCCTTGTCGCCATCGACCAGGAAATTTGTCCTGGCGCCCGGGATTTGTAAGGTTGTTTAGCCCCTGAGGAGACCGGCTGCCTGAGATTGTAGTAAGGGGGGTGGGCGGCTGTATCGGGGAGTCAGGCAGCTGAATGAGCGCAGTGGCGGTGAGGGTGCTGTAATCTCCCTGCTCCCTCGCACGCCTGCCCCGCATCACTAAACAGTGCTCTAGGGAGCAAAGCAGGGAGATGACAGAAGCCCCATTGGACCCTAGGGTAAGCTGATCCACTCCAGTTCTCCCAAAGGTAGGAAGGCGGGATGGATTTAAAATAAAAAAGTAAGGATTTGTGAGTGAGTGTTGCAGTGTGTGTGTGTGTGTGTGTGAGAGAGACACAAATCGGTGAAGGTGTGTGTCTCTGAGTGTGCTTCTGCCCGTCAGTCCGCGAGGATGTATTTTATTGTTTTTGGTGACCTTCCCTCTTTCAATCACACCATTTTCCAACGCCGTGCTGGTAACTTCGCGGCTAGCCCCACCTCCATGCTTGAGATCATCAATATTGACTATCTCAGCCAATCCAATGCTTCCCCATAGAAGCATAGACTATTGCACATGCACAGCATAACGCCATGCTGCCTAATGAACTACTTCTCATAGAGATGCATTAAATCAATGCATCCCTATGGGGAGCATTAGTGTAGGTGCTGCACACTGTGCAGGACTGGCCCAGGAATCACTTCTAGAGGCCGTCACAGTGACTGTCACTAGAGGAGTTACCAGACAGCAATGTCAACCCTGCCTTTAGTCTGAAAAGTCAGTGTTTAGAAAGACTTTTAGGCATCATCTTTGGATGGAATATCATCATTAAATGCTGACCATTTGGACAGTAGGTCATCTGTTCCTGGCTTGTGAGTGTGTCGTGTATATAGGGGTATATATAATTCCAATTGAATTTTGTGCTACAGGTTACTAATGGTTTTAAAAACACCTACTGCACATACCCACCATCTTCTTAAAATGCTCAGTCACTCTACAGCCGATAGCCAAAACACATGCTGTGGCTAGTTGAAAGGTTGTGAAGCTTCAAATTGCAGGACTGGTGCTGTGACTCTGAGGACTGATTCTGATTTTAATCTGTAATGACTGTTGATTCTGTTAACCATGTCCGCTAATTCTTGGCTCCATATTACCACTGCAGATTAATTATATTGCCTTCTGCAAAGGTCTATCAGTATCCTGCTGCTTTAATTCTGTGTGCACTGTGTGCTGAGAGCTAATAGTGACTCAGGAGTAGCTGACATGGTTGGAGTCTATCGGTATCTTGATGCTTTAACCATGTGCTCGCTGTGTGCTAAGAGCTAATGGAGTAGTTGGCATGTTTCAGAACAGAAGCAATATTTAACAGAAAGCTAAAATTATAGTAGGAGCACTCCAGAAGAGATAGGAAGATCGAGAAAGAGAGCTGAAGCGTTTCCGAGACATGTAATGTGTGAAGATCTCTGTATTGCAGCTCTGTGTAGTCCATCACAATGATCCTGGCTGTGTGGGATAGTTATGTTATCTCTGTAGTTTGCACAGCTCTGTGTATTGTATAGGTTTCTTTATATTGTGCCCAACTCTGTTTATTCTATTTTTTCTCAGCTCTGTTTGCGGTATGGTTATATCTGTATTGTACTCAGCTTTATGTATTTTATAGATATCTTTATGTTGTGCCAAGCTTGTTTTAATGTATGAGCATCTCTGTATTATGCTCCGCTCTCTATATTGTATGAGTATCTCTGTACTGTACAGGGAAGAGTAAAAGTCTGGGGGAGGAGTATGACACCCCTCCATTTTGAAAACTTCACCAGCCGCCAATAGCTATATTTAATCATTCCACCCAACAGAATGTCCATGCTGTATAAAATACACTTACCAAAGCAGACTTCCCGACACCTCCAGACCCAAGGACTACCAGCTTGTATTCACGCATGGTGCCGGCCTGGATTCAAATAACCACACCTGAAAGCAAAGAGGAGAGTATAAGCAACACTATTACATTTTCAGATTAAATAAATCTCTATAAACACATTGATTTTTTTTGTAATCTCTCCTCAACTTCAGAGACACAGCTGCATTTATGCCAATGCCCACAAACACTAAGAACTACATTAGCAGTGCTAAGTTTCAAAGCACAGTGGGAGGAAAATACATTTTAAAAAAAACAAACAACTAAAACATAGTAAATTACATTTCTGTCATGTGAAAACCAGGGCAGCGTGCATTAATCCCACCCCCCAAACATGACACTCATGTCATCAAACAGTCATTTCTACCTATGCAGTCTACAAATATTCAGAGCAACTCAAAGAATAATTGAATCAAAATCTCAGAACAGGAATTTGGCAGATATCTATAAATAATAGCACTATGGTAACATATGTCTGTGCTCTGCAGTGGTGTGAAGTAATAAAATAAACATAGGTACAACTGTGTCTTAGTAGATATGTTGTACTGAAAACTCATTTGTGCCTAATTTTATATGTATTGTCTGCAACAAGATTCATAACCAATAATTAGGTAACTTTTCTATTTTGGCACAGTAATGACATTGGTACTTTTGTTCTGGCTGTCAGAATTTCAAACAAAAATTAAGAGTAATTTTTCATGAGAAACCCCACCCCCAAAACTTGTATCATAACCCATATGAAATAGGGGCTAGAACAGACTTTTCCATCCAAGGCAGAGGTTGATGGTGAAGTGAGTGGTATTGATGTTTTACAAGTGGGAAATAAAGCAAATAAAAGGTAAAGAAATTGAAAGTCAGGCTTGACTGCTCAGAAACCAAAACACTCTCAGTAATAATCCAATAACAATGGTATTGTCATGCCAAAAGCATGAGTTGGTGCTTGATGTGTGTTTATATATGTTAAGAGTTGTTTTTTTGTAAACCTTGGGATGACATTTATTGTGGTCTTTGATCTTGCACCAGGCCTAGACCATAAAACATCTAGATAGCCATCACCAGAGCTGGACACAAGGAATTTCATCGAGTGGGCAATAGACTGCCAGACCAGCCCCCTCTGATTTCCCCCCCAGGGGTCTGCCCACTGAGAAACAACTAGTTTAGATATATGAGGGTGTTGGACTATCCAGGGAAGCCAGTTATTCATTTTTCTTTTGTCAGTAACTTCTAGGAGACCTATACCATCTAACACTCCCACAAGAATTCTATATAGGGTAACAACATGTAAGGAATTTCTTGTTTTCTCCTATTTTATTTTATGTACTGTTTTGCAATTTGTTATCTGTATGTCATTTATTTCTGTATTTTGTACTCAGCACTGTGAATCCTTTTTGTCAGATTAAATGTTTACTTAATCAGCTTGTGTCTCTGTTCTCTATGAGCTTCACTCTCCAGAGGAAAGCTCAGGTAAACACGTTACCAAAAAGGGTTAACTATATATGTTTTATCAGTAAAAGTAGAACTGTGATACTATAATTTTACCACATGACAGGAGGCTTCATATTTGCATATCTTTCTTTACTGAAAACTCCAGCAGCATAGAAACATAACAACCAATCAGAAAAAAGTTATGATGCCCATAAAAGGCCCTGTCTATGACATCACTTCCTCTTTCTTTGCTGCTCCAGCCATACATCAGGTCAGAGTATTTTACCTCTCTGGTAGATTCTTAATTTACACTGTTTTTTGATTGTCATTCCACTATATATTACTCTATTTATTGCTAACACCTGCTACCTTGGCCCCCCTTATTCCTGTCCCTTCACTGTATCCCTCTGTTTTTTCCCCCCCGAAGATGGAACGTTCCTGGATGAACACTATTGGCTGCGCAACCCTCGGGGGATGGAAGGATGCGCACGCCTCAAGACCGAGTTACCCCAGGGTACACAACTCAACCCTACCACCTCCAAAGAATGGTCGCAATGCTCGATATGCCTCCTGGGCAACATAAATGACGCACTATGCGCCGACAGACGCAAATCTGTACTGGGCCGCATCGACAACACACTATTGGACTTAGGAACGACAAGAATTCGGCCCAAAAGCACAAGGCCTACTATTCGACGTAGTGTTCATTGCAGTACTCAAGAAACACGTGAATTTATTCACCACACTAAATTAAACCCAGACCTCGCTAAAACAAGTCTTCCATAACCCTATGGGGAAAGGTGTTTCTGGGAGGACTGGTCGGTAGCTGAACCGAGCCACCAGCCGCTTCTTGGCGACAGGTTCCAGATCGTATACACAGTCCTCATATTTCTCCCATCTACTACACAAAGGAACCCATCCGCTTCATCTACTAGTGTGCCAACCTACATAACTAACTGTTTCCAATATTATGACCGGCAACCTGTCTCTGTTTTACAGAATTGAGAGACGACTACCAAAGTCACCTGGGTTCTCCAGACAGTACAAGGCTATGTCATAGAGTTTTATCACAGCCGTGCAGGTCGCCCCTTCACCTCCATTACGCACGCTGGCGGAACAGGAACGCCTCGTGGACAAGAAAATCTGCACCCTCTTCAGGAGGGGCGCAATTCAACATGCACCGGAGGGGAAGGCTTCCCCAGCAAATTTTTCCTGGTCAAGAAGAAGCCAGGAGACTACATCAATGGAACCCCTACATGGTATACAAATGCTGCAAGATGGAGGAAATTCGTCTTCTACAAGACCTCCTAGGCGATAACGACTGGTTTACACATCTGGACCTCAAGGACGCACGCTTGTCAGTACCCGTTGCCCTGGACTGCCGAAGTTTTCCTCCGATTCCAATGGTGAGGACAAACACGGCAGTTTACGACTCCGTGGTGCTCGCGAACCTACTGTAACCAGTGAGGGCGCACATCCGTAAATTTGGGCGTGCGATGCCTCGCATACCTGGAAGACTTGCTGATTCTTTACGAATCCAGGCTACGTTTGCAGACAAATTAGTTGTTCACTTTCGGGACTCCATGGGTTTTTTGTTGTACACAGACAAATATCGCTTCTTCATCTGAATCGGGCCAGTTCCTCGGTTTCAACATCGGCTTGGAGAACTACGTTCCGCGTCCGTCTATGGCAAAGAGCGCCTCTATAAGGATAGCTGTCGGATTGTGGGATTCCTCTCCTCCTCTCCTCCTCCATACAAGCGTTATTCCCTGGCCCACTACGACTGATGGTGAGATACGTATGCACCGGTCACTCATACGACCACTGGATCCCACTGTCAGCGGAAGTGAGGATGGAATTTCGATGATGATTACTTCACATACAAACTTGGATTGGCAAAACGATCTTTGACTCTTCCTTCGGATACGGGGCGATGGATGAACCCCTGCCAACGTGACCCAGCCGTTCTCCACAATAGCAAGGGTGCTTCGATACACACACCCACAAGATATCGCTCCTGCTCATGACACCCCTCGGGCAGGGCCAACCGTGATTTCCCGGATCGCCTGGAGATGTCGCGCGAAGACCCTCTACTACTCCCTACCTTCCCTCTACTTCTGACGGGACCTCGAGGGGAAGCCCACTCCCTTGTCATGGAAGGACAACTGGCACTAGTTGCCTGGACGGTTTCAGGGGCTCCTGGTCAGTTCACGACCTATTGCATCAACTAAGACCTCCTATGGGACTCATAGGCTCCCGGCACCAGGAAAGGCTATATTTCTGCCTGGTCGGCCTGGAGTGATTGGTGTGTGGAAAGGGATTCCGATCCCTTTACCGCACCTGTCCCACTGATCCTCAACTATCTGTCACACCTGGTCTCGTTGGGTCGGTCATATCGATCCCTCAACGTGATCAGATCCGCCATATCGGCGGCGCACGTTCCGGTACAGGGCAGACCAGTAGGTCAAGATACACTGGTTTGTCGACTACTGCGGGGTGCCGAATTGTCGAGATCCCTGCACCCAAATATTCACGCCTCTGGCAGGTGGATGTGGTGCTGAGATTCCTTAGGGAATGGCCGGACAATCCTTGTTTGTCACTGAAGCAACTTTCAGCCAAACTAGCCCTCTTATTATGCCTCGCCTCATTTAGACGGTGGCGGACGTTAGGGCTTGCGATATGGATGGTTTCTCTCTCAAACCAGACGGGGTTACCTTTACCATGTCGAGACGAACTAAGTCTGATTCATCTTCAGTGTCATACCCATGCTTTGTGTCAGACGCCACACTATGCGTGGTCAGAACGCTAATGGGGTACACCAATATCTCTACCCCCTTCGAACTCATTCGACGGATCACCATCTGACTTCTTACATGAACCCTCATGGACCGGTGTCTACCGCAACACTGGCCAGATGGGTCCGCTGGTTTTTGTCTTTAGCGTCGAACCTTGTTTCGGAGCCCACTCGGTCAGGGGAGCGGCGGCCTCACAAACCTTTTCGGCCGACGCTTCCCTAGCCGACATTATACGCTGCGCGGACTGAGCGCGAGAGAGTACGTTTAGAACGTTCTATTTTCGGCAAACATCTCATGCTTCCTTCACATTGGTCAATTCAAAGCTTTAAAAATGCAAATATGAAGCCTCCTGTCATGTGGTAAAATTGAAGATTATATTAGCTTTAGTGTACTAATAATCTTAATTTTAGTAATGACAGGAGGCGAATATTTCCCACCCTATAGGATCCCTCCCATGTTTCTCGTGTTGAACAGAATATGTCCTTTATGTTCAGGAAGGTAAGTACGTATGGTTTGTATGTTTGCTACTTAGACCTGTATCTTGTGGGTCTTGTATTGGCTGAATATTAGACATGAACCTTGCATTATGTTGTGTTTATAGATTCTTAATATCATTGCATTAGAATAAATATATATTGATATGTTTCACATTCTAATGTTCGTTGGTATATCAGATGCTTAATGCTTATTGTATGCGGACAAGTTATCACGCCAGATACCTTTCACCTTTTTCTTTTTCTTGCAGCGTGAACGTCTTCTCATCGAGACAAAGATTCACCTTCCATACCGCTGCATCGCGGAACTAATGGAGTTGGATATTCTAATATGTTGTTGAACTGTTGACGTAATATGATTATGTCTCTTGTTGTTATTTATTGTTTCGCTTCAAAGAAAGAGGAAGTGATGTCATAGACAGGGCCTTTTATGGGCATCATAACTTTTTTCTGATTGGTTGTTATGTTTCTATGCTGCTGGAGTTTTCAGTAAAGAAAGATATGCAAATATTCGCCTCCTGTCATTACTAAAATTAAGATTATTAGTACACTAAAGCTAATATAATCTTCAATTCTCCTGTGTGTGGGGTAACCTAAGACGCCGGGTTTAAAATTCTTGGTGGTGGCAGTAAAGTGTGTACTAAGGGGGTTAGTGTAGAAGGGATTGCAGGGGTTAATGGAGTGGTTGCTGGGACTAGCAACAGGTAACCAGGGGTCTGGTGTCATTAACCCTGTCACTTCCACACTCTCCCCACTGTCTCGGCTGGGCCTATAGCCCACGCACGTGACAGGTATTAACATCCATCTGCTTCTTGTCACATACACAATAATGTACTAATGTTCCAATAACATCAGCTATAAGGAGGCCACAAAGTTAGCCATCTAAACACACTCTCTAAAGCTGTCCTTTGGATTGGAAGGTAAGGAAACTATGTCCCCCCCAAAAAAAGGAACAATGTGAAACCACAAATTGTTCTCTTTTCAGCGGAACACAAATAAATTACATTTTGATGTAGCATTGATTTAAGAGAAATCAAACCCAGCCTCCCTTCAATGTGTGAAATACTAGCAGGACAAGGTGAAAAGCAGCCAAGTAATAAGGTGAAATAAGGAAAAAGTCTAATGTCTAAGCAAATCTTGCAAAGATTGCCAAAGATGGTGGGCAAGGATGCTGACTAACCTTTAAATAGCCTGAATACAATAGCACGGAATATCACAAGACTGCAGAATCCATGTGTTTCTATCACAAAGCAAATAGGCTGTAGCTGTGACCTTGGTTTGAAGTAGTGAGGTATTTAACACTGCCACTTGATCCCACCCTCGAAAATCCATTAAATCCCTATTTTCACAGTTGCATCTAAGAATCTTCACTCTTTGAAGATCAGCACAAAAACAAATATATTTCTTTATATAATTTAGTTGTAAATTGCAATTCCTGAAAATGTATAACCAGGAATATTTAAAAACAAATGGAAATACCGTAAAAAAAAACCCAAAAAACACACCTTGCCAACAAAATTATTGATCAATAGTACCAGAGGGACTACCGTTTTATAATTGCAAAAGACATTACATTCCTCAAAGCTCTCCAGCTAGTTAACCGTGACCATCATCCAAAGCCCCTCCAGTTCCTACTTGGAGGTTTAAATGAGTATTACAGGACTTTAACTCACTGTAGTTACAGAGCTATCTGGGGATTGCCTGGCATCAACCATCCTCACTTATGGCCCATCATTACCATGTTGATGTTAAACTTTATTATCCCTTCTGTAAACAAGACATCAGCAGATATTTACTAAAGTAATGAAACTGTCACAGCTGAAAGGATGTTTTCCTTCTATCACTCTCCTTGCAATTAGCGTATAAGGGGGCAGACTGGCACTCGCTTATTCAATTGTTAAAAAAAAAAAAAAAAAAAAACAACACTTAAAGGGACACTATAGTGACCAGAACAGCTACAGCTTATTGTATTTGTTCTGGTGAGTAGAATCATTCCCATCAGGCTTTTTGCAGTAAACACTTTTTTTCAGAGAAAAGGCAGTGTTTACATTACAGCCTAATTATACCTCACTGGCCACTGCTCAGATGGCTACTAGAGGTGCTTCCTGGGGCAGCGCCGTTCTGTGTCTCCACCATCTGCATGTGCTGGCTTTGCACCTGATCTGCCTCCTTGACAGCATCAGCCAATCCTATGGGGAAGCATTGTGATTGGCTGAGAGAATCACTTCTGATGAGTTCAGCCAAGCAGGCAGATCAAGAGAAGAGCCAGCAGCAGCAGACTGGATGTTAGGTAAGATGTTATTATATTTAGGGAAGCAAGAGTGGATAGATCGTGGTTTTAACACTATAGAGTCAGGAATACACCCAGATCACTTCACCTCATTGTTCCTGACCCCATAGTGTTCCTTTAAATAAATGGAAGTTGATGGTGTATGTATAATGCATAAATTTTCAAATTAATACAAGTCATTATTATTTTGTATATTAAAATGTGTCAGGATATAAAAAGGGATGTTGAATATGCAAGATCGACAGAATACAGAGTATACAAATCTTCAAAGTGATTTTGTTTTTTCAAAGCAATAAAAGTTGAACCTGATTGATAAACACAGGAGCCTGTTGCTGGATCTAATATTTTGAAGTATACCAAGACAAAAGTCAGCAAAAAACTTCAAGCTGTTGAACTGTTTAAATATATGCTTGATGGAACCTGCATAGCCTCTTGTTATATAATAACAGTAGATAATAATGTACAGTGGTTTGTAGCAGGGTGTTCACATTTAAAGGCCTTCGGTGATAAATGTAAGGTGTGAATGCCACAAACAACTTTGTATTTGTTCAGCTAATTAGCAAAGAATACGGTTTAATACAAGTCTGCTACAGGAAGCTGCGTTTGTCGCATTTGATGGTACAAGCATTAAACCAGAATACATTTCCCAAGTGGTAAAATAAAACAAAAAATCTTGTTTACTTATGGTACAGCGTACTGATTGCAAACAAATACTTTGTACGATATAAGGATATGCCACCTGCACATATTACAATGAATTTTTAATTGGTCCTTAGTTTTGTGGGGCAACACAGCCCTTCATGTACACTATGCTATTTTTTTGCCTTCTTACATAGTTATATTATTTTATGCGCCGGCTAATAAAGAATTTAAAAAAATATATACATTTAAATCCCCAAAATAGAAAAATAAGTGCTATTCTGTATTGACCAGAAACCGATGGTCGCACTACAGATGACTAAGTGGCTCCTCAATTAAAAACACTTAAAGGTATTAATGACAAAATGCTAAAGAACTGATCTGGGTTTCCTATGGACATACAAGACATTCTGCATCATCAAGAAATTCAAACATTTCTACTTCCCAGCACTGTTGCCAGCGGCTACAATGCCTTTGTTATTTTTAATATCTGAGGGTTTAACAACGTTAAAGAAAGTCCAATGCAGGAACCTGTACAAAAATATTGCACTGTCAAACAACTTAACACTCAGATTCGCTGGATGAAAATATTAAAAGGGACACTGTAGGCACCCAGATCACTTCACCTCATTGAAGTGGTCTGGGTTCCTTTACCCTGCAATGTGAAACACTGGAGTTTTAGAGAATTGTTTACATTGCAGGGTTAAGACTGCCTCTAATGGCTGTATACTGGGTGCTTCTTTGCCTTTCATGTCATTACCTATGTGAGACTATGCTGGACGTCTCCATGCTTTGCATGAGGACGTCCAGCATCTTGAAAATCCCCACGAGGGGCAGAGGGACAGACTTTTTTATTCTTAACACTGTGGTGCTCTTTTAAGCTGTTTTGAACTCTGTAAAAATCATTTTGCCATACAAAGCAACTTTAAGGAAAATATTAAACATTTAAAAAACCAATCCAACCACCATAATAACCATGACTACCCACATTAGTTATAAGTGCAGAGTGCCTTCCCACAGTAAGGAGTCGAACACTTAATAGGCCTACTAGATTTCTAAATGATTTCACTTCATTGTCAAAGTGTTTTCCTTATAAAAAAAAAATTAAACAAATAATATCAACAATTCTAATTGTTTCAATATGCCTTTAAAATATTTGATTGACTTATTTTTTTGGGTAATGTGTCCGTTATATTCTTGAACATTTACTGCAACACCAAAATCTGAAATGAATGCCAGCTAAAAAGCTCAATCGTACTATTTCGGGGTTGCTCATGCGGAAGTGCGACCAGCCCCATGCTGGATTTCATTACACACTGTTAAGGAAATATCTAATTAATAGAAGTAAACAAATGTGTAATTACAGGCAATAGCAAGATTATAAAAGGAAGCGTGTTTCAAAGTACGTCTAGGCAGTAGTAAGACTGATTTGATGCCTACATGCATTGTTCTAAAAAGCTATTTTTAGAATAGTCATCTGAGTGACATTCTCTCCAAGCACAATGGATGCACTTTGTGGGGATTATACAATTCGGATTTCCATGCTGTTTAAAGATTTGAGCTTAAAGGGACACTAGTCACCAAAACAACTTTAGCTTAATGAAGCAGATTTGGAGTGTAGAGCATGCCCCTGCAGTCTTGGTGTGTAGAGCATGCCCCTGCAGTCTCATTGTTCAACTCTTTGCCATTTGGGAGTTAAATCAGTTTGTTTATGCAGCCCTAGGCACACCTCCCTGCATATGACTTGCACAGCCTTCCTAAACATTTCCTTTATTGCTTTATTGCAAAATCTGTTAATTTTACATTTCTTATCTCCTCATAGCTGGCTAGTCACTGCAGGAGCCTCCTGTGTGGAATTAAGTTCAATTTACAGAGCAGAAGATACAACGTTTAAAGTTTGTTACATCTGATTGAAAATGAAATCCTTTTGTTTTCATCCACTATGTGTCAGTCACAGCCAGGGGGTGTGTGGCTAGGGCTTCATAAACAGAAACAAAAGTGATTTAACTCCTAAATGGCAGATAATTGAGCAGTGAAACTTCCAAGGCATAATATACTGTTCATCAGTAGTATTTAGAGCATTAACAAATTAAATATCTATATATTGCCAATATTTTGAATTTAAAATAAAACAAAGAAAACTGTACTCAATTGTCAAAAGCAGTGGTAATTCCTAGATCTTACCTTTATAAATCACAGATTGTGATTGGGTATATTTACTTTATTAAGTTAAAGCTTCCATTATTCCTTTGTTTCTCCCTCTATGATGGTTTCAAAAAGAATGTTTTGGATATTTTTAACCCGAGTATAACGCCCTTGAATATAGTTGGGAGATTTTTCTTTTTAGTTTGTATTTAATATAGATTAATGTATATATAAAAATAATAATTTTAAACTTCCACTTGCATGAAGAACCATAAATGGATGTTCCATGTTCCACATGGGGTTGGCCTGAGACACCTCTGACATGCATCCTCTTTATCATATTCCCATGCACTGGGTGACTCCTGTATTAGCAGTTGGAAGAAAAGTTATCACGCCTCATCCCTTGAAGGGGGAATATTTAAAAAAAAAAATGTTTTTGAAAATTGGGTCTTAGAATTATACGAGTGAAATTCTTTCACCTATGCTCAACTGCTGCTACTCACTATACATTTTAAGGCAAATGCTCTTCAATCTTAAATGCACTCAGATTTACATGTTTCAATGTAATACAAACATCGTAACTACTTGCTTTACTCTGTTTAATAAATGCATGCTTCCATCTCATGCAGCACTTAATTTAATAAGCAAACACACCTTGTATTCCCAAGCATATCACCAGATTTATCTAACAACCAATGATTCATAAAATGCAAAAAACTTACCAAAAAATCCAAGCTGAAAGGAATCAGCATATCTTAAAGGAACACTATAGGGTTAGGAACACAAACATGTATTCCTGACCCTATAGTGTTAAACCCACCATTTAGGTGGCTTGCCCCCCCTCAAAGGATTAAAACTCACCTTATTCTCAGTGTCGCAGGGGTCTGCCGGCGCTGGTCTCACCCCCTGATCCACCTTTTTGATGACATCAGAATTACCCATTTTTAGCCAATCTAATGCTTTCAGCATAGGGAAAGCATTGGATTGGCTAAAATCAGTAAGGAGATTGGATGGGGGCAGGGCCAAACGCAGTTTTGGCCAATCAGCACTTCTTCATAGAGATGTATTGAAGATATGCTGCCTACTGTGCACCACTGCCCTATGAAGCATCTCCAGTGGCCATCTGAGCAGTGGCCACTTGGAGGTGTCCCTATGGGCAATGTAAACACTGCCTTTTCACCGAAAAGGCCGTGTTTGCATGAAAATGCCTGAAGGCAATGATTATACGCACCAGAACATCTACATTAAGCTGTATTTGTGGTGGTTACTAAAGTGTCGCTGTAAAGGGAAACTATAGTGCCAGCATTCTATAGTGCCCCGCGCCCTCACCTCCCCGACCCCGGTAATGAAGGGATTAAAAACCCCTTTATAACTTAACTGATTCCAGTGCCAAATGTCCCTTGGCACTGGTTCAGGCTTCATCTCCGCGCCGGCAGATGACGCACTCGCATTAAGACTTCCCCAATAGGAAAGCATTGTATAACACTTTCCTATGGGTTTTGGGTCATGCTGGATGTTGGATGTCCTCGTGCAAAGTGAGAATGGCCAGCGTCATTTAAGACCATCCGGAAGTCCCTCTAGTGGCTGTATGGTAGACCACCACTAGGGGTGGAGTTAACACTCCAAGGTAATTTTTGAAGTTTATCAAAAACTGCAATAATTGCCACTACAGGGTTAAGGGGACTGGGACACTGCACCCAAAATATTCCCAAAACTATCAAATAATTTAGTCAATAAACTAATCTTTGCATGGACATTCTAGCCACCAAAATTACTTCATCACTGATATTAGGGCATAGATGCTGTTCCTAAAGGATTGCACACGAGAACAGTACAATTTTTGATAAGTGGCTGTCAATAGGGCGCTTCAGACTAAAATAGATGAAATTATTGAATATATCTTACATACAGTAAAATTAACATGCAATGCATGCCAACGCCAGACACTGTGTGCCCAATGCTTCTCTCTGAGAAGCACCAGATTCAAATCTGATCACAGGAGAACTGGATTAAGGTGTCACAGCAATTTCCGCCCATTCACAGTATGCCGGCAGTGCTTCTAGGAGAAGCGTCTGACTAGGTAAAATATGACAATCGTATTATGAAGATTATAGGGAAGTATGTCTTAGCGGGGCATTACAAGATATGTTCAGCAGCAACAACAATTCCTACACTAGAGGAACAGATTTTCATATTCCACAGTAATTGCTGACACATTGTATAAAGTCACACATCTGGTAGCAAACACTCAATTTACTTTTGACCCAACTGGAATAGAGCAGACACCAATACTGCTGATTTGTAATGCAGCATGTATATTAACAGATTCTTATTGTCTGTTTAGAGATTGCCGTCAGTCATTGGCTAAACCTAAAGTAATGAGAAATGAGATGCCGAGATGAATGATTTGTGGTCCACTTGCCATAAAACTGGATACTGTATATTCTCGAAACTCAACCACATTTAGTTCCTGTAAATTAATTATTTCGCTATAATTCTTCCTAGCAATAGACTGCTCTAATATGCATGGTTTACAAAAATAGGTTCTGAGATTTTTGGATTTTGTTTAGTCTTAAGTGAAAAAAATAAAATAAAGATATCTTTGTTAAAGGAAGACCCAAGTGTTATACATAAATACATTTATGTAGAACGATGGAGTATTGCATTTCCAATTTAGATTTCGCCCTCCTTCTTTCCCCTTAAAAAAAATAGTTAATTTTAGAGTAATCTAGCAGCAAGAGGGTCACTTCACTGCAGCCCCACTTCACCTGCCCAGCAATCATCACTATGCACATCCACTTTGCCCTGGGATACAAAGCAGCGATAGAGCCCGCCCTACAGACTGGTGCAACAAAGACACTTTACAAAGAGGGGACACATCTCCATATGCTTAAGTACTTTAGAGGTGGAAAGTGTTTAACCATAACAATTATAGTTTACTGTATCAGTTACGATGGTAGCAGTATATGGATGCAGACTCTCCAGTTTCTGTCAAACCATTTAAGCTGTTTGACAAAAACAGGGTTCTTCTGGCACCCAACCAGGCTGCTTTGTCATTGCTGAGACAATCTGTTTCACTTCTACAATTCTGCACAAATCCATCCAAAAACCACACAGCAATGAAAAGTTGCAATGAGGAGTTAAGATGCCCCCCACCCCCTGCCGCCGGTCATGGACATCCAGATTTTAACAGATTTGTATGGATAACACAGAAGTAAAACTTCCACATTATCTTGCCAGCAGGAGAGAGCCCAGATTATTGTCAAGCAGTTTTTGAGTAGTGGGGCTGCACCCAAGGACTCCTTGGATCGTAACCACTATAACAGGCTGCAGTGGTTATGGTACTTGAAATGTCCCTTTAATATTTTCACTAGAGAAAAGAAAAAAAAAGAAGTAATTTACACAATTTCAGAATGAAAATATTTTTCAGAACAAATATCTAAAGATCAAAGAACAGCCAGAGCTTTCAAACATATATATATATATATATATATATATATACACACACACACACACACACACACACACATATATATAAATAATAATAAATAAAAGTATAAATTATATATTAAAATTACATTGGGAAGTCCAGATAAAGTTTCATTGCTCTAGAGCAGGAGGGCCCAAAAGGTAGATCCCCAGATTTATTTAAACTACAGCTTCCATGATGCTTTGCATATTTTTAGAATGCTTTTACAATGACAAAGCATCATGGAAGCTGTAGGTATTTTTTTTTTTTTATATCTGGGGTTCTACCTTTTGGGCATCCGTGCTCTAGAGGAGGGTTTTTTTATGACATGGGAATGTATCCGGTAGTAGTTTATGAACAAAAATGCAGAGATTACAAAGTGTTAAGTTTTTCAAAGTTAGCATATTACAGATAGGAAGTAGAAGTGTTAACAGCAACAAAATGAAAAAGCCAAAAGCTAGACAGCCATAGCGTCTTAAGCATATTAAAAAAAAAAAATAAAAAAATAAAAAAAAGAAGGGCAAAAGATTCATAAAAAAAAACAAAAACAAAAAAAAAACACTTTTTCAAAGACCAGTTATGAACTGGAAACACCCTCCGATTGTAAATGTCATACTAACTTCAGAGAAATGAAATAGCTTGTAATTGTAATTATACACCAAAATATATACATAAAAAAAGCTACCAGCAAGGTTAACAAGCATAAACTCTTACAGTGTGGGTTTAGATTGACATGAAAGCTCAAAAACAGAAAAGGAAAGCCAGTTGTGAAAATATATCCGAGAGCATCATCACTTAAAAGTCTGAATAGATCACTGATTATCCAGACAGATAAGACTTGGTTCTCTCAATATTAAGTAAATTTTAAAAAAAGTGTTGATATATTTAATATATCAATAAGCAGAGCTTAAAGGGACACACTACTGCTCAAATAATTTCTAAATCACTGTTTAGTAGATAGAGCCTCAATGAAAATATGCATGCATTTAAATTATATTTAAAAATAATTTGCAAAAGCTGCAGATCTCCTGTTTGAAGCCCCTCCCTTCTAACCCTGCCCAGACTTTCTGTGGCTGTCCAATCACAGACTGCCCAAAGCAGCTAACTGAAAAGCCTTTGAAAGTCAGATATATGTGACTTTCTAATTTTGTGTTTGCAGATTTGTGTGTAAGTGGTTAATTACATTGTAAAGCAAGTTTATTTTTCCGTATGAAAAAAGTCTGTTGTGCCGTCTTCAGGAATGTTGCTGGTTAGGTATGTGTGTAAGTGTGTACACTGAAAACACATCTTGGTTATTGTAAAATCTTCATGTATGTCTGCAAACGAGTAAGTTTAAAGAAAAGTAATAAAAAATTATAATATATATCTATTATTGTTATATACAAACCTGGCTTTGTAATTTAGATGTCCTGGAACAGTGATCCATGTACAAAATGAATGCAGAGCCCCTACTTCATGAGCTAACCACCCCCTCAATATGACTAGTAGTGAAGAAGTTAATATTTAGAAGTAGTCATTATGTACTGATATTTCTTACTCATCAGCCTTCTCCTTTCCTGTTCTATAATCCCTCTTTGCACTCCTCCCTACCTCCCTTCTTCATATCCCCTTTTCATTTCCTCTTCTTAAAAACATATGAACATGCACAAATGAATTCTACTTTTAATATATAATCTTTACACGTCCAATTCTAAATATTTACATATTAGGCAGTACATATTTCAACATAAATATCCATTTGTGTGGGACACACATATAGCATTAGGAATAGAAATCTGTATCTCCAACACTAAAGTGCTCCTGTCCCTAGTTCGATATTGTCCACTTTTTAAAGCGCCGAAACATGGTCTGTTCCGCGATGGTCTAATCCAATGCTCCTCATACAGGTGCATTGGGGATAGAATGCGCATGTGTGGCGAGTGCCGCGTGCGCATTCATGCTTCCCTTATATACTTATGCTCAGTATGCTAGCCACTAGAGGCAGACTTAACCCTGCAATATAAACATAACCATTTCTAAAAAAAACTGGGCCTAGTTAACTATAGCGTCCCTTTAAAAATGTACATAAGTTAACTAAAACTACTGCAAGTTTGACACGCCCAACAGTGTGTATAATACAGTGTTATTCAAATCTTTCCCATTTATTGGCATAAAAATACAGGAATCTGAGATGCTACATTTTCATATTTGCTTTTTTACTTGACATCTTGGCAGAGTTCGGAAACTACTGTGTGTGGCAGATTTACTTTATGCATGCTCCACAGAATGATTCTCGGTCTTGTGTGTTATGTCCTGCCCTGCATGAACACGCTTACAAACAGGCCAAAAGTCTGGTTGACATTAACAGGGTCACTCTAAGCAGCATTCTACATCATTGTAACGGTTTTGGTGCAAAGAATAACATGCACACTGCCAAGAATGACTTAGAACTACAGCAATTCGTATCCGAAAATATTCATCTGCATTAATGATATTATGTATTTTCCTGTTCTAAAACATGAGCATTTATCCTTGATGTGCTGTAAGATATTGGAGATAATGCTAACATTATGTATACAACTTTTGAAATCTCACAAACATTTACAGCCAACACCCAAGTATTGCATGAAACAGCACTAGAGATTAAACGTAAACTTTAAATTTAAACTTTATGTTTATACTTCTGGTTTTATTTTTAAGCCTCTACCATAAATTTATTTACTTGTGCTATTTATTCACACACTGGCAAACAGCATTAATAATAATTGTACATTAAGAGATGGTAAGGAATAACTGATAAGATCACACAGTATTACCATAAGATCGCAGTTAAAGAGACTCTCCAGTGCCATGAAAACGATCTGTTTTCCTGGCACTGCAGGTCCCCTCTCCATCCCACCACCCATCCCCGGTTGCTGAAGGGGTGAAAACCCCTTCAGTGACTTACCCGAGACCCCTGCCGATGTCCCTCGGCGGTGGTTTCAGGGTCGCCGCCGCTCCTCCCCTTCATCACGTCAGCTGGCAGGGGAGACTGATCCCGCCCGCCAGCTGAGGAGACCTAATGCGCCGTGCATACGCATTAGAGCTCTCCATAGGAAAGCATTGAAAATGCTTTTCAATGCTTTCCTATGGGCAATTGAGCGACGCGACGCTGTGCTATGAAGCAGGAAGTGCCCTCTAGGGCTGTCTACTAGACAGCCACTAGATGAGGAGTTAACCCTGCAAGGTAAATATTGCAGTTTATGAAAACTGCAATAATTACAGTTGCAGGGTTAGGGGTAGTGGTAGTTGGCACCCAGACCACTCCAATGGGCAGAAGTGGTCTAGGTCTTTAAGCACATACCCAGCCACTTTAATGAATACACCTATGTTGCAGAACATATACTTTGTCTCTGGGATAACCTGGATACTTTTCTCAAAGGATTCAGAGTTTTTATAATATTACGTTACTCCTATTTGTGCTTTTTGGTCTCTCCTTTATTCCCACTGTGTATTTTCTTATTTAGTTTTTTCCTTCCATATATGTTACTGCATATTTTTAAGTCCAGAACAAATTCAGCCAATCAGTGGTATCCTATACAAATCAGTGAGAGCAGCACTTAGAAAGTGCAATAAATTCAGAACACTTGTAATGTTTTTATTGGACATGGCCTGCAGTATGTTGGCCCAACAAAATCCAGCTCTTCAAGCTGAAGAATGTGAACAGCATGCAGTTACAGGATTAAAGGACCACTCTAGGCACCCAGACAACTTCAGCTTAATGAAGTGGTCTGGGTGCCAGTTCCCTCTAGGATTAACCCTTTAAAAAAAAATAAAAAAAATAGCAGTTTCAGAGAAACTGCTATGTTTATAATAGGGTTAATCCAGACTCTAAAGCCTCTAGTGGCTGTCTCATTGACAGCCACTAGAGGCGTTTGCGTGCTTCTCACTGTGAAAATCACAGTGAGAAGACGCCAGCGTCCATAGGAAAGCATTATGAATGCTTTCCTATGAGACAGGCTGAATGCGCGCGCAGCTCCTGCCGCGCATGCCCATTCAGCCGAAGAGGAGGAGAGGAGGCGGAGTGCTCCTCTCCCCGGCGCTGGAAAAAAAGGTAAGATTTAACCCTTTCCTCGCCATCCAGCCCGGCGGGAGTGGGACCCTGAGAGTATGTTTTCCTGGCACTATAGTGGTCCTTTAATGAAGTGGTCTGGGTACCTGGTCCAGCTAGGATTAACCCTTTCTTCTATAAACATAGCAGTTTCAGAGAAACTGCTATGTTTATAATAGGGTTAATCCAGCATCTAGTGGCTGTCTTATTGACAGCCGCTAGAAGCGCTTCCGCGCTTCTCACTGTGATTTTCACAGTGAGAAGATGCCAGCGTCCATAGGAAAGCATTGAGAATGCCTTCCTATGGACTGGCTGAATGCGCGCGTGGCTCATGCGCATTCAGCCGATGACGACGAGAAGGAGGAGGAGAGGAGGTGGAGAGTCCCCCGCACGAGAAGGAGGAGGAGAGGAGGTGGAGAGTCCCCCATAGAGCCCGGGGGGAGGCGGGCCCTGAGGATGGGGGGGACCTAGAGACCCTACAGAGCCAGGAAAACAAGTATGTTTTCCTGGCACTATAGTGGTCCTTTAAAGATAAAAAAAACTGCAATGTTTTGAAAAGACTGGGCGACAGCACCCAGACAACTTCATTGAGGTGAAGAAGTCTGGATGACTATAGTGTCCTTTAAACTGTTCGCTACTTCAATTACCAAGATGTAGTTTGGAAAGTAAATTAAATATAAATAAAATCTAGAACAATGTGGGAAATTAAAAAAAAATTATTTTCCAAGTTCTGCATGAGATTTTTTACTGTGAATGTTTGCTTTTACTGCAATAAAATACACTTTTGTGTTCAATGAAGTCTCACAAGTACAAGAGAGGGGGCCCGATGGTTAAGACATGCTATGCCGCCCTAACTGCTTCAAATCCCTCATTTTGTAGGATGGCACAGCACGCCCTAATGTTGGGAAAGGGTTAAATATACACACACTAAGAAATCTCACTCACACAGCTAAAGCAGGTAAAATGACCTGCTCACCACTGAAAGTGGAACGGTCACTTCCGCAAGCCATAGTTCCTTATTACCTCACACCAGTAAATGCTTTTGAAGGGCTTAATGCAATGACAATTGTGGCGGAGGTAAGTAAAGGCTTCGGCATTACTTCTGACTCCAGGGAACATCATAGCTTCACATGCTCAGTATGTTTATGTACTCTCTAGCATCTGAAGAGAGTATGACCATGTGTGTGCTTGGCCATTCATTCAGTTATATCACATACTTTTGTAAGTACCTTGGGGGCTAAAATAGATTGCAAGGTCTGCTCTTCCTACACTATGACAACCAGGTATCAAAGACTAAAAATAGAAGTTAAAAAAAAACAAAAACAAAAAAAAACAAACAAACAAAAAAAAAACCTATCTGAAATCAGAAGGATTCTCTCTGTTATCAGCAGAGGGATTCACATACACAGCCCAGGGCAGAAGCAGAACTGAAATCATTCTCTCAGGAAACACTTCGCCTCTGACTTAGAGGCTGTGCACAGAGCACTTTGAGTATGTCCAATAGAAACATGCCGTATTGAGTGATAAGTGCATCTCCAAGTACCAGCAGGGGATCTAGCCCTGCTAGTTTCATGCCATCATTTGACTTGAAAGTTAAGAACTGCATGATAGCATGGAAGCAGAAGGAAAGTGGGGCAGAGAGTCCAGGCACAGGGAACAACTTTGGGTTAAAGTGTTCGTGAACAGTTTAACCCCGAAAGGTAAGTCAGTGCCAGGGACCTCCTTGTACTATAACAACTTCATTTGGATTGATTATGGTGACCAAACTTATCTTTTAACAGGTGAACATATGTGAACCTTTTTCTCACGAATGTATAATATATAAAGATTTTATTCAGGTTATGTAAACAAGCCTAATCTTACTCTATTTATTCTTTGGGGAAAACATACTGAATTCACAGTCATTCCTGGACAATAATATGACATTTTTATTTCAGTGCCATGTCCGGATAAAATGGAAATAATCCTACAAAAGGACTCAGGTTTGTTATGCTATTTTAAGTAGACTCTAGGCAGACTTATGTTACTAGCTCAGTATCAACTGTATTTGACAACACCCATTCACACCTAACATTTCCAAAGACTTCCTTAACTATAAACAAACAGAGAGGTCTATTTAGAAGAAGTAAGATCTCATTGATACAGCCTCAAGATTCAAAGGAGTTAAAGTGGCCCTACCATCAGAAATATTCTATACACTATCATAAGATTGTATAAACTGTCTATATATTTTTAAATCTATTCTTTTACCATTATAAGAAAACAAAAAATACTTATGTCCAGCGCATCTCAGGAATATTTAGCACAGAACAACATCAGAGAGTTCTAACAACCATTTCACGTTTCCAGTAAAATGGAAAGCTAGGAGATCACCTTCAAATCACAAATTGATTGTCAGCTCACCTGACATGCAAAACTAAAAGGTTCTGCAAGATGACCACCTCTATTTAAAGGAACACTGCCCATGCAGGGTCAGCTCATTGGCTGACAGCATCAATTAATCACTTTTGGCTAATCAACTAAGCCCTGCATCTCCGGGCCTGCTAAGAACAGAGTTTATGGCTCTCTTTGGGGAGGTGATTGTCAGCTAGCTGTAAGTTGTCAAATCGTTGACAACTTTTTTTTTTTGGCAGTTATGGTACTTTGAGCATTCCCATAAATCTAGCTACTGATCACATCTGTAAATGCACAGTACAAGGAACTTGTGAACTCTAATCAGTTTTAAATTTATAAACATCATGATCTTGGGGAAGGGCTAGTCATGCCAGGGGTACCGATATATTTGATGCAAATGTAAAGTGCCCACTAAGTCTCTTTGAACACATATGCTTAAGAAGGGAATAATTGGAAAATGGCTGGCTAAAAATAATAATGGCACCAGTTAACAGAACATTTCAACAGGGTAAATTTGTTTACATTCTCCTTCTCTGCCCACCTCACCTCAAACACTTCAATCTAAGAAAATATTGCTCACCTACCACACACTGCTTAAAGGGAACACTCCAATTCCCTAAAGACACTTCTGCTTGCTGAACTGCTTTAAGGGTTAAATGCAGTTTATCTTTGTCTTATTATATAACAATGCTTTGAAAAATATAAACTAGCAATTTTGTGATGAATTATCTGAAGATTCTTGTTGCCAGGTTTTCTTTCTCATCTCCACATAGTCATTGCACAACCTAAATTGAATCAGCAACGCCTGCTGTGGTAGATAGGACGCTCTGATAAACACCAGTTGGTACTGATGAAAAAGCTTTACTTTATTGGTCTCTATTAACACATCACACAGTATCCAAGAAACATATGGTCCACTCATGAGGGAAAAGGTAACTCTTTAGGGCAACATATAGCAATAAAATTAGCAATTGTAATAAAAAATAAAATTTGTTTCTCGAGCATGGTCCACATGACAAACAACCTACATTAGACTTACAAAAATATCCTTTTCTATACCTTTGCCTCTTTAAAGGATATACATACTCCAATGTTAAACTCTTTAAAGGGTTATTCACTAAAGCATTTTAAATATCAGATCAAAATACTCGATTTGGGAAAAGTCTCTCTAAGTAAGCTCCGATTTCAGTTGGTCTATTTTGTCCCAAAACGTGAAAATATTTTTAAGTTCAAAACAAACAATTTTCACTTTTACTAATAACCCTGCTTAGTGCCCCTTTTGCACAGCCATGTTTAAGTCCCCCTGTTTGGAAAAACTGATGCAGATATAAGATTGCCCCCTTTTTCTTTGGCTATCAAACTATGTGTACCATGTACCTATTGGGTAGGCTACTGCAGTTACGAACCACACTTCCATTCAGACTCTTGGAGAGTGCAATCCGCCACTGTGAACATCCCAGGTCTGTTGCACAAGTAAAAGCAGTGCACCACCCATTCACAAAACTAGAATGAGGGTGTCTATAGGTTCTACGAGCAGCTATTTAAACACACAGCAGCTGCACCTATCAAATCTAATGAATAAAACTGCTGCTGAGGGCTGAACTATATACTCCATAAACCCATGCTGATGTAGTTTATGGGATAAAAGTAAGCACCCAGATTTCAATGCTCTTGATTGACTGACACACGGAAATATTTAGACAACTTAACTTTTATGTTGAAATCTCATACTACAATTGTTTAAATTGGCACTATAGGCACCCAGACCACTTGCAATGCTTTCCTATGTGTGCGGCGCTTGCCATGTATTTGGTCAACCCATCGGCTGATGTCGGTGGAGGTGCCTGACCTAGTGCCAAGGGACATCTGCGCTGGTATCGGGTAAGTGTAAAAAGAGTTTTTAACCCTTATTTGCCTTGGGGGAGTGCAGAGTGCACTATAGTGTTGGGAATTTAGTTTTGTATTCCTAACACTATAGTTTTAATTTAATTGTAATATTATGACTGGCACAGCAGACATGCCTGAGCCTAATTACCCTTACAATTCATGTGCCCGTTCCAATTGGATACATGCTGCCATCACATATCAGACAGTGCTTGAGGAAGGCTGTGCAAGTCACATTCAGGGTGGTGTGACTAGGGCTGCATAAACAATGTCATTTAAGACCTAAATGGCAGAAAGTTAAATGACCGCTATAGTGCCAGGAAAACATTAGTTTTCCTGGCTCTATAGGGTCCTTGGGTCCCCCTCACCTTCAGGGCCCCTCCTCCCACTGGGCTCTAGGGTGAGGAAGGGGTTAATTACCTTACCTTTTGGACTCTCCTCCTCCTCCTTTCTCGTCATCAGCTGAATGCGCATGCGCGGCAAGAGCCGCGCGCGCATTCAGCCAGTCTCATAGGAAAGCATTCTCAATGCTTTCCTATGGACGCTGGCGTCTTACTGTGATCACGGAAGCGCCTCTAGCGGCTGGCAACTAGAGGCTGGATTAACTCATTTGTAAACATAGCAGTCTCTCTGAAACTGCTATGTTTACAGCAGAAAGGGTTAATCCTAGATGGACCTGGCACCCAGACGACTTCATTAAGCTGAAGTGCTCTGGGTGCCTATAGTGGTCCTTTAACCCCTTAAGGACCAAACATCTGGAATAAAAGGGAATCATAACATGTCACACATGTCATGTGTCCCTAAGGGGTTAAGCAGTGATACTGCAAGGACATGATCTATACAACAAAACAGCTTCAGTTATTTTGGTAACTACAGTGGCCCTTTCATTTGCTACAATTAGTTATTTGATACAACATACAGTTATATCTGCTACTCTGTACACTTTTATACCTTTCTCTTGTTAATACAAGTTTCAGTGGTTTACTCAAAACTTTCTATTTCTCCCTTACTGGCCTAGTTTGGATGCAGCCTCTTGTTTGTTTTCCACTTTAACTCTAAGCAATATTCCTCAGCTTGAGAAAAGTCAGTTACAGGACTAAAAAGTTGATTGGTTATATATTGTGTAAGCGAGACCTGTGAGTCCGCTCTTTTTTAGGTGTGTTTATGTATGTGTGTAAGAAGAATTAGAATGCCATAGATTTAAAAAAAAATAAAATAAACAAACAAACAAAAAAAAAACACCTAAGCTGGCTAATCTAGGCAAAAATAATGGGGGTTTAATTACAGTATATAATCATACATTGCATAAGCCTGGCCCAATGCCAATTACCCCATATTTGGCAAGTCCTATAATTGGACCCAGCAGCACTTTATAACGTTTGCATGTTCAAGTGAGTGCAGCCCTCTTGGAGAATATATATACATACATACACACACCCTTCATCTTTGCATGCATGTTATCTGTTTCCTCCTGAAGCTATATTATAATAGCAAGATGGTTTAGCGGAATGTTTCCTTAGACTAATCAGTATTACTAGTCTGCTGTTATCAAGCAGATCATTTGAAGGGGGAGAATAAACCACCAGCTTTGTACTGAAACACACTCAACACATTTTACACGCCCTATTCGTTCAATATCATATATAAGGCAGATAAAATAAGGTTAAACAATTTGTCTACTTTAGGATAATGACTGCATTTTAAGAGCAGTCATGACAACAACTCTGCATGCTTCTGGCCAAATTCTACCAACTGCTATTGACCACCCAGCCGAACAAAAAACTGCAACATGTATTGTTGCTTAGAATGTCCCTGTGACTGCAAAATACAACCACAGTTTTTTGTAGTGTTTGCCTAAAGTGTCTTTGTGTTGTATTTCCTGGTTTAATAGAAAAAAAATAGGCCCACATAATATTTCAAAACTGCGCTGCCAACCCAGGAATCACCAAACTCTTCCCACAAAGTAAATCAAAAAGGTTTGGGTATGGTTAAAAGGTTTAGGGCAAACATTGGATAGCTGCTAGCAAAACAGTGATGGAACTTAGCTGATAAATCTGCCTCGGAGACTATACATGTGCACAGCCCTTTTTGATTTAGGCCCCTGATTTAGTGTCATACTGCTCATGACTTCTGACATAGGTCAGGGCCCCCAGGAGACTGACCCCATACGTTAAACTTACTCAATGATCGTCTGTGTAAAACACTAACTTTGGGGTACGTACATCAGAGAACCTCCAATGAGGAGACACAAATATACACTTTAATGCTTTAAACCGGAAAGGTAGCGATTTAAATTAAAATAAAAAAATTAAAAGAAAGAAATACTGCTTTATGCAACTTCTATGGTGATGTCAGCAGTGTCACTAAACCAAAAACATTTCACACATCAGCTTTCCTTTAAGTTTTGGAAGCCCACATATTGATTCAGCATTTCTGAGACTTAATTAGAAAGAAAAAAAAAATGACAACTGCTTTACGTTAAGAAAAAAAAAACATGAAACTTATCAGAGATAGGAGGATAGGTCAACCTTTTGAGCAAAATATATTCATATATAATTCATGCATAAAGGCGCTTCGTGATGGCAGACAGAACTAATAAATGTTTGTCATTTTGGTAAGGAAACATAAGCAACATTTGATGGTGCTGAAAACCATACACTGCGATGTTTGCCACCAAATCACTTTAATTATTAAGAAAATGGGCAAAGAAGAATGCATGGCATATGCCTTTCAGAAAATCTGGATTGAAAGCACTTTTTGAAATGACAATGTACTTTTAACTAAGCTGCTGCAATAATCACATAACTCACAGGTAATATGATGCTGCTTTATGTATCTTAGTTAAAATACCGGGTACTTACGAAATCAATACTTCGCACAGAACATACCTTTAATGTTCCGGGCGGTTCAATCAAAACGTACCTGCTGCTAACCCACAACAAAAACAGCAATGAATACAAGACTGTATCCCCAATGATTTAATCCACATAATTGCTGCAAGTTAAAAACTATTTTGCTCAACAAAATCCAGCACTGGGATAATAAAAAGCCCTGGGGCTCTTAAAACGTCTGCAGCAATTACTGGTTTGCTGTGTCACTCGTTCGCTACCTCTGTGCGGACATTTATTCATAAATTACTGCACTTACTGCAAGGGCACTGAGGTTATTTTTTATTTTACAGAAGTGGCATTTTCAAGTGGAATGTGCCTTGCACCTCGCAAAGTTTGCAATCTCAAAATGAGATCGTAAGATTTGTAAAAATTTCTCAGTCAATCCTGCTACTTAAAATGCTTCCACAATTAGTTCAATGCACTGTACCCATAATAATGTTCCCTAGGTTTTAACAAATATTTATTGACGTAAGAATTCAGGGGAAAAAATGTCACCATATACAAGGTCATAACAATACAATTATAAAACAATATTACAGTAACCTCATGATTATACTCACCAAAACAATACATTAATAAAATCGATAAGGTGTCATACAATGCAGATGTTTTATTAATCACTCTACTTAAATATATACAAATAATTGTATTTTACTTATTTTTACACAAAAATGGTAACATGTGATACAATACAAATCTATCAACTTTCCTTTCCAAATCTATCATAACATCCTTCAAATCCTGAGAGTATGTGAACTTAATAACTAAGGCAAATTTTCCTTGTCGGATAAACCAGTCAGGATAAATTTGATAAGTTCATATCAAGGTATCAAAATGAAGTAAAAAATAAACAGACACTGGGGCGGAGCCTAGCGTCTGAAGCGAACAGTCGCATGGCCAAGGAGCTCCGGACCAACAAGCCAAATAAACATTCTTACCGACACTCCAACCCGGGCCAAACTTCTCCCGGGACGAGAAGTTGCAAACGATTGCAAGTGAATCTTATCTAGCATGTACCTCAGCATATAATTAATATTCAAGCAGCTCCACCTGGTTTTAGCTACCTTATTTGATCTACTCATGTTAAGTCAGTGAACTAGATCCGTAACTATCAGCGGCCAAATACTTATGAAACATTCCACAAAGCGCAACCTTTACAATGGGCACATTACTATAACACTAACTTACAAGCTGACTTAACCTTTACTTGATAGCTTGTTACAGCATAACAGCCTACACTAGAGCAGCACACCTGCATACGCAAGCCAACTACAGACACACTGTGAATTGCAATGCCGCACTACATCTATGTAGGCATTGCTACTCAAGCTTTGTTAAGCGTTAACTATTTTACCTTATTTTGTTTTATGTTCATCCATCGGTTTCACTATCTAACCAAGCTTGTTATAATGCTATAAAATGTGCACTCTCATATGCCACTGTCTAACCTTAATCTGTTGTGGCATCTGTCAATCTTAACTTCAAACATGTTTCCTATCTTGAATATATATATAAAAAAAAAACTGTGCCATGTATTTCAATGCCATACCTATGTTATTGTATGTCTCCGTACTTGCTTGCACCAGCTATCGTGGCAGTGCAAACATGATTGTTCACGCTATGCACAAATAAAATAAAGAATTTAATAAATAAACAGACACTGTAAAATCTGGCTGGATCGTCAATGTTAAATCTTCTTAATTTCTTCTTGTCTTCAGTTGATTAATATATATATATGTCTTTTGTATATATATTCTTGGGCCAAATGCTTGCGACATTAATATATGTCTATATTAATTAAAAGTACTAATATGCAATCTGACTTACGGTTTCTTCAGGTTTATTTTTAGTTACTGATACATAAAAAAAAAAAAAAACACAACAAAGGATGTTACAGGATAATGGATTTCAACAGCAGGTGGTAATTGCTGGACTCCTGAAGGGAGAGTTACATTGTTGTACAGGAAAGAGAGCAAGAGACCTCATGTTCAGTTACTACATAGATATGACCATAATGACGTCAGACTATAACTCTAGCCATATAAGGACAAAACCCCCAACTTACATTCCAGAGCTCTCATACAAAGAAAGCCATGTGGCTTAGACCATCTGTTACTTATGTCAATCCACATGTCCATATATAATAAATAGAAACATAGAATATGCAATATTCTACACACACATTAATGACAGTCATTCTGCGTCCTATTATGCTCCTCATACAGGTAGAAGGAGCCACTGTGAGGCTGGTGTTTTGACCAGTTACCTAGTCTTTGTCAAGCTAATACCATGCCTTGTTGAAAAAACAAAAACAAAAAACCAACAACAACGAATAATCAGTTACATAAGGGTGGAGTAATCAATTCACTTTCTTTGTCAAGATAGCTTGCCTTAAGCTCCACCCTTTGTCAAGATCAGATGGCCACTGGAGATGCTTCCTGGGTTGGGGTTCCACTGCCATTCATGAAGCCGTTGAATTTTGATTGATTCAATACATCTCTATGAGGAGGGGCTGATTGGCCAAGCCAGCATTTGGCCCTGCCCCCATCCCTTGTCGTCCCATGGGAAAGCATTGGATTGGCTGAAATAATTCTGATGTCAGCGAGGATGCGGGGCAGGGGCAGGGCCAGCACCAGCGGACTCACGCTGCGCTGGAAATAAGGAACGTTTTATTACCTTTAAGGGGGCAAGCCACCTAAATGGTTGTTTTAACACTCTAGGGTCAGGAATACATGTTTGTGTTCCTGACCCTATAGAGTTCCTTTAAGTTCCCTTTTTTTGAACACAGGAAATCCTCAGATAGTATATTCTACACAGTGTCCATTAGTGTGATCAGGACAATGCAGATACGATCTGATTTATATGTCGGAGTACTCTAAATGGGGTAAAGTACGTAGTGGATGACAACTGAAGATACAAATAAATAGTGGAGGCTGTCATTAATGAACATTCTGACTACAATACCTTTATTTGTTCTTTGACTGACAAAATGAATGGAGTAAATATCAATGTGCTTCTGCAATAGTAAATGAAAACATGCACAATACTGACCACTTCCCCATAACAGGTCGCTAAAACACTTTTTGTTAATGTGCAATCAGCTAACTTTCCAAAATTAGTTGCAGTTTGTAAATATATTTATAGTTGTTACATTTACTAACAACCTGCTGTTTGATTAATACATTAAAAGAAAAGAGGCAGCTATTGGTCAACATAACTGCCTTTTTTTGCTCTTAATAAGCATGTGTCCAGAGTCTACTGAAGCACTAAATGCTCAGTCTGATTTATCAATCCTGTGTATGTGACATTTAAACGCTCATGAACGCACACAGAGTCATGGAAAAATATGCCTGGTGTCAGTCACCCATTGCTGCAGTTAACTGCGGTTCACTTATCAACACTGTACACCTCACCCATGTAAACATTTCAATAGAGTTTACTGTAGACTGTAAGCTCATCAACCTTTCGTTCCTGTAAGTTTTCTTGTAATTATCCTAGTTATAGTTAAATCCCCCTCTCATAATATTGTAAAGCGCTACGGAATCTGTTGGTGCTGTATAAATGGCAATAATAATACTAATAATACTGGGGTGAAGTCAAAGAAAGCAACTCGGCCAACAGAACGGTGGACGTTTCTAAATCCATAGAGACATAGAAAGCTGGTGAGATAGATAGCTAGATAGATGCATTGTATGCAAGCATTTGGCCACTCCGACATAACATGTTTTGTGAAGTGAAACAAATAAACACAACTTTTTACTAATTTTCGTAATTTAACAGATTAGAATATAATATGTGCCAACACTTGGTCATCATGTTATTCAGTAAGTAGGAACACTACCTTTCGCACCAATCGCAGCCCCCAAACTCTTCTTGTAGTCATGTATGAGCCAGCAGCATCATGGGATGATGGCGCTATAGCAACACAGGTTTATTTGTAACTTAAAGGGACACTGGAGGCATTGTCACAGGCAAAGTTCTCATTGCTTTATAATGGCTCCAAGGCAAACTAAATCTTCGTGCAAGTCCTTGAGATATGTGGAATTGTGATCTCTCGGCGAGCCTACAATCAGTTTTATTGGAGATTTAAAAAAATAATAATTTCAAGGTCTTGGCTTGATTTGAACAGATCCTCTCAACTTCTATATCTTAATATTTTGAACATTGGAAACTGCAAACAGTAAGGTTTCAGCTTTCAATAATAACATTCCTCTGCTTTGAAGAGTGAATTATCTTAGCTGCTTTGAGTATCCAATAGTAGTTGAGTGTAATATTACCAGTAAGGATTATTCATGAAAGTAGTGAATTGTGAAGAATTCAAATTAAATCTTAAATGTAAGACTAACATGGCCAAACTGGAAACATGCTCAGCTATTCTTCCAATTTGGCTATTTTTGCATTACATTTTAAATTAAATTTGACTACCTAACGATTCTCACTTCAGTGGATAACCCTGTATAAGAAGTTACAAGAGTCAGAATTCTTTAAGCTTACAAGACTATGAATATGACCTAGCCCTACGAGTTGACACACACATTTATGTAACCTTACACATATTACAGATCAGTGGATCAACTGAAAGGGTGGTGCCCAATAGGGATCGACCGATTATCGGTTTTAACCAGAAAATCCTTTGTAAGAAAGGTGTGCTGCACGCTTGCAAAAAGCACATAAGATCATAGTTAAATATTAGATGTTCATATAACCTTCCGAATTACGAATTCCCTTATGCAAGTATAAGGAGTATTACAAGGAACAGCTGGAATAAACATATCAAGGTATACATTGAACATGCACCTCCACCATGTGATGAAAATATTCAAAAGGGTACATACTTTGAAGAGGAAAGAAAGAGAGGTAAAGAGAAGACATAGAAATAGCAAAAGGACAGCGAAAGAGACGAGAGAAATAGGAGATGAAACAAAAGAAGAGTAGCTGCGATGGGGGAGGGAGGTAATGCAGGAAATCCCATGGCTCAAGGGGCACCCACACCAAAGTGTGTGTGTGTGTGTATATATATATTTTTTCAAGGAACACATTAGGGTCAGGAACACAAACATTTTCCAGAACCTATAATGTTTAAAACACTATTTAGGTCCCCTGGTCCCCCTTAAATGTAGTAAAAACTCAACTTCTTTCCAGCACTGCGCAGGTCTGCCAGCATTGGCTCAGCCCTGATCCGCCTCCTTGGCTGACATCAGAATTGATGATCCAAGCCAATCACAATGCTTTACCATAGAAAAGCAATGGATTGGCTGAGATTGTCAATTTTGATAGTCTCAGCCAAAGAGGTGGGGTGAGGAGCCAAACGCTGCCTTGGCCAATTAGCATCTGCTCATAGAGATGCATATTTTTGAGAAAAGTTCTATGCTTCCACGCAGAGCGTGGGGATGCTGAGCGCCATTTCTGCAGCACTGACCCAGGAAGCACCTCTAGTAGCCACTAGAGGTGTTCCTAGGCTGTAATGTAAACACATTAGGCAGTGTTTACATTAAAATGCCTGCAAGGACTGACGACATTCACCAGAACATCTACATTAAGCTGTTGTTCTGGTGGCTATAGTGTCCCTTTAAGTTTGGTTAAAAAATAACTATCAACATGTTGAGACATTTTCAAATGTATATTAGTTCACTGTAGATGTTTTTTTTTTTTTTATAAATTCTTTATTTTGAATTTTAGATAGAGTACATTGTCGGGATGGGGGTACAGAAAGAAAGTAGGGGGGTATTGTTCATGGTACATGCATGCATCACATTCAGTTATTGTACACAATGTATTGATTATCCACGTACAAGTGGAGGTAGTTCAGTAACATCTTTAGCTTATCGATATGTGTAGATGTTGTTTTAACTTATTTTCACTTAGAAAATTAACAAAGCACTATTTGAACATAAAACTGTATTTGTATACATCTGTAGCTAGACAGTACAACATTATTTAAAAAGACTGATACAATTTTGTACGGGTCCGGAATGGCATGTATTTTTAAGACATCTGTCATTTAATCCCATGTAAAAGACCCTTAGACTTCAAATGTAAAGAATTCAGACTGTTCCCAGTTGTGAGAAATATGAAAGGACTCAACTTCACTGATTTGAAGTGGCCATGGTGCTTGAAATGCTAAACACAGAGAAAATACACTTTACTGCCAGAGGTGAAACTCCATTTCCGGTAGCATTGTTATCCACTCCAGTAAGGTGCCATGCTGGCTACTGTTAATTCTGTGCATATTGGGCAACCGTTAGAATGTATAGCATGCCGACAACAGACAACCAATGGGGGCACTGACATCCACCTTGCTGCCCAATGCTTAGCCTGTCCTCAGACATCTCTCTCCCCTGCAATGAGGGAGAAAGACACCGAAGAGAGAAAAAAAAAAAATCAAACAAACCAAAAACAATGTTTTGTTAAGCAGGGTTTATTTAGTGCGGCTGGTCTGCTTCACCTATTCAAAATGTACAGGTTGTGACATATTTTAGTGGTGGGCTTTACATAATTAACAATGGAGCTTTTTACATGTAAAACAAAATGGAACCATAAGCTAAGGTGCTTGAAATGTCTCCTTATGCTTTTCTGTGCTGTGGCTCACTTCACACAAGCTTTACAGTAATATACACAAGCATGCATTAACATAATTTGCTATCTCGAACTACAGATTATGCAGCCAAGAAATAGAACGTATATCAGACAGTGTATGTGGATAAAAGTCGTGTCAATGTTTTTCTAAATGTTAGAGAAACACACCCAGAAACAGTGAGTAATGCATACTAATTATCCCCCTACATCATCCCAGACTCAAAACTAATCTTTTGTCAACAATAAAATCCGGTGCTCGGGAATGGACAACATATCAAGGGTAGATAGAATGAGCTTTATGTGAATAGACACAGATATAACAAAATATATATACACACACACACACACACACACACTACAAGGCCAATTCTGAAAGGAACACCACTCAAAGCACCATAACAACTGCAGCCCGTTCACTTGAATTCCCAACAATTCTCACTTTATTAAATAACCCTTAAAAAAAATCTATGGGAAGAGTGAGCAATTGGAGCCTGTTAGCATTGTCCATTTACTTACACATGTATTTCCCATCTCATTTACAGATATTGTTGCTCAGCGCTACACTGCATTTTCTAGTGGAATTCCATTGTTCCCTATAAGAAATCAGTATGCATGCACATGTGACACTATCCATACGTGCAGACTCCGCAGTACTCCTGTAGAAAAAGGGCAAAGGAAAGGATCCAAGTCAGCTACGGGTTTCAGTAAAATCACAGGAGGGACACGGATCTTGCAAAATACAGAGAAGAAAATATATTTATATAAATAGTAAACGGCCACAGACTGTCTGAACTCACATAAGGCACTGTTAACAAGACAATTTTGTTAAAATCATAAGAAGGACCATCACGGGCCGTGGGAGATGAGATTTTCAAGATAATTTAAATGCACTACTGTGAAAAAAAAGGTAGTGAGACGCTCTGGGGAAAAAATAATTACATAAAATAAAATATAAAAATTCTACCAAGTATCCAAGACAGCACACATGCAACTACTGGGTTAATGAACAGCTGAAAAGAACCCCGATTCTACCATATATGGTCATGCATGCTCTAAATGCTAAATTCTTGGCTTTTAGAGTCCTTCCAAGCATACATGTAGTTCTGCTTCCATTCATAGTATATATCCATCATGACAAAAAATGTATTGACCAAAATAATTTATACAAAAGGAAAAGACACATGCACACTCAAAACAAGATTCAACTGAAACGTGTGAATGCAAGGTTGAAATTTTCTATAATAAAGTGAAAAGGGACGGATATTCCTTGGATTATTTAAATAGAGTTCATTTCATCAGCCATATATCCAGTCTGTCTTTGTTAAAACTGGGTACACAACCACAGCAAACTCCTTTAACACCACACTTATATAGGAATGATAGGAGTTTGAATCCGACATCATAGGCCTCCTCCTTTAAGGTTTGTCAGAATTATTTAAGTGGCATTACACAGAGCTACAACTCCCATGCACACCTTGTCCATGCTGAAGGGACAAAACTGTAAATGAAGCACGGCCTCTTTCACGTTACTGTCCGATAGAGTGTAGCTAATATTTAAGACCTCATGAACTGCATGGCTGTATTCCAACATGACATTTGTAATACCTGCCCAGAGCTATAGCACTCAAATTGTTAATATAGAACTTGCTGGACCTATAATGTAGCTAACAAGGAGGATTAAATGGATCTTGTGCTAATACCTCCCCCATTTCCTGTTCGGTTTCACTCAATATAACTTATTCCATTGACAGAAGCAAAAGGCAGTACAGACTGAAGATATTCAAGAGGAGGGGCAAGCCATGGGAAAAACAGTGATAGACATTCAAAAAAAAAAAAATTTCGACTGCATGTATTACTGCCTGTTATTTATTTTTTTTATTTACTCTATATTTGATTTTCTATTGAGAATGCTTTTCTCTCATTTGGTTGATGTTACATGACAATGGCAATCAATCGTACAAACAGAACAAAACAAAGTAGAACATAAAAGGCTGTAGAGTCAGTAAATTATACATCACACCAAACAACTTGGTGAAAGTTATATCCGTTATAACACAGGTCTGACCAGTCCCTAACAACACGTGAGTATTACACTTTACAGGACAAATAAAGTAGAAAAAAAAATCCCCCTACCCCCAAAAAAGCAAGATGCAGACATGTTAACCTAGTATCATCAAGCTATTTATTTTTTTAAAGAAACACAAACATGTATTTCTGTCCCTATTGTGTTAAAAAAACACCATCAAGCTCCCCTGGCCCCATAAATATAGTAACATCTTACTTTTATTCCAGTCTGCTGCAGCTGCTGGCTCTGCCCTTGATCTGCCTGCTTTGCTGACTTTTTCACAAGTTATGATCTGAGCCAATCCCAATGCTTTCCTTTAGATAAACACTGGATTGGCTTAAATTGTTAAGGCACATCAAGGGCAGTCAGCATAAGCCAACACAGCCCTGGCTAATCAGCATCTCCTCATAGAGATGTATTGAATCATTGCATCTCTATGAGGAAAGTTCAGTGTCTCCATGCAGAGGGTGGAGACACTGAATGGCAGTGCTGCACAGTGTGCAGCACTGTCCCAGGAAGCACCTCTAGCAGGACAGTACACACTGTAATGTAATGTAGGCTGTAATGTAAACACTGCCTTTTCTCTGAGAAAAAAACAACAACAAAAAAACAGTGTTTACGGCAAAAAGTCTAAAGGTAATGATTATACTCACCAAAAAAAAATACAATAAGCTGTAGTTCTGGTAACTATAGTAATTTAAAGTATAGTCTACCATATACACAAACACAAAAAAAGGTAGAAAAGGAATATACACCCTTTTACAGTACCTGCAATACTTTTAGGAAGTTTAGTAGTCAGCAAAACAAGTTCAGAAAGTAATTACAACTTTCTACCAAATGCACAGAAGCAATCTGATAATTACAACAGAAATAAACCTATCAACTTACAGTGCAACTGCCCTAATAAACGGATTCTAAATAAAGGTTTGCAAAAGAAAAACTCCCGAAAAACATTTATAATCATAATAGAACTTAAGAAATTTCAAATTGTATGAGTCAGTGATGAACAAGTCTTCCTTTTCGTACTCAGTCCTCAGAGTTAGAAGGAGTAGTCCTTGTAAATTTTTATCTTCAATAAATCCCTTTTGTTTTCTAAAGACCTTTAAATTGTTATAAATGATGCTTGAAATGGGATGTTTAGACAAAGAGCAGTAGTAACACATTATTAACGGCATAGAACATTACTGCCATGAGTTATGTTGAGGCGTTGTATTGAAGTCAAAGAGCACATCATTCATATTGAGGAGCAGGATTGGGGGTTTAAAGGGACACCGTAGGCACTGTATTTGCGTCATCTGATTAAACTGGTTATAGTGTATGGAGTCCCCTGGTGCCATCATTTCTTTCGGCATTAAACAGTTTTTAATGTTGTAATGTTTTAATGCTAAACAAGAGACCCCAGCAGTCCATCCCCTCTGTGCTGCTTTGGCTAATAAGGAAGTATTACCCTGAGCAGCAATGGGCAGCTGTGATTGGCTGAGAGTGTCAGCTGACTGCTTTTAACCTGTCAGAGCTCCAACTGACGGTATGAATGGGTATGACAACAAGGAAGTGTGTAATCTCTGCTTTAGCTACACATACAGAAGGGGCCGGACTGTGGGTGGCCAGGGACTCTTATTTTGTGGCATACTGCACAAACATGGTGCAACTCTGAATGGAGGGACAGTGCCAGGGCACTCCAGACACTATAACCAATTCAAAGAGACAAAGTGGTTATAGTGACTACAGTGTCCCTTTAAGTTAAGCATTTTGGTTAAGGGGTATTGATTGGGGTTGGAATGTCCCCCCTTTTTTTTTTAACTACTACTAGGTAATAAAATTAGTAACCTAGATATCATGAACGATATATATGGAAATAAAACATGGTTATTCAATTAATAGTGATTCAATCTCTATTTCATTAACAATTGAAAACCAAATTACAATCACAAACAGAGCCATCAAGCAATATTGTAAGGGAAAAACAAAACCACAAAATGTCACATTAGTATCCACGCCTCCTCCCTTTGTCAGTCCCTACATAGGCAAGTATCAGGATCAATTTAAGATCCTGATACTTCCCTATAAATCTCTACACAATGCTGCTCCGACCTACTTATCCTCACTATTACACAAATATTTCCCATCTAGGCCCCTACGCTCTGCCGGAGACCTACGTCTAACCTCTGTTCGTACTCCTACCTCTGACGCTCACCTTAAAGACTTCTATAGGGCTGCACCATTCCTATGGAACACCCTTCCCCTTTGTTAGACTTTCACCCAAGTAAGAGCTAAAAAAAAAATATTGGAAGAAAGGATATGGTGATGAGAAAAGTATCTCACAATTTCGTAAACTCAGTGCTTAGTAAAAAGGAAGCAATATCAAAAAATACTTTGTGCGATGAGCCAAAACACAAAAGCGGAGTCTGATGTTGTAGGGTGCCCAACACATCCTGACTCGTGCCAATAGATGCAGATACTTCATAAAATAAAGTGCATGATAAAGTGCTTTACTTTGACAATAGTTTCCTTTATGGGTGGTTTACGCTCTAGTTGCAGTATCACAGGGTTGTGTTTTTGGATGAAGAGTAGGTCAAATGAGCCTACTATTTGTCTGAGATCGTAAAAGTAGCACCTCTACTGTGTTGTGTAATACAACTTGTACCCCAGGACATAAACTGAAAACCTGTGAGCGTTTAATGTATCCTTCCTCGTAACATACACCAATTTGCTAGTCCACCTATTGTACGGCACTACGGAATTTGTTGGTGCTTCATAAATAACAATAATTATCATAGTATTATGCATACCAATGGCACTCACACTGCTTCCAATAAAGATCCACATGCAATATATTTTCATTATTTCTCAGCACCTATTAAAAGCTAAATGACTAGCAATGGTTTACTAAATAAAACAAACTACTAATGCAAATCCTATATCGAAGCACCAGCTGGCACAGTCGAATGCACGCTATTGGAGGCACATCTTTCACAGCTTGAAGAATTCAGAACAAAGTACACAGAAGTTAAAAGCCAGTCTAGAATATTGTTGCAGTTAGTGTATGCACATTTATAAACACATGGACCATATGAACTCTTATGAATCCCATTTCTGGTTTAGAGAAAACCAACATGTAATATGAACTTTATAAGTTGATCTACAAGATCTTCCTCGAAATGTGTAACATGCAAGAACGGTTACAAATGGATGTATGTGAAGCCCTCTAAATAACAAATCATGCAATAAGCAAAAATGCATTCTGCAGTCTCCAGCACCGAAGCAGCCAAATTGCAATTTAATGAGCATTCCTATACACGTGTTCTATGCGAGTATGCATCACATGCATGAATCTCGTCAACTCTATATCCAAGCACTCACCAGCTGCATAAATTCTAAATGTGCTGGGTTATCAGGTTTACACATTACCCTCATTGTAACTGCAAAATGTAATAAAAACCATGTAATCCATTGATCACAGTATTCTAATAATCCAGCAGGTCAGTATGAACAGGTCTATTTATTTTAACAATTCTCAGCTCACTGCAGATTGTTTAGTAACAACCTAAAGCAAAAATTTTAGTATTTAGAAACTTTACTTTCCGTGGCTCATATTTACTAGCACAAATAGCTTTTTTAAAGTGAATAAAATGCTAACCATCATGCTATTGGGCACTAACAGCCAACAGTCAACACTCATTCATTGTTGCAGAATATGAACTATCTACCCAACATATTTTTCCTGTCTTCGTTGAAGTGAGCCTGTCATGGCAGGTTCAGTTTAATAGACAACACCTCAGAAGGCATAGATATATATAATTTATCACCGTGATAAATCATATAGGCATGTCCTTTGGTGTCTGTTATATTACTTATGTGTTGCCCCTCACTCCAGCACCATTATCTCAGAGGATCCTTGGGATTTACAATGCTGTAACACTTGCTCCCTTGTCAATCAACCCATGGGATTTGCTTGACAGATTTGCTTGACAGGTTGGGGGGGCAGGGATATATTTGTAAAGTGCTTTAAGAACTACCAAACTGGATTTACTGATGTTTTAGAGTCACAAATAGAACTAACCAGCGCTGATACAGTAGGCTATAGTGGGATGTCAAACTTTACTCACTTGACGACGCATATTATAAAAAGAACACTCTTGCTGGGATGATGCATTTGCTCCCTGTTACACACATTACGGCAGAATGTCTGATAACTCAAAAGACGGCTTATATATGTGGATTAATACCGCATTTAAAACAGAGTTTAAAGGGACACTAAAGTCACTAAGTTTGAGCAGTGAGACTGCAGGATCATGATCTATATACACTAAAACTGCTTCCTTAAGCTAGTGTTGTTTTGGTGATGTTAGTGTCCCTTTAAAAAAAAAAAAAATAAAAAAAAAAAATGAAAAGTTGAAGCAGTAGTAACTCTGAAACCAGTGGCAGCACTTATCACAAAATCAATGACAAACAAGATAGTAATGTGTTCAAGAGTAGGAGTAACTGATAAGGGTACTCAAGAGAGTTTCAATAAAAAACAATAAAAAGGGCCAGCTGTGAGCTACAAAATGCACACCAAACCAGGTGAACCAAACACTGATTTAGACCTACAAGAAATGCCCATTTCCTTTTTTAATTTTTTTTTTTTTTTTTAAACACAAAAAAGACAGAGGGTTGTAAAATTGTCATTAGTAAAAATAATAAATCTACAACTAAAAATAAACAAAAACTATTGTAATGAACAGAGGGAAAATAAAGCAATATATACCAATGCATTTAAACTGCAAATAAAGTCTAATTAATCAACCTATATTTTAAACATTTTGGTTTGCCACAAAGAAAAGTTATGTTAACCCTATGCTTCCACCCAATGTGCACAACATTATTGTTGTTATACAAAATAATCCAAAGAACAATATTGCTTGATACCGTTGTATCTGGCCTTTGGTGTAAGTCAGACACGTATCCTATATCCCATGATGCCAGACAATATGGGATTTTTATCAAAGAGTTACATTCAATCTTTTTAAAGGGACACTATAGGCACTTAGAAAACGTCAGCTTATTGAAGTGGTCTGGATGCACTGAATGCCCCTAATCAGTTTAACCCTGCAATTGTAATTATTGCAGTTATTGATAAACAGCATTAATTACATTGCAGGGTTGACTCCACCTCTAGAGGCTGCCTACCAGAAAGCCACCAGGCACTTCCAGGTGGGTAGGCGAATTTTGAACGCCTGACGCTGGACATACTCACGTTTTACATGAGGACATCCAGCGTCAGCTAAAACCCCACAGGAAAGCATTGATTCACATCGGGCTAGATTCAGGTAAGTGATAAAGGGGTTTTTAACCCTTTCTGCAATGGAGGGAAACAACTTTGTATTCCTAGCACTAGTTTTTGTTTTGTTATATATATATATATATATATATATATATATATATATATATATATATATATATATATATATATATATATATATATAAACAAGGGGGTGGGGTAATCTAAACACAGCAAGGAACACACTAATATACTACAACGATATTTATAATGCTACAGTGTTTCCTCAACATGTCGTATTGCCACTCTGCAACATGTATAGTCATGGGAAAAATAAAGTACACCCTCTTTAAATTCTATGGTTTATATACCAGGACATAATAATCTGTTCCTTAGTACGCCTTAAAATGATGTAAATACACTCTCAGATGAACACCACCATATGACATATTACACCGTGTCACAATGTAACAAAAATAAAGTCAAAATGGAGAAGCAATGTGTGAAAAACGAAGTTTCAAAGACAGTTTCTATTGTAGAACCATCTGTAGCAGCAATAGCTTGAAGTAATTGTTTTCTCTATGACTATCAGTCTTTCACATGGTTGTGGAAGATTTTGGGCCCACTCTTTACAACGTTGCTTCAGTTCATTGACGTTTGCTGGCATTTGTTTATACACAGCTCTCTTAAGGTCCCGCAACAGCATTTCAATCAAATTGAGGTATGGACTTTGAGTGGGCCACTGCAACATATTGAATATTTTCTTTTTCAGCCATTCTGTTGTAGATTTGCTGGTGTGCTTGGAGTCATTTTCCTGTTGAATTACCTACTTTCAGTCAAGCTGTAGCGGTTGGATATATGGTCTCACATTTGACTCTACAATACTTTTGTATACAGAGGAGTTCACGGGCGACAATAACTGCAAGTTTCACAGATCCTGTTGCTGAAAAACAAGCCCAAATCACCACCCTCCACCACTGTGCTGGTAATATGAGGTGTTTGTGCTGAAATGTTTGTTTTTTGCCAAATATGGCACTGTGCATTATGGCCAAACCTCTCCACTTTGGTCTCGTCTGTCCAAAAGACATTGTTCTAGAAGTCTTGTGGTTTATTCAGATGCAACTTTACAAACCTAAGTCGTACTGCCATATTCTTTTTAAAGAGAAGAGGCTTTCTTCTGGCAACCCTACCAAACAAACCATAATTGTTCAGTCTTCTTCCAATTGTACTGTCATGAACATTATCATGCTGAGGCCTGTACAGTCTGAAATGTAACACGTGGATTTTTTTGCAATTTATCTGAGCATTACACGGTCTGACCTTGGGTTGAATTTGCTGAGACATCCACTCCTGGGAAGATTGGCAACGGTCTTCAGTGTTTCCCACATTTTAATAATCTTTCTCAATATAGAATGAGGGACTTTAAATTGTTTGGAAATGGCCTTTTAACACTTCCCAGTTTGATGGACAGAAACAATTGCTTCACTAAGATTATTGCTGATGTCTTTTTTTTGCATTGTGTTAACACACACCTGAATGCCCCAGACCAGCAAACGGCTAAAACGTACTTCTATACAGGTGGTCAAAGGGCATTTGATTAGCAGCACCTGTCTGCTACTTAGCCTCTTAATTTCTATGGAAGCAGTAATGGTGTACTTAACATATGGATTCTCCATTTTTGCTTTATTTTTGTTAAATAAATCATGACAAGGTGTCATGCATTGTTGTTCATCTTAGGTTGCATTTACCTAATTTTAAGACGTGCTAAGGAACATATGGTTGTTATGTCCTGATATGTAAAACTATAGAATTCATAGAGGGTGTACTTTCTTTTTCCCATGACTAACTGACTAAGCACGCTGAGCCTATGTACACTATAATCAGAGCTAGAATATGAAAGCTAGAAGCACTGGTCTGAAAGTAAGGCTTAAATTGTTTCATAAACCACATTTGCCAGTACCTTGGTGTGTTTCAAAACCAGGCAACAGTGCTGTGTGTTCAGAGACTTCAGTGCATGGGTATGTAACGGATTGCAGCAATTTGTTGCCTTGGAAAAATTGGGAAAAATAACTGCAGTGACCTAAACACAAATATACGGCATTCTATGTAAACAACAGGCGAGCAAACGTGTAGTCTCTGGCAAGCGAAGTACAGTGTTGCATAAGAGCAATTTTAAGAGTGAGCAACAGACAAAAATTATCCTACATCTCCACGCATGTTATAATTAAAGGGACACTATAGTCACCCAGACCACTTCAGGTCAATTAAGTGGTCTGGGTGTCAGTTCCCTCTAGGGTTAACCCTGCCTGTTTACATCTGGGGTTAAGCCAGCCTCTAATGGCTGTCTTCCAGACAGCCACTAGAGGCGCATCAGCAATGATTGAGGCATATTATGCCTCAAATCACGCAGAGCGTCCATAGGAAAGCATTGAAAAATGCTTTCCTACGGACACTTTGAATGCGCATGCGGCAGTGTCGCGCATGCGCATTTGGCGCCAGTGACGTCAGACAAGGATGCTGACGTCGGCGGGGGAGGAGAGGTAAGGGAGCCCGGCGGGGGGAAAGGGTGAGTAGCTGAAGGGGTTTTAACCCCTTCAGCGCTGCGGGAGGGGGAACCCTCAGGGTACTATAGTGTCAGGAAAACCAAGCTGTTTTCCTGACACTATAGTGTCCCTTTAATGCATTAAAGAAAAAAAAACACCCTACCTACTATGAATCTGTATCTGCACAGCATAGAGGAATAGGTTATGCCAATCAAAAGCCTCTCATTTACATCTACAGGGACTTATGGGATGGGCAGTTTATCCCTAGTTATCACACTTGTGTGATAAAAAGGATTGTGTGCAGAGCTTTACAGTCAAAGACTGAACAGTGGGAGGGGAGATCCTACTTACTTACATCTGAGGCGTGCTTACTTTGGACAAAACTGACCCAGACAGCTTGGCATCTGGGTGTCTTATAGGTGAAGGAATAAGCCACTGTCAGAACTTAGTGTGGATGTAAGGTACTCTCTGCACCATAATCATTACAATAATGCAACATTGTTATTTTACTTGTAGTGCCCAATTAAAATGTTACTACACCCTCCATGACCACTTCTGCTTTTAGAGGTGGTCATGGGGGAAGGAATCTGTATGCGCGCACCATTTCTGCTTGAAACTGTAAATACAGAGAAATATGCACTTTTGTGCGAAGCACTAGTTACACCACCGGCACACATGACGGAAATAGCCCAGAACTGTGTCGCGGCCTGCCGAATGTTAAATGTGTGCAAAAATGATGCATGTCGTCAGAGCGCACTGTGTGCTAGGGACAGACATATTGAGCTTAAACCCTGGCAGGCAGTCATGGGGGATGGACAAATTAGTGATGTCCAAATGTAATTATGAAATAAAAATAACACACACGGAAAAAGGGTTACAGTAACCCTTTAATACACAATACAATTACAATGTAAAACTGGTGCCAACAGTTGCACTTTGTGTATTTAAGCATGAATTGGAAAACTGAATAATTTGACAATAAGAGCGAACCCGAAGTCACTGTGGCTAAACAGTACAGGGATGTTTCCTGTTACACATAGGGAAAAAAAAAAGTAAAACATCACAATGTTACCCAAAACGATATTATATAAAAAAAAAATGTTTTTTAAAAGTGCACATACATTAATCATAGTGCAAAAGACTCCACACAGTACAGGTTACTAAATCTGTGTGCAGTCTTGATTTTTGCAAATTTTTAAATGTTTGTACTCTTTAATATCAATACTGTTTGCACTATCTCTGTGCCCTTTTAGAGATGGATGTTTCCTGTTGTCAGATATACTTGTTATAAAATTTGTTTCCTAGCAGTTGACACTGTCCCTGTAACTGTAGCAATACCCGAGAAAAACGGAACTCATCCATGACTCCTACGAACATGCTTCACACCCTCGTACCCGATACTATCTCACAGATATTTTATTCTCATAATTGACCTCTCATGCAATACAAACCACAGACTAGAGACAGTTGCTAGGAAGATTTATATACCTCTCATGCACTCACCGGACAAGACAAAATTTCTGGCTGTGCCAGACAGCCCTTTATTTCTCAGCTCAGATTGGATGCCGCGAAGAACCAAGCAGTTGCCTCTTTGCAGCTAGTATAGCCATGTATGGCTAAGCGCTCCCTAGAGGGCTAGCTCCAACTTAGAAATGCAGCTAAATGTTGCCTGGTTTCCCAAATGGGTCTGCTCTTACAGAAAGTTTGTGTTAGAAATCCATCTGGCTATACTCAAAAGTTAAATTTCTTAAGAATTTACACTTCTTTATGGCTGCCATTCAGTTAGTTGTTCTAATCAGCTGAATCACTATATAAATTTGGTTAGTTACCGCCATTTAGCTGTAACCAATCCAATTTGTTTGATACAATACTCCTCATGTAAACCAAGAAAAGTTTATCCATAAACCCAAGAGACCCTAATTCTATCCCTTAACGTCTCTCAAATCATTCTCATCCCATAGCAGCATTTTTTTTTTAATCTTACAATAAGAACATTCTGATGCCATTCAGTTACAGGTGTATATTTCCAAACGAGTCTCACTACAGCAATAAGCCTTTTGTCTCAATGTACATTTCCCCTCTAGACTCTAAGCTCAGAAGCCTTCATGTATATAGTATCCTGTAGGTGGTTGAACCCAATGGTCAGGATTCTCTTTTCAATTTGTATTAGTGTGTCTAATTATTGTGTTCTTTGTATCATTTATAAAGGTATCTACGTAGAACTGGTAAATAAATGAGATCCACTTGAAAATAACAGCGATCCATCTGTCTCAATGTGTGTTACTCTGTGTTTTAAAGTTGTTTTTTTTTTTTAAAGTGCCTTCCCTTCTTGGTTGCTCGATCAGGATGTTAAATTTGCTTGCTGTGTAACTTTGACTGAAAGCTGCAGTCAGCCAATAATGACGTTACACATAGTTAACTGTAAGAGAATTGAGGCCTACAGCACTGAATATTAATTAAACCCATTCACTGGCAGGTTGTATACATAAACAGAGATGAGTTTTGTTTCCTGAATGGTAATTGGCAAGATTATTTTTAAGCATTTTAAAGACAAACAATAATATCTTTAACAGAAAAAAGTCAGAAAATAATGAAATTAAAGACCAGACTACACCATCAACCTATTTTAATGTAAAAATATTAAACATGTGAGACTAGGCCTTCAACAACCCTCAGAAGAAGGTCCCTATTGTAAATTTGCCATACAATTGCTTGTCCCACGCACGAGCCAAGTAAAAACACATTCTCTGAAGGAAACTAAGACCTATAGTTATCAAGACTACATCCCCAAACAAACCGCATTTGAAGAAACTGCCTTACCCATAAAGCACCACAGCTTGCTTGGCTGAGCAGTATCTAATTTCCAATGACATTTTATAAAAAGTGCTGATTTCTATGAGATATGGGCACTTTTAGAATTTATTAAACACCCAGTCAAGGAGGTTTGCAGCCTGATTCTGTTAGCTCCCCTGAGCTAACACAAGTGGCAGGCATGCTTTACTTGAGTTCTTTTAAGATATACCCCCAATGAACACCTGCATGATAAATGCATGCACGTATTCATTGGGGTATATTAACTAAACAGCGAAGAGCTGTTTTTTTCCCCATTTGGGCTTTGGAGTGTCCCTTTAATCTCTGCAAGGTACATCTGGGATACTTAAGCTGCACACCAGCGCACTTATATCAGCTCTATTCTCTGTTTTTCCTATTGCTATTTTATCCGTTCTATATTTTTTCATTACAATTCTATGCTGTAGCCCGAATTTAGAAACAGAATATTTTACGCTAGCATCTGTGTCACCAGACCTATATCTGATTCTTGTGAACTCTATGAACCATTTATTCCTAGTGGATGCCTTTTCCAAATTGCACCTATTTAACCCAGCGGTTCCCAAAACTGCGTGTGACATGTACACAGGGGCACCGCAGAATGTTTCCCTGGTGCTATGCTATGATTATTGCACTTGGGAAACATTACTAATGGGGTGCCTTGAAAATATAATGAAATATTAAGGGCACCATGAACCTAAAAAGTTTGGGAACCACTGATCTAACCTTTTTTCCCACCCACAGTTTCGGTCTCTCACAGACAAGACAAGTTATGCCTCGTTTCCACTGAGCACCATGGTTCAGGTCGATACGGTTCGGAAGGGTTAGAATGGTCCAGCCTATGCAGGTGAGCGTTTCCACTGCAATTTGGACCACCAGGGGGCATGTGTGTCATTTGTCATGAGCATTGACATTTTCCTGTTCGCCAGTCAATGGGTTGTATAGTGTGATGTCAGTAAGCTCTGCCCTAACCGTACCAATTCCTATGGACCTAATTCTGAAGGGGGCCCAGGAATGGTGTGGTTTGGTTCGGTTGTACGGGCCACTTTCATAACAGAAACACTCAAAATAGCGTACCAGACCGCACCGCTCAGTGGAAATGGGGCATAAAAGCACTCTTTTCTCTCAGACTCACCACAAGGTCCCATTTAAAATATAGACTCCCCAAATTACAAAATTATGGTCATCAGCTGCTAGTGTCTCTTTGCAGACCTCACCTTTACAATCTCCTATATTGGTTACTGCCCACTTCTCATTCTCACCAATTCCTGCCTAGCTGTCAGACTGCTACACTACCTGACACCACCTTCCTTGATGTTCTCATTCTTACTCATTTTCCTTTTTTTTTAAAGCATACCTTTCCTTCCACCCCCCACCAAGTAACTCAATCTGTAATTCTCCTTTTACTTCCTTCACAGCATATTTCATCCCATGCAATCTTATCACACATCTGTTTGACCTCCAATCCTGCCTCCAAACACAATGTCCAACAAATATATTTAACACCTATTCTCACCTTCTTTCTCTAGCCACCCGTATGCTTTTAGCAGTTGGGGATGTTACCTCTACCTTTCAATCACCTCCTCTCCTTTGGCACTGCCAGTGTTCCCCTCCACTCAACATTAAATCTAGCTCACCTTGGTTACCAGAAAGTAATGCTCCCTTGATCCAAATCATTTCTCTTGCTCTTTCCAAGCTACCTCATACTACAATTCTGTCCTGTCTACCACTCTTCACATGCCTGCACCTAATAAAACTAACTCTAATAATTACAAATTCATGCTACATTCCTATACTTCCACCCTCTCCTTTGCCAAGCAAGAGTACTTTACAGCTCTCATATCCACCTCATGATCGCAATGCCTTTTGCATACCTTTAACTCTCTTCAACCTGCCATTAACGAAGCTCCCAGCTCGTGATTTTGAATGTCAAGATCAACCAAATGAGGAATACAATTTCTTCTATTTCCTCCTTCCTTCCTATACTTAGCTTCCATTCTCTTCCCTCTTCCACTGCTTTCCTACAGTCTCTGAAGAGAAGGCCTCTAAACTTATACTATGCTCTCACCCGACCACATGCCCTCTTGATCCCCTCTCATCTTATCCAATCTAAAATAAAAATAGAAAAAAGCCAAAACTGTTCCATATTGCTTCACCCCTTCACTTCTAAAGGTTCTTGAGTGGCTTGCCTGTGTAGCTGTATGCGTTTTCAATACTTACTCTTGCTTTCACCCTCTTCAATATGGCTTCCACTCCCTCCATTCTACTGAAATTGCCCTTAAAGTGATTAATTAATCACAGCTAAATCTAAAATGTCATTGCTGTCTCAATTTTTCCAAACATCTCTGCTGCCTGTGATGCGATTGACCAAACTCCTCCTCTTCAAACCCACCAAACCCTTGCACTCAGTGACACGGTACTTTCCTGGTTTTCATCCTATCTTTCTGAATGCACGTTTAGTACCTCCTTCTCTGGTGCTACCTCCTCAGCGTGTGTTCTTGGTCCTTTTACTTTCCATTTTCACTGCCTCTCTTGATAACCTTATAAACTCTTTTGGATTTCATTACGATCCATATGCAGGAGATACTCAGATTTCCCTCTCCTACCCTCCTAAACAAGTCACAAACTGCCTCACATCCACCTCCATATGGATGTAAACTTAATCTTTCAAAACTTAAGTTTTTATCTTTCCCCATCGTCCTCCATCTATCTCCCTGCACATCAATGAAACCTCTATAACACCAACTCCTCAAGCTTGCTACTTTGGAGTTATTTTTGACTCAGGTTTCACCTTTCCTCCTCACATCCAGCCCTTCTTCAAATCCTGTAACTTCCACCTCAAAATTATTACACGCATTCGTCCTTTTATAACTCAAGATACAACTAAGGATCTTGTTTGTGCAGTCATTTCCCGACTTGATGATTGCAACTTACCACTCATTGGCCTTCCAATTACCAGCATTGCCCCTCTTCAGTCTGTAATGAACTCTGCTGTCAGTTTCATCTTCCTGACGGACTGCTTCCCCCACACCTCACCCCTTTGCCAGTCATTACATTTGCTTCAGGTAGACTTTGCACTCACTAACTCCACTCCTCACTGCATTTCTTCTTTAATCAAATACACCCTTTCTTGTTCCTTTCACTATTCAAACGACCTTCTTCTAACATCTGTTTGTTCCCACACTGGCAACTCCCATCTGCAGGATTTTTGATTTTTAATATATACACAAAAGACGTAATGAAGTATTTAATAGAAGCACACAGTATGATTACTATGTGGCCATTAGCAGAGGAGTGTGGCAAATGTTAAACTACCAGATCGTAGTTTTTTTAGTGTAACTGTACCATTTTCTTACTTCACTATGTCTGCAAAAGTGGAGTACAAAAACAGACATAAGCATTTGTATAAACTACTAATGAGATATTAGATAACATATCATTAGAATTACAGATTTTAGTTAGTGTGTCTTACATGTTTGTATACTGTATTTATCTTTATAGAATCTTCACAATCAAATGGTCCAAAATGCATGATAACATCCTAACATAATTCTGGAGTAAATCTAAAGTGTAAAAATAATAATTAAAAAAATTCCCTTATCAATAAGATCTACATATGAACATTTTGTATCCAATATAAAAAAGATGTGAAAAGTTTTACAAACTACTTTTTATGTAGAATAGATTGAAGCTGATCTATAAATGGTTATTGTCCCAATTAATAGTGTCTATATATATATATTTTTTTTTTTTAATTCTTTATTTTTGGTCGTGCAGAAGTATACAAGGTAACCCGCAATGTCACAACGGCAATTGCCGGCATACTTTAAAAACACAACGGAATAGTGAACATGACAACAGTTGTAGTGAGCAATAGTGTCACGTTTCTACTCGAGTAGACAGCACGGTATTTTGTGATAAAGGTTTGGTAGCTAAACTACGCATTTTCAATTGTAGAAATAATAAAAAAAATAAAAAAAATTAAGTAAAAAAAAAAGGAGAAGTAGTCAGCAGAGAGACAAATTGACATAAGATAAGAGTTTGGTTACCCTAACTGACTATACGAGGTTATACAATAGTGGTCAAGTTACATGCTATGCAAGATGCGGTTCGATCAGTGGCAATAATAGATTGTGAGTTACATGTTATGCAAACAAGTGAGAGTTCATTTTAATGGTCCTGCTCCCTACCGAAGTGTGGAGCCCTGTTTGGGATTGGTAGTAGGCCCAGGATTAATACAGGGTGGGGGCCCGTGAGTATGACAACTGTGGTGTAGGATAGTTTTATAACAGAGGATCCTTAAGGATCGGGTAACTTGGTATGGTGTCTCAAGATTTTGAATGAGGCAGCTCTGCCAACTGTTATGTGTGTGGGTCAAGAAGATTGGAGCTGGGGGGGGGAGGGTAGGATGGACGTAATCAGGGGAGATAATTGGGTGAAAGTGTCTATATTTTAGGGTGTGTGTGTATATAAATATATAAAAGCATGTGTTTCCACAAGATATAAAACTAGAGAAATCTTGTAAATAGTGAATATATATATTTAGCCCGGAAGACCAATTAAAAAGGTCACATTTGTCCTTCCATACAAATCAAATATGTATATAATGTGTGATAAGCATAACACAAAGCTTACATTGATTAGTTTGCCCTGTGAAGATGTCATAACATAAAAATTACCAAATACCTTCAGCAAACTCCCTCCGAGAACCTTCATCAATGAAACATGGTGAATTAGATATCTCAGTTTCTAATACAATCTGGCATTAATCAGCTCCCCTCCCTCTCCTGCTGCAAGCCAGCCCCATTGAGCTATCCCCAACCATTTTAACAGTTACTTTGCTGTGGTTCAACACTGCCAGCAGTACAAAGCAAAACCTTTGTTACCTATTTCGCAAAGGATGTTGCTGTAATCTAGGGCAAGGAGCTCATTGTGTGTGCTGAAGGGTTATTTCTTAACAAGTTAAACAGGGCAGCATTAAATAAAACCTACAATTCTTTTGAACACTAGTCTTCCTTTGCATGCTTTGAAACCTCTTGCTTTCCTGTGGAGTAGGTGGGGCACAATTTTATTCTATGGAGTGCATTACGGTCTAAATTTAGTTACAAGATATATAAAAGTGGATTAGTGTTAATCATGTTATTAGCTACTTAAAGTGTTACCTGGGTCATGGGATCTTTTAAAGAGTGTGATCAACGGACTTTTGATCTATATCCTATGGCCATTTGTTTAATTTAAAATATCCTAACACAAACAGGATGGAGAATTGCATTTTACCCCTGTTGTAAATACAAAAGATTGGAATGTACCCGTTTAGAATCAATTGATCAGCAATTTAAGACCTCGGTAACGCTGTTAAAATAGGTAACTATACGGTCTAACGATTGTAGTTTTTGCCTGCATCACTGAAGTCTGCAGCAGAAGACATTTTAAACAAGAACAGATACAAAAGAATTCAAGTACAGATCAGCAAATACAATGCACCAACCCAATGACAGTAAATTAAACCCCTAAAATGAGGAAAATGCCAAACAAGTTCCAATAAGACACACCCCATCACCCATAACATTGCACCCTGTTAATTAACCATTCCAGTGCATTAAGCAACAGGAATAAGACTACTCATAACAAATCTAAATTGTTTCAGTCTCACTGTGAGTACACCAGGACACTGAGCAAAGGGTGGTGGCACTGGGGCACACAAGAGGAGGCGGGGGCTTGTAGTTCTCAAGGGGAAAAAAGATGCCCAAAATGTAGACCCTCATTTGTGGTAACACCACAAATCCTATGATGGCCTTTCTAAGCCTCCACCACAGCTTGTGGGCTTAACTGAGGGTGATCTCTGATGTAGAATAATAAAAAAAAAGAGCGTGTTAAAAAGGGATGTTTGAAAGTAACTAAGCAATAGTGGCACTGGATTCACTGCCATGTGAACGCTGAACTCCACCACGCAATTTAAGGGTACCTATGTGGGTCCCCACGACCAGAGCTATGAAATTCATGGGGCCAACAATCCCACGCACATAATTTATGAACACTATAGATCTCACTCCCTCACATGCCAGCCCCCCATGTCCAGAAAACTTCAATGCCATGGTACCCAGTACCCATACACAAATTATACAAATCAGAAGTGGCCCAGCAGACTACGTAAAACTCCCGAAGCCACCATAACCTCCTCAAACCAAATCAGTCCACATGTCCAGGCAGTTTAAATGCAAGTGCCCAGTCCCCATGTTCAGAAGCTCAAGCTACACATGTCATGGTGCCATTTCCAGAGGTTCTACACAGCATTGTGCAAACACTCTGTTACAGTCCCCATATCCACAGGCTATATATGGAATGGTGCCCATCTTCCATGCCAGCCCACATGCCCAGAAAGTATAAATACTATGGTGTTCACAATTCAGCATTTTTGATGCCGTGATTAGATAGTGCCATTGAGCCTAGTTTCCATACAGGGGTAGGTAACCTTTGGCACTCCAGATGTTGTGAACTACATCTCCCCCTATATCGGCAGTATCATGGGGGATGCAGTCCAAAATATCTGGAGTGCCAAAGGTTACGAACCACTGATCCAAGGCTATGCATGATATGATGCCCACCCTCATAAAGGTCAGTCTCCATGCCCAGAAGCTGTGTGTGCCAGTCCCCATACTCACACGCTGTGTGTGCCAGTCCCCATACTCACACGCTGAGTGTGCCAGTCCCCATACTCACACGCTGAGTGTGCCAGTCCCCATACTCACAAGCTGAGTGTGCCAGTCCCCATACTCACAAGCTGAGTGTGCCAGTCCCCATACTCACAAGCTGAGTGTGCCAGTCCCCATACTCACAAGCTGAGTGTGCCAGTCCCCATACTCACAAGCTGAGTGTGCCAGTCCCCATACTCACAAGCTGAGTGTGCCAGTCCCCATACTCACAAGCTGTGTGCCAGTCCCCATACTCACAAGCTGTGTGTGCCAGTCCCCATACTCACAAGCTGAGTGTGCCAGTCCCCATACTCACAAGCTGAGTGTGCCAGTCCCCATACTCACAAGCTGAGTGTGCCAGTCCCCATACTCACAAGCTGAGTGTGCCAGTCCCCATACTCACAAGCTGAGTGTGCCAGTCCCCATACTCACAAGCTGAGTGTGCCAGTCCCCATACTCACAAGCTGTGTGTGCCAGTCCCCATACTCACAAGCTGTGTGTGCCAGTCCCCATACTCACAAGCTGTGTGTGCCAGTCCCCATACTCACAAGCTGAGTGTGCCAGTCCCCATACTCACAAGCTGAGTGTGCCAGTCCCCATACTCACAAGCTGAGTGTGCCAGGGTGCCAACCCCCTACATTTCAGCCCCCCTGCCCAGAGGCTATGAATGGCATGGTGCCCTCTCCCCTGCCATGTTGTAGCTGTCTGTCCTAGCTGTGCTGCTGGCAGGCTGTCACAGCCCGGATCCCGGGGTCATCCTTCAGGCATGTCAGCAGTAGCCCATGCCCGCCTCCCCGAGCCAGGCCCTCTCTCCCACCCCCCCTCCCCGGTGCAGCACGAAACACGCCGGTCACCCAGCAATGCCCCGTCTCCCACACACTCACCGCGCTGCTGTGCTCCCTCTCCTGTATGGGCCCCGGCACTGCCTGGGATCCCCAACCACCACCACCACCGCCCGCTCGACCTCCTCCTCCTCCGCTCGGGACACACAGCGCTAACCAGCCCAGCCTGGGTGAGGCTCCCAGCTCTTCCCGTGACGTCACCGCGCCGGGCTCGCCTCCACCCCCCCTCCTCCTCCTTCCCCGCGCGTGCGCGCTCCCGCGAAGCTAAGGGCGAGGGCTCGTTCGCCTTCTCCCCGCGTGCGCGCGGACAGCAAGCAGCGCAGCAGCAGCACTGGGCGCTCCCGAGCGGACGTGACGGGGTGCGCGCTCGCGCGCTCGCGCACTGCCCGGCCCGGCCGTTCTCGTGGGCGGTTGGTGGGCGCTGTTGCTATAGCCCTGTGTCCAGTCAGTGACAGCAGCTCAGCCTGTCTGTGAGACCCACTGGCTGCACTGTAATGCCACCTCACAGAAATCAATGCTTATTAATTATATCAAGCTGAGTGCCATCACCTCTACTAACAGAAGTGCTGGCACAAAGCTGGCCCAATGAAACCAGCAGCTATTCACCGAAGTGTGAATGGTGGAGAGTTAGAATTCAAAGTGATATTAGGACAAAATAGCAGATGGGAATAAATAGCTGAGTAAGAGAATTGTTACACTGGTTTCCAGTAAGATTTAGGGCTCAATTTAAAAATCTGGCGCTTACTTACAAATTTCTACATAACGCTGCTGCTACCTATCCTCATTAATACACAAGTACCCGGGTGGTCCTCGTTTTACGACCTACCTGCTTTACGATGGCTCGCATTTACGACCAGCTCTCTCGGGGGTGGTAAGTGCGAGCTGTTGTGGGAATTAGAGGGATTCCCTGCTCTGCTTTGTTCTTCTATGTTTGGGGATATTTACCCGACCGTAGACGAATGCAACAGAGCAGGGAATCCCTCTAATCTATGTTCGGGGATATTTCCCCGAGCATAGATGAGAGGGATTCCATGCTCTTGTTCGTTCGTCTATGTTTGGGGAAATATCCCTGAACACAGACATGCTCTCCAGAGTGGGAAATCCCTTAATCTATGTTCGGGGAAATGTCCCTGAACATAGAAGAACGCAACAGAGCACGGAATCCCTCTAATCTATGTTCGGGGACATTTCCCCGAACAAAGACGAACGAACAAGAGCAGAGAATCCCTCTAATCTGTGTTCGGGGAAATTTCCCCGAACATAGATTAGAGGGATTCCCTGCTCTGCTACGTTCGTCTATGTTCAGGGACATTTGCCCGAACATAGAAGAACGCAGCAGAGCAGGGAATCCCTTAACTCCTCACCTACCAACCAATTCGTTCTACAACCGGGATGTAGGAACGTAACCAGGTCAGTAAGTGAGGAGTGTTTGTATATTCAATCCAGGTCCTACGTTGCGTCGAAGATGTGCGTCAGTTCTCTGTTCGTACTTGCACTGACACCTTAAAGATTTCCTATCTGTTACGGTATAACCCGGTGTAGTGAGGGTTAATACCGATTAAGGGATTCACCTTTACAAGGGAACAGCAGCTCACGAACACTCGAACCCAACGAACGGGAAACATACGAAATCCTTCTTTCCTGAAACAGGCAAAAGAATACTCCACAGTAGCAATCCTCCCAATCACGAGACCAAGCTCCGTATTGAGGGTAAAACAGGATTCTGATTTATTGAGGGCCACCTGCCCAGTATTTATGCAGGTTTCCCACCTGGTGGACACTCCCCTAGGGGACCAGTTGGGAGACTGTGACAAGGGACAGACATGTATCAATGACAGACATACAAGGGGTAAAACATTCCCAGGATACACTGCGTTCCCGCCTCTCTGTCCTGGGGACAATTGGGAAGTAATTCAATTATCTCCCAGGACAGAGGCAAATTGCCATTACCCACAAGCTGACAACAGGAGAGGGAAATGCAATAAAATACACAATGTCACGAATGATACATAAAACATATACATGTAACACATCCCCAGATAGCTTAGGTCTGAGCGCACATTATTACTGAATGGCGCTCAGACTACACACATACAGTTCAATTGCCATGGAACCAAAGTCTTTTATTACATGAATAGGCTCCATGGCATAGCTATCTGGGTACAACATTCACTAAATACAAAGTCCCGATTGCTCCGGCGTTCGGCAATACGACCGGAGTTAGAAGCAGGGAAGGCTGGCGGTTCAGCGGTGTCCGCGAGTAAAAGTGTCCGCTTTTAGTTCACTGAGGCTGGGTTGAACACCGCTGGCTGTCCGGGAGCTGTAGAATGCTGCCACCGTGCGGCAGCCATGTGTAACCGCGACCACCCGGTAACAGTCAATTAGGCTGCGGTTAACCGCAGCTACTGGGTGGTCAATTGACGGCACACGCTAGCTACGGGGAGGTCAATTGGCGGCACACGTAGAAAACTGAAATAAAAAAAGGGCAAAATTAAGTAGCACTTATTCTTTGCAGTTTTTCTTTTAATTATAACTTTATTGTTTCTCTCCTCTTGTTTTTATCATTTTTTTTCATTCACATTCGTCTTTTTTTAGTTATACAGAGGTAAATGCTAGTGCTATTTTTTCTCAGAACTAGCGTGATCTTTGTCAACTCTTGGAGCTGAAAGAAACATTTCAAGCAGAAAAACCGTTACAGATTGTTGTATTTTGGCCTAACATTTATAGATCTGGCCTTGATTGATATGTTGCAGTAGTGTTTGATCTATTTGCATATAAAGTTGAGTTCTCTGATCTTGGAGTATGCTTTATTTTGTGTGTCCCATAAGGTGGTTGAAGGTATTGTTCTGATGACATTCAATCAACATGGTAGGTCAATTCATAAATTAATAAAGGGGGTGCATAGCCCCACGAGTAAGGGCTATTAAAGTAAACAGGGGACTAAACGTCCCCTCCAGCCCCCTCCTGTGGCCAGCATGTGGGGGCTATTAAATAAAATAAACTAGGGGACTTAGTGTTCCCCCAACACCCACTCATTGGCAGTGGTTGTGGGCTTTAAAAATAATAATGGAGGCATAGTGTCTCCCCAGCCCCCACCCATTGGTGTCGAGTGGGGACTCTTAATAATAAAGCAAGGAGTGGAAGTATAACCCCCCCATTCATTTAATGGTGGATGCCTTAAATAATAAAAGGGGGTAGACCTATTGTCTCCCACCAGCCCCCATCCATTGGAAGTAGCACTCTGAGTCATTGATGAGCACCAGGGGACCACGAGAGAGTTCTTAAAGGAACACTATAGTCACCTATATTACTTTAGCTAAATAAAGCAGTTTTAGTGTATAGATCATTCCCCTGCAATTTCACTGCTCAATTCACTGTCATTTAGGAGTTAAATCACTTAAAGCCACTTATTTCTGTTTATGCAGCCCTAGCCACACCTCCCCTGGCTATGATTGACAGAGACTGAATGAAAAAAAAACTGGTTTCACTTTCAAACAGATGTAATTTACCTTAAATAATTGTATCTCAATCTCTAAATTGAACTTTAATCACATGCAGGAGGCTCTTGCAGGGTCTAGCAGGCTATTAACATAGCAGGGGATAAGAAAATCTTAATTAAACAGAACTTGCAATAAAGAAAGCCTAAATAGGGCTCTCTTTACAGGAAGTGTTTATGGAAGGCTGTGCAAGTCACATGCAGGGAGGTGTGACTAGGGTTCATAAACAAAAGGGATTTAACTCCTAAATGGCAGAGGATTGAGCAGTGAGGCTGCAGGGGCATGTTCTATACACCAAAACTGCTTCATTAAGCTAAAGTTGTTCAGGTGACTATAGTGTCCCTTTAATAGCTCACAACTGATTTCTCTTTTGCAACTGTCACTAGTCTAATACTATCCTTACCTTTTGTGTCACTTTACCCCACTCCCTCCCTGTAAACATATACTCATTGTCACAGTTAAAACTCCTGTTTTAATTATTGCAATTGTAACATGCATTCACAGTATTAAAACACATATAGCTATAAAATACATGCAATGGCTTTTTCCTGTGTACCCACCAGTTTTTTTAATGCTAAATAAAGAATAAGATGAACTACGTTTATTGTATTTGGTCCAATATAGCTGTGCTATATCGCATGCTTTGACAGATATCAACAAAGTCCAGTGGTGGAGGTTAAGGTTAAAGTTTCACTAGCAGGTTTAGCCTCACAGGAATAGCATTAATTTGATTTAATTTCTTGGATATTTTCATACTATTTATTTAGAGTGTAGAATATTTTAGGCACATTTCTGAGCTGCCGATTAACTTTCTGTCATATATGACATTCATCGCTTAATACATTTTTATAGCAAGGAAAAATGTAAGTCACATAAAATTTTATATGTGTATATATCTTAAAAGAGTGTCATTATTGAAAAGCTGATAATACATAATATAGAAATAGATTTATCAAGGAAATGCAACTATTTTGGTGCAAAGTGCAAAATGTTGAGACATTATCGCCTAAACATATGTTTGGATAGTTCATTTTTTTGGACAAGCTTTTGAAATGATCACAATCTTTTATAAAAACTTTTCAGATGAATTATGTACAAAAAATCCATTATTAAAAAAGTTTTTTTTTCTAACAGATTGTGATCATTTGAAAAGCTAATCCAAAAATATTAAAGCGAGGCCTATACTGGTTTCTATGGTGATGTGGTCCTTATTTAGCCCTGTGCCTCAGTAGAGCACCTGCTTTAGCCTTGATAAATCTCCCAAGTATCATGGGAATTCTGTGGTGATGTCTGTAATAAGACTGTAAGTTTCTTTATTAAGAAAGTCTGTTAACTAAAGATAACTACTTATTCTATGAAACCACATCATTTTGTGGTCTCCCTAAACACGTGTTTCCTGTCTATGATCCTGGGATCATCATGCAAACTTCATATAAGATTCCCCAGGAAATATTTGGAGAATGCAATGAACTGTACATCACCATTAATCCTTACAGCTAAACATTATTTCAAAAATACCTTTTGTGGCAAGAAGCATTCATTCGATAGATACTGCATCAGAAGTGTGTTCGAAACAGCATGTTAGCCCTATAGCGGAAAAAATTCAAATACTCCCTCCCTCCCCACATTTTCTAATTCAGTATTAAAGGACCACTATAGGCACCCAGACCACTTCAGCTAAATGAAGTGGTCTGGGTGCCAGGTCTACCTAGGATTAACCCTTTCTGCTGTAAACATAGCAGTTTCAGAAAAACTGCTATGTTTACATTTGGGTTAATCCAGCTTCTAGTGACTGTCTCGTTGATTTTCACAGTGAGAAGATGCCAGCGTCCATAGGAAAGCATTGAGAATGCTTTCCTATGAGACTGGCTGAATGCGCGCGCGGCTCTTGCCGCGCATGTGCATTCAGCCAATGACGGGGAAAGGAGGAGGAGAGTATCCAGCACCAAGGGAGCCTGGCGCTGGAGAAAGGTGAGTGTTTAACCCCCTTCCTCCCCCTTCAGCCCGGCGGGAGGGGGACCCTGAGGGTGGGGGCACCCTCAGGGCACTATAGTGCCAGGAAAACGAGTATGTTTTCCTGGCACTATAGTGGTCCTTTAACCTTACACAGAAAGATGATAATTACTGTATTTGTGTACTGCGTTTCCAACCTGAAACATAAATAAGTTGGACAGTGGCGTACACATGACCCATGGGGCCCCGGTGCGAAAATTGATCCAGGCCCCCCCCCCCCCCACGCTTACTCGCCACGGGTCGGGGCCGCGACACATGGCGGCGGGCACCTGGTCGCAGGGGTTGCAGGGCTGCGACCCCGCGACCGCGGTATGCACACACACTTAAATGACCACTACAGACACCCAGATCACATCAGCTCAATGAAGTGGTCTGGGTGCCAGGTCCCTCTAGTTTTAACCCTGCAGCTGAAAACATAGCCGTTTCAGAGAAACGGCTATGTTTCACTGAGGGTTAATCCAGTCTCTGGTGGCTGTCTCATTGACAGCTGCTAGAGGAGCTTCCGCGATTCTCACTGTGAAAATCACAGTGAGAAGACACTGAACGTCCATAGGAAAGCATTGAGTAATGCTTTCCTATGGGCGGTTTAAATGCGCGCGCGCCTCTTGCCGCGCATGTGCATTTCGGAGCTGAGAGGCGGACACTGGGGAGTCCGACGCTGGAGAAAGGTAAATGCTGAAGACACACACACACACTCTCACGAACAGACGCATACACACTAGCTAACAGACACACACATTTACCGACAGAGACACACTCAGCGACAGACATACATACACACTCACTTACAAAACATACACTTTCACTGACAAACACACACTCACTAACAGACATCAAACACACACAGAAACACACTCACTAGCAGACACACACACAATAACAGACACTCACTGACACACACACAGACACACTCACTAACACACACACACACTAACACACACACTAACACATACACTAACACACACACACACACACTAACACACACACACATACACTAACACACACATACACTAACACACAAACACACACACACACATTTTTTTTTAAATGTAATCCCCCCAGCCTCCTTACCTTTTGGAGTGCTGGGGGGATTCCCTGGGGTCCAGTGGTGCTACTGGGCTCCTGGGCACTGGGTGGGCGGGCTGTCTGGGTGGCCGGCGCGCGAGGGAGCACTTTACACTGTGTGCTTCCTCTTCAGCTCCCTCGCGCGCCGCGTAGGGATGCCGGCGCCGGAAGATGACGTCATCTTCCGGCTCCGGCATCAGTGCTGTGCGCGAGGACGTCATCTTCCGGCTCCGGTATCAGTGCGGTGTGCGAGGGAGCTGAAGAGGAAGCACTGAGTTCTCCCTCGCGCGCCCGCCTGTCGGGTGACAGCAGGGCCAGCCTCGGGGCCCTGGGTTGGTCGGCTCCTGGCCCCCCCAGGGGAAGAGGCTGGCCCTGTGGGTACATACCGGGTCGCAGGGGCGGCCGGGCCCCCTGGTGGGCCGGGCCCGGTCGCAGCCGCGACCCCTGCGACCCTGGTATGTACGCCACTGAAGTTGGAGCAGCTTAACATGTTTTGCTGCAGTACCAGAAGAAAATACAAACACGCAAATTTAAGTCCTGCATTCAAACTCCCACTAGTCTTGGGCCAAAACAATTTCTCATTAGAGAGTTTGCCTGAAAGCAGCTACGTGAATTGTTAGTGTAGGACTCACCTAAAATGTTTTCCTTGACGTGGCACCTAGGCTTACATTTTAATGGCCATTGGCGTGATACCAAAATGTATGCATGTGCATGAAGATTTGAGATAGTGCCCAAATAACCATTTTGCATGCAAGCATCTTAAAATCCCCATATATATGTTTAATTTAAAAACTAGAAACCATTGTTAGAATGACTGCTTTTAAGAGCGTCTTACTTATCTGGAAAAAAGTCTCCCTCTCTAGGTCTTTTCCACCAAAACCTCTTTTTTGTGGTGGAAAAGACCTAGAGAGGTCATAATGCTGGCAAAATATCAGGTGAGATGTAGTCCCCATTATCTGGATTGCCAAAGGTCGCCTACTCTTGAAATTGGGTGTACATGGGGTAACAAAAATCGGGACACATTGGACCCACTATGATAAGGGGAGGCCCAGTTTATGGCATCTCATCTTCCTTCACACAATGTACGTGGGTGTTGGAGAGTGGGCATACAGCCACTCATCTGACTCTTTCTCATGCTCCACCTTTTATGGTGAAGAATAATGCATACTGAAGTCAGAGGAGGCTATAATAATAGGATCAGAATATGCCATATACTCTACTCTGATGTTTAAACGGACTGGAGGATTTCTCTGGTCCTATTACTATTTCAAATGGCAGATGCATTTCTATAAGCCGTCTTGAATTAGTACTCTGTGATAGGTTGGTATGTAAAATGTATACACTGCGTTGGAGTTTATAGGATATTCTAATTCAGTTCAAAGATGTTTATTAGACAAGGTCAAACATGGCAACATGTGATACAAGGTGGAGGTTAAAAGAGGTTCTGCTTACCTACATTGCCACTTCCCATCTGCGAACATTTGTGTATATGGAATAACAGATATCTATGGTATCTCAGAGTGTATGAATGGGGAAAGCCAATAAGTATACCCTCTGCTTTGTGTGATATTCTATATATCCCTGTGTTTTTTTTAAGGCTTGAACATGTCTAAGAGTACAACAGTGATGGGGTCTCTGGATGTTTCACCCTCATGGAGCTGGAGTTGGAGATGGAAGTGAAGTGGAAGACAGTCGATTTACGGAGGGAGGTCTTCAGGAAGAAAAGAATCCCTCCTCTTCTTACCCCTTTGTCCTCATGCAAGCAGATTTGTCATCCAGTGGATATTTACAAAAAAACATAGAAATGCCCATTTAAACGGTAAAGCGTCATAAATACATTTGAGTCATTTTAGTCTGGCATCCAAAAGAATAAACCTTATTTGGTCTGTTTCTATCTATACACATAATATGGATTCTGTTCTGCATTTTAATGTTTTTAATTGTTTAATTATTCCTTAAACAGAATTCTGGTGTTTTCTTAGTAAATGCATAATTACATATCAGACATAATTGAAAATGATAAATACACCTACACATAGTTACTAAAAATATTCTTTCCCACTACCAAACTATACTATACAGCCAAATCTTTATAAAAACCTGATCAGTGCTATATAGTGCAATATTCTACTGATTGTACTTCTAAACACACATTTCCTTTAATGCAGCTCTGTCACCAATTTTTCTTTTTTCATAAAATACCTTAGGAAAAGGCCCTGGGGAGATAGCACAGCTAAGCGGACAAGGGCACATGTATGAGTGTGGGGATGGATGCTTGTGATTGGTTGTATATGTGTATGGGAGTGCTTATGTGTTTGGGAGTGGTGTATGGATCATCTTACCTCAGTGCCTCTTGGGAGACGGGCCAGCAAACAACTTACCCTTACTCTGTTGCTCCAGTTTGTCCTGGGCCTTTGGAAACTTTCTGCTTAAGGATGGATGTGGAATCAATCCTGTCTGCCCTCAGAGCTGCAGCTGCCCTAGAAGGTGGTAGGTGCATCTGTGAGCAATTTGCTCACCTCCACCCTGGTTTGGCCGCCGGTGTTGTCCCCCCCCCCCGCCGCCAGACCTCTGCTTGGGCCTCCCATGCAACCGCAGCCCCTATAGGCCACATGAGCACGAGCCGGTGCTCGCACCACCTGCTCGCTTAAGCCCTGATGCCACGCCTTGGGCCCATTATCGGAGCCCACGCTCGATGCGCAGCCAGGACCGCATGTCTGCTCCACCCGACACGCGGCCTGCTCCCAATGGTGTTCCCAGCACGCCCCACACCAATGGACAGCGCACCCGGGGGCGCAAGAAGACGGCTGGTGCAACCCACACAGCCTGGGGTGTCTGGGAGGCCTTCCCAGGTGCCATGCGGTCGGCGCGGTGGTGGACCTGTGGCGGTGCCTGCGGTGGTGAGTGGGCCCCACAGGGCCAAGTGAGGCACAGCTGTGCCACCATTGGGGGGTCCTCCCCGGGTTCAGGTATGTCCTCTGGGGACAAGTGGCAGCCGGGGGGTCCCCCTCTCATCCCCCCTGTGGTGTCCCCCCTGTCTTCCCCTGTTGGTGCCCTTTCCTCCCATTCTGGGTCCCCCCCTTCCCTCTGGCTCCCCTTCTGTCCCCCTCTCTCTACTCCCTCCTGAACCCTCCCTTCTGCCCCCTCTTTGTCCCTAGCTGCTGGTCCCTCTGTGTCCCCTTTCTCCTCTGGTTACTTAGCTCGGCTGCCCTCCTCTGTGGGGTGTGAGCTTAAATCCTCTCCGCTGCTCTTCTCACAGGATCTAGCTGCTGTTCCTGGGACTGCCCAACAGGTGGCACCTGGAACTCCTGCAAGGCTGAATAGTGGTGACATTGGACTTACCTCACTCCTGCCAGGATCTTCATCATTTTCTTTGCCTCGGGTTAACCACCGTGCATCAGCTGGTGATTATGATACTATTTCTTCCTTACAGTCAGGGGTCCCTTGCTGGGGGGGTTTCTGGTGGGTCTTAGGGTTTTTTAGGATCAGTGGGAACAGCGGGCGCATGCGTGCAGGGATTCCCCCTTAGATGGTCAGTTTGGTCAATCTGGTCCACCGTGCTTCTGGGCCTCTTGGTTTGCATCTGAAGCAGGAAGTTAGTAAAAAAATTTGGAAGAGGGAATTTGTCAAGATTTTCTCACTCCTGCCAATGGAGGAGGCTCCTCAACTGCTGGAGAAGGACGGCAAGGAATCAGAAAAATAGAAGGAAAAATTCCACTACCGAAAAATCCCCAAGACTTCCGGATATTAGATTTGCGCGTTTTCGATACTGGCTAGTGTCATTGGGGAGAAGGCTCCACAGAAGTGCTCCACATTGTTCTGCTACCAGGACACCATTTGGAACACTTGTCGTACTTCTGGCAGTCTAGGCTGGTGGAAGTATGACGAGCAATTTCGTCAACAGTTGGCGGTGCACCCCTCAATTTCAGGTGACCAGATATACATTGGTCTCTGG